GAAAGAATGAACGTTTCATGTTCAACAGGCATCGCCAGTGTGAAATAGATTTCTGTGCTTCCCCAGGACTTGATTTTAGACAGCCATCGAGTTTAATTACACCAAATGAGTATTAAACATGATTACCAGCATCATATTTCTCGAACATCATAACCTTTTCAACTATAGTGTCATTTATATTTAGTCCTAGGGTTCTACAATTTTTCTGGGATACCATTGCATTGACTGTTATTGGGCAAGAACACATGTCTGACAACTTTAAAAATTGTGGTCCTCGTCTAGTTGACATCGGACATAAGATCTCATTTGGGAAGTGCGACTCTACGAAAGTGGGATTCCGAATATGAAATGGAGACTCAACGTGAAAGACAACGTCAGGGTCTGAAGATCCCCGAGATGTTTGGAGAGAGGGCACGAGATCCTGTTTCAGTGAGGAGGAGGAGGAGAATAGTGACTTTTGAGAGGAAGAATTTGATCCCAAAGCGAGAGCAAGAGTCTAAGAGCTTTTCATTTTAAAGTTTGTTAAAAAGCTAAAGAGTGACAAGAATTCATTTAAAAAAGAAAACTCTATTCATACACTTGAAAATTAGTTAATTCGGTGTATGTGGCATACGGCAATGCTGTGCTAGTATGATTTGATATTTCATCCGGTTTGACCATATTGTGGTTGGTGCATAAGCCTTGTCCACCTTCCCCCTACTCGCCTACTCCCCTCATCTATAGACCCTCGATTGTGACTTAACTTATAAAGCTCGACATCATTTTGCACAGACGACTAAAGACCAAGTTCAGTTGTCTCGGTGCGTATATATGCAATATAATATGCAAGTGCAACATGGCTAACTACGAAAAGCGTGTTTAACAATGTACCTTATTCAATTAGCTCAAATCTCGCATGGCATAGAGTTAGGTATGGCGCAACTTAGATCACAGCGGAAAGCCGACGATTTGAACGGATTAGGTCTGCGAGTCGGACTTTGAAAGAAAGGTAAGCATTTCAAATTGCCACAAGCTGTCCCTCTCATTAGTCTATGCGTCGCGCGTACGTGACAACAGATTCACAATAGACTTGTTCTCGACTTTCGGCGCTATTTCTTCTTAAGAACCAGATCATCGATAAAGCACTTTGAGATCAATTACACATTTGATTTATCCCCTGTCCACTGTAAAGAAAGTAATTTGTTCATCACGAAGTAAATATGTTGTTGCCAGTTGAATTTTACGTCAGTACCCCAGTATGCGCAACAAGTATACTGATGTCAATAATATCAATCTGGTTGCGAAAGCGGCCTCTCTCCCGCGTTTTCGTGGGGTCCTTGTATGCTGAGGAGGGGAGTATGGTATGGTTTTGGGGGGGCTTAGTGGGGTGAGACCTCCCCTCCATGGACAGATCTTAATCGATGCACACAGACTTCATTCAGCCTGATGCTTCATGCCCATGATGCCATCCATGGTTGTTGATCATGCTTCTAGACATGCAGTGATTTCACGAGCGATGTGACATTTCACTACTATCGAAGTGACATTATAGCTGGTAACAAACCTAGGTACTTCCATTTGATATCATGTATCTTCATTCGTCACATATATCTCGGACCGATGGTTTCCCAAAAGTGTGTGCTTAACACTTTCATGCCCGTTCATCTCAAGTGTTTCGAGAGGAGTGATTGGTTGTTTCGACTCTCAAGGGAAGTAGTCGTTAGTTGATGGATCTTACCGTTAGCACTTGGACGCACGCTTCCTTCCTAGAACCATACTTCCGGAGCGGGATTGCAGTAATAAGTCTAACTGTGTATAGTTATTAGACCGACTCGAAATTCCGAAAGCTCCCGACAGTTCAAGTCGCAATAAAATTATACGGAATTGTCCGAACTAGACCCATTTCTTATGCTACTTCTCAAGCCAAATGTCAAAACGAAGGGTAGCGAATTTCAATGATTGTCATTATCTTGTTTAGAGACTATCGGCCGAAATCCATCATACATGGATATGCTTTAACGGCTCTCGTGCATATGGAATAATAAACCGGGAAATCCTAAGAAGGAGAGCCTCATGCAATCTAGATCAAAGGACCCTTAATATCAGGGTTGGCTTTTGGAGCCCTTCGGCGTAACTGTTTAGTATCTTTCGCTTCGCAAATGGTGGACAGACGTAGCGGTAGACTCTAAGTATTATTAAAAGCCGAAACGTAAGATATGCGAATTGGAGCTTTGTATAGATCTTTTGAGCGTAATAGAGGTTAATTCCACTGTAACATTACCGAAAGTTTCATCGCTTCTCTGAGAAATTTGACCTCAGGATAAATTCCGGTTGTCGCGGCTGTAGCGCAATTTCGTGAATCAGTTGTCCAGCTCTCCATGGGCAACCTCGGAACTACTAGACTACCGATACTACCGACGGAAAAATTAAAATGCGAAAATATACCTAACTTGTTTCCGTGTGGTTTGCACGCGACATTTCACTGACCGTTTGTTAGAAATTAGTACAGTCCTTCGCTGATGGTTCAAAGTGAGGGAGTGGACTTTGCCATCCCCCCATTTTGGGGATAGACTCGAGATGGCATATCCACTCACTTGCAGTTGTTTTGCATGTAAAGAAGATCCATCATCGGGTTGTCAGGCGTTCAAGTTAGTGCTTTTCTATTTTTTGTCTTCTTTGAGACAGACACCAGGGTTACCTCGTGCTAGACCCACCGAATTCGGAGCGATTGCGGTGTATTGATCTCAAACAGAGTCGTAAATATACTTGAGACTGTACTGAAATGATAGTGTTGTTCATTCTTCGCACCAATCCTAGGAAATAACTATTGGTAACCTACTTTCAGACTTAGGAATCAAATTAGCGAAACGACTTTGAGAATTGCCTGGAGATTAGCATATCCTTGCGTGGGGGAACCATGAAAAAGTTCACAATGATGAACAGGCCAGCCATCAAGGATCTTTTTCTGCACGTTCATGGAGTTACATGTGCTCTGCATTGGATATGCGGGGGCAAAGATGAGCGAGACCTAGGATACTGGGCACCCTCATACCCTGGGAAACGAATCTAAAGGATTTCGAAATGGCTGAGATAGGATGCGAAACTGGCAAAACCATTGGATGAAGTCGCTAACATGCGTGGGGGTTCAACAATGCAAAGTAAATTTATTTGAACTGCTGCCCTCGCGAATACAATCTGAAGTAGGAAATGATTTGATATCCACCATACATGTCAGACTAGTTTTGAAGTCTCGGAGAGGTCGTCCGTTGGATAAATTGAAAGAGTTGATAGAGGAATCGCCGTTGGATTATTAATTTCCGTACAACACTTGGTTTCTTGAATGTGAAGATCGAGCGATGGTCCGATGGAGGATCGAGTTATTGCCTCAATAATCTGATATGTCGATAATAAACTTCGTTTATTGCGGTAATTATTGACGGTAGTTGCGGATGTAAGAAGTTCGTATATGTGCTGTATATGTGTGCGACGATTGTAACCTTGTGTTTGTGTTTGCTAGAAGAGAAGATGGGGATGGGATGGCGAAAGTTCCTCAATATTTATTCATCATGTGACCTTTCTTGATCTGAGTTCGAAATTCTTCACGAAGTCCGGTCGAAAATTTGTCCATCACAAAAACTCGACCATAAAATATGATACTTTTTTCATTCCAGTGTGAGATGAGGGCACGCGACATCTTATATAACCACAACTCTAATCTCATCTGCATCACGCCTTATCTATCTTTCGTCGGTTTCAACATCGGGTCTACAAATGATACCATCCTGCACAATCTAATCAAGACTGACAAGGTATTTCGCATTCCTGGGAAGACTGATTGATTGTATCTTGGCCTCTCATTCGGTTCGCGACAACGCTTGTACCCGTCCCTCAATTCCGCTGATAACATAGTTGCCAGATGGTCATATCGAGATGAGATAAGTGAAGATATGCTATTCTATTTGACCATTTGGTGTAAATGGGGGAAGGTCGCACAATATCAGAAACGTGGGACCCCAGTAACTCGGGAGATCATTTCCCTCTTATCCTTCAAGATATACACCCTAATAGGCAACTCAACTTTTTATACATCAGTTTTCTTAATGCCCTTCATACCAAGGTGTACAAACACACAAGTTTGAAACCTTAGTCATTCATCCTTATGAACCTTATCTTTTCATCTCAAGTGGATGTCTTTTCACTCATACATCTGATAGTTGTCGGATTGTCCTAAGAGATGAGGAGTTTAAGGCTGTTGGTGAATCAGGATGCCTCTACCAAGACTTCATTCCAGCAACTCACCTGTTTTGTTTGTCTTGTTTCCTAATTTGTCCTGTGGATAAAAAGTATCATAGGCGTAATAATGTATTTGATAGGGTAAATAAGACCCGACGCAGCATCATCTGTTTGCCTTATCTATGGCACGATATCTTGGATTTCATCTCTACAAGACGACCGATTCACTCTATTTCCATTGTGACATCCATTTGCTATTTCAATATCATTTGGAGCATCCTTTCAGAAAGCCAGTGTCAGATTATTAGCCTGTGGGATTCAAGCCAATCCGAATATTTACCATTCACAGGTCACACCCTACCGTCTAAAATAACTTTCACAAATACTCCGGTTGATCAGAACTTGTGCCTGCATCTTTGATCGTAATCATAATCATACCATAACCAGGTTTCAACAAGCCTCCAATAGCATTATCAGTTGTGAAGTACATTTTCGATATGACGATGGAAAACATTCGTGCGATGTTCAATTTGTTTGTTGAAAAGGGAAATACTTCGTCGATTCTATTTATAACTCTGAACAATGACAATTCATTATCATCGTCACTGTAGCTAGTCAAGATTCACCTTCTTTGTTCTTCACATGATCCCCAAAATAAGTCGTGAATAAAATTATAACTTTGCTTTGTCTTCGCCCATTCACACAGGTCCAACTTCAACTTCAAGTCCTTTGATAAATACGATCAAGTCTAGTCAAGATGGCTTCTGTAATTACCATTAGCGGAAACTATGGTCGCTCATGGCTTCCGATTTAAGAACATTACAGCTTCATACAATACTACAACCTCATACAAGATGGCGACCCTGAACTATTCTTTACGGGTTAACGATGCAGTTTCGGACGCGGCTGGTATCTTAGCATCTGCACCTCCTAACTATATCATCCCGGTCGATGCTACTATTTCACTCTCGACTGGTAGTATCGTTGCTCCTCCTGAGACTTCAGTAACTCAATCTCCATCATACTCGTTCCCAGATCCTAATGTCCTCGTTCTTACTACCTTCTCAACAACGACCATTCCATATGTAGATCCGGTCATTCAAGTTCCTACCCTATCTTCTGACCAACCAACAACTGAACATGTCGCGCCTTTTACTTCATCCACTTCCGTCTTATTTGAGTTCCCTGTAGTTTCCGCGGCACCGTCAAGTACCATAAACATCAGCCCTTCTTCTACAGTACTTCCAAGTATCTCACCTACATCATCAGCGACCACTCCATCTCTTACGCCATCGTACATCATTCCCACCACTCTAGAAACATTATCTTACACTCCATCACCACAATCAACACAAGCACCTGCCTCTCTTATATCCACCACGCCACTCCCCACCAACTCTAATTCTTCAACCAGCCACCTTGGAGCCTATATCGGTGGCGCTTTCGGTGGCGCCGCAGTCATCATCCTTTTTCTCCTCGTCATCTTCAGTCTTGCCCGCCGTCGCAAAAGTAGATCTCCCAAACACCATCCCGACCGTCCCGCTTTCATCGGCGGCTACGAATTGAAACTAGACAAAGTAGGAGATTTGCAACGTGTTGTGCATGAGAAAATAGTTAGGAGAAATACCTTTGAAGCGTGGAAGAGAGGTATTGTGCCTGGCCTTAAGCATGATACAGATGATTTGGCTGGGAAAAGTGAAATCAGTATCAGTAGTGGAACACCCCAAACTGGATATTCAAGTCCGCTAGGAGATGTTGCAGAAGGTGCAATTGCGCGGGACGTAGGCCAGGAGGGAAGATGATCGCTTGGGGGAGAGGAACGGAGCAAAGTTGGAGATAACGAGGATGGATATATGGTCTCGCCGATTGAGGAGGAGCAGAAACCTTCGAGACCTGTATCTGGTGTCAGTCCTTTGATAATTGAATGGGAGACTAGAGCAGATCAAAGGGGAGATTCGACAACTGGTATGATTGGACAGGCAATATAGATCCGAGGGATTTACATCATATACACATAAGATACATACAGAGAAACACAAAGATCGGGTGTACATACTACTACTTATAGATTAGATGCCGCTAGCAACTTCAATTTAACGCAGAATACCTTTGAATTCAATGATATACATGCATCCGCTGGCCCTCGCAGTAGTAGTGATCCCCTTCCCATCTCCAATTCCAATCCCGATCTATTTCACTGTGATTCTTTGTCTGATTTTGAAATTGATATATATATATATATATTCAAATCTGGTTATTACCTTCATAAAATAACACAATCTCAAGCGGCTTTAGCTCACTTGGGAGAGCGCCAGACTGAAGTCCACTTCAGGAATCCAATAGATCCAATCTGTTTATCTGGAGGCACTGTGTTCGATCCACAGAAGCCGCATTCTGCGAGTTGAGGACTACCTTGACTTACATTCTCTTTTGCCATCTCTTCTTTACTTTGAATAGAATGTCAGAATAGCATAACTTTTTTTTTTTGAGGTCTTGGACAGTAGTGAATGTGGGGAGAAAATCTTGTGTGGAAAAGGTGGAGATGAAAAAGTAGGGTAGCTCGGCTCGTGTGTGAGACATTTAAGGGCCCCTTCTAAGTGGGGAGAAGAGGGGTAGGCGAATCGGTGTTCTCCTTTCTTTTGCCGAATACATATGTTTATCGTAGTATCATACTCTATAGATAAAGTAACTAACTGGGTTGGATTTCGTTCTATAGGTTTGGATGGATTCAGTACTTCTGTGTTGATGTTGTAGTTTATTGTGAGTGAGTAGTCTTATTTTCGAAGTTTTTTTCTAGTCTTACAAGATTGGCGTGCCATTCATTGTTTGAGAGTGTGCTATGATTTGAGAAATATTGAATTGAAATTTTACATGTTTAATTTGCATTACTTGGTACCTACATGACTCATCTAAGCTAGAATAAGCTGCTCTAAATATCTCAGACATGGGCCAATAGAGATCATATGAAGGGTATGGCGTTTGCATATAGCTAGGCTCTTGGAGGTTCTATTTTGGGACCGGGTGAGGCTTCACAGCTAATAAGGGTGATGATGTTGAGAGAAAATGTCAGATACGTGGATCTACGAGTTGGCATGTTGATGAACCATTGAGATGGGAAGGGTTCGAGTTGAAAATCTAAGTTGAATCCAAATACCAATAATAATTGCATGTTTGAGTTGAATTCAGACGTTGGGATTGCTCACATCACCCTAGATAGAAAGCTAGTAGGGCAGGATAGTCTTGACCTCTCGATGTTCATTGTTTTATTGATTCTGATGGGATATAATGAGATGGCCCTGCTGTAAGAGCTTTGTTTGTTATATCTCGGGATAAGAGGTTTAAAGTTTTCATCATCGATTAAAGTCAGTAGCGGTTCAGCCGCAGCTCTTGTTGAATTTTTACCACGGTTGTCCAAAGCAGAACCTCTGCCGTCTGCATACATTGAATAACAAAAGTTGAAGTTGATAATATTTAAATGGCACAACTTCTATAGCTTAATTTTTGCTGTTCATATGACCAGCCACGATGCTGTCAGGGAAAATAACTATGGTTATCTCTTGACAGTCTTCATAAACGTATGCCACAAATTTTTATCTCAAGCTCAAGGTGAGCGCGAAGCTCTTGACTACGATCGGATCCCAATTACTCGCAGCACCAACTGGACGAGTCCTTCAGAGTTGCTCTCTATCAACTCGCGAACCCTAACCTTTGAAGACAAGATAGTATCATCGACCTGGATGAAGAAAATCACCTTGAATCAGACCTAACCATTAGGATTTGTCGATTGAGGTTGGCAAAGACCTAGTAATTGCTCCTTCATCCACCCATGTAAAGCGACAGCATTGTACATGCGTTATTCAAAACCCACATGTTTCTTGAACGACAGAAAATATTCTTCCCAATGGACATCGATGTTCTATTCAGGCATGCTTTTCCACATATATCATTCAAACGCGGATTGCATGTTAAGCATAGAAATCTGTGGGTTGCGGTTCTTCAGTACATGTCGTCCCCCACCTTCTGATGGAATTGATGTGGGTCTTTCCAAATCTCGCATTTATATAACAAAATATGAGTCTCGGTCAACATCAAACATCCCTCGTGGCGCAATTGGCTAGCGCGTTCGACTGTTAAGTGAAGCAATTCATTCGTACAGATAAATCGAGAGGTTCGTGGTTCGACCCCACGCGAGGGAGTTTCCCTTTTGTTTTTATTTTTAACCAATATTCGACGACTGACATCTTCATAATCGAATAGGCCAGCTTTTTGAGGAAATCATTAAGTTAAGGAATTTGCTGGGCCATCGGTTGGTTGTATGAGCAAAGGCAATGGCTAAGGGAAATAAGAGTGGTGAGGGAGACACAGGAAGTTTTGTTCGAATTTCTAGATTTTATCCTTCCTCTCGAGTAACAATAGTTCGCTCGTCAAGACCGATTAACGATCGATTCGTTCTAATCTTCTTGAACCTTTCTCTGGTACAAAGGTTGGTGCTGGTTCAAGCCCACCAGAATGAGCTTCGTCTCTGCTTCTGATTCTGACGTTCCTTGGTCCACGCCCGGTAGAGAGAAGCATGAGAAATGATAGCTTCGGAGGTAGGGTTGCTGTCTCAGTCATTTGCGAAGGACCGTTTTCCAAAGTGTCATAAAGCCATGAAGAGATAGATATGCATGCCGAGAGCCCTATTGGCAATCGCAGTCTTGACTGGGATGGCAATCTTTTGCCCCGTGTTGGAGCTGGCCATTTGATATCCTACTATGTGTGTAGGTTTCAATGTTTTGCTCTGATGCCCGAAACCACATGCCTCCTGTCTCCTAGACTATTCATAGCCAAACGTACGTTCAAAAATCGGAGTCGGAATCCTCTTTACGCTCTGCTGCCCGATTACTGTTTCCTTTTGTTTGCCCCTGTCCCTGTTGCTGCTGTGCACTCCCCGCGATTGTCTCTTCTCCTAGAACTTTGCTTGCAGCCATGAATCTATATTATTAAGGAAAATGTTAGCCAAATCCTTTCTATAGAACTCGGTTTGAAGAATCTGAGGAATGAAACAGCGAACTTACAATCCTCCATGATAAGCACCCAAGCCTCGAATAGACTCAGCTTGTATACTAGTATTTCGTAGAAGGTTCTCAAGATCACCAAGGTTGGCAGAGAGTTGTGCGAGTTGTGCGTGTAGATGAGACTGGTGTAGTTAGTTAGAATTGTTGGATGCGTTGTTTTGAACGAAACGAAAGTATTGAATGATGGAGTATCAAAGTGAAAATGAAATATTAATAGAGTATCTAGAGGGGCTTGGGAATCATACCAGCTGTCGAGGTTTGGTACTACTACTGGGTGCGGTGGAAAGACGAGGCGCACCGCCGCTGGGAAGTCTAGATGACATCGCTGTAGAAATTAGATGGGGAGAATGCGATATTGAGTGAAGAAGTCAAATGGAGGAATTCCAAAGATTCGAGACACCGGATAAATCTGTGGTTGCGCGGGAGGTGGTTTGGACTGGGCCTATGGAGGGGTAGGTAATTATCGGAGAAAGACTTGATCCGAGTTACCACAACACTTTTGTTCGTGGTAAATGCAAATATTATTTATCTATCATATGGCTTTGAGAAATGAGGGACGTTTTGTATTATCTTTCAGTCTGAAGTCTTGAATTGTTTATTATATTGCATGGCAGTAAGTTGCGTGTGTTAAGAAAGCACCTTGTAAACAAATGGGTGTGTACGGGCCATGATGATTTTGTACAAATGCATTAACTTATTGGTATTTTATTATTGCAATTCCTTTAAAACATTTTCGAGAGTGTGAATATCAAACAATGGATCCCATTCTCCGTACAGGACACCTACGCGATCCTCGAATATAGACTGGCCAGGTCAAGACTTGCTGGACTGCCCTTCAAACTACTAGACTGACCAGTGGATCAGACTAACCTTTCGTTCTTCGTCACAAGTCGTGTTGACCTTCTGTTCAATAAACTGCCAGACAATGTCATTGAATCCATGGAAATCCGCGGCCCAAACTTGTTCAATGAGGGGAGCAAAAGAATCTGGTGGTTGAGGGGAAGGGTCTAATGCCCAGCCAATAGGACAAGTTGGCGCATAGCTATTAACGTGTGTGAATTTTGAAGTGCCAAATATTTCTCCAATCCGTTGGCGCAAGATCTGTTGCGGAGGCTCGCCGTAATAAAAAATTTGCGTACGAAAGTAAAATCCATGGAAGTCAAACACCTGGCAATTTGGCCCAAATAAGTGCATGGGAACACCTTCGTATTCAAGGGCAACATGCCTACAATTTTCTAAGCAAACTGTTTTTAAATCGTTTCTGATAGCGGCATGAGCTATACTAAACAGTCTCAGGTATATGTCTTCAGGGCAGGGCAGCCTATACTAAATTTCGGGAAAGGGCTACTGAAATTGTGTATATTATAAAAGTATGAATCCAAATGATCAGCGATAAGGTGTGGAACATCGCAGTCAACGTTGAAGTATATACGGGCGTTCGAAGGGTCCGCAGCAAAGCAAAGCTTGTAGAATCTCAGAGTCTCATTTCGTGATTCTTTGCAGACGTGAAGACCAGGAGGAACGGTTGCATTGCTCATGAAATGACCCTCGATAAAAAAGATGCGGATCAACCGGGGTCCAGGGAACGATAATCTCCATATTTCAAGACGAAGCTCGAGGGGCAATCTTGGAAATGCATGGAAGGTATTTTGTTGGGTCGTTGCTGATGCCATGTCGTTGTTTGTTGTTCGTTGTTTGGTAAGCAACTTTGGTGATCGAGTCACTTGAAGATCGGGGTTGAAAGTTTTGTTTTTAAAGACCTCAGATAAGGAATGGTGGGCTTTGTATAGGTATGAGTACAAATCTCATAAGATAGGTATACAATACAGAAGAGTGAATTACCAACCAAGCTAAGCCATGAATTCACTCATTTTGATCTCGCTGATCACTACACTACATTACGAGCTCCAACGGGCTGTCATTTTGTCGGTGATATACAGCCCTTTCAATCAGTTGGTTGCCCGTCCCGTTCTTACACTCCTAATGCTCTGGAACCAACTGATCGAACCGGCAACAATCAAGATAAGTGCTACCATTACTACTGTCCAACGCCACATCATCAGATCTAGTTTCTCAGGAGATTCAACAGTCAGAGAGCTTTTCGATATCACATTTTCCACAACACAGAACTTTCATTCAATCCATTGCTGATCAAAATTATATCAACTTTAAGATTTCCTTTCCCTAATATCTCGACCTTTCCACTCATTTCTCCTGCTCCTCTCCCTCTCCCTCCCCTTTTCCCCTTTCCTCTCCATTCCCACCAACACCGGGTCTATCCAAATACCAACACCTGATGTCACTCAACTTTCCCTCATCTATCCTCCTCGAATAAAACTACTCATATCACAAAAGCATTAGTCCCTTCTCTATCTCTCTACAAACCCCAAATCCTCCTTCTACAAAATAACTCACTTTCTCAAGAACTTCACCTTTTCTCGCTCCAACTTTAGCTATTATCCTCTCGCTTGCTTTATTTCTCGGGTCGATCTTTGCTACAAGGTGTGGGATGTGGGATCTTTCTATGTGCGGAGATGGCTTTAGTATGTCCTGTTTCGTTCTGGATAACAACCTTGGATTGTTATGAGTGAAGGAATCTGCTCTCTCCCTAAACATGCTATCTACATTGCAGACGAAAGAAATGAATAGGAACGAACTAAAAGAAGAAAAAGAAAACATACCTTCCATTCCCCAATAAATCTTCAAAAACTCAGTTACTCCCCACGTAGCATATCCATTATCATAATAATCGGGATTCACACAATAGCCCATTTCGAGACCCTCGGGCGATGGGCGGTTGGTGCCGACGAAACCTACGCATTTGGGTCTGTCTGGGAGATGTTAGTTGGGGAAGGAGGAGTGATGAAGATGGAAAGGAGAGATGAGGAGGGAGGGTGAACGGATGAGGATCAAAATCCAAGAAAAGCCGTTGGGACATCTCTATGAGATAAAGCTTCAAGCTTTTGAAATTGAAGATCATCACGAGATCATCTCTCCGAGAGTTCAAACCCGGAGTATGGGTTCAAACTCCCTCCACTTTCATGGAACTGACACACCTCTTTCCCTCATTTCAGGATCATAGAAATCATTTCTCATCCATTCCTTACTTAAGAATCGAAGAGATAGTTTATCCTCCAAGCTCAACTTAAGATTTTCAACTCTTTACCGAGCAATTGTAATGCCATCCTTGAACTTCAGGAATAAAAACTTCTCCAAATCAATCAATCAAAACGACCCCGGAGACTTCCAGGGTGCGCTTGCTTCCCCCCTCCTTTTTTGTTCAACTTTCGCGTAGAATCAAGCCCCTTCTCTCCCCTACCTCTCCCATCCAAAATCCTCCAGACTCCCACCCCTCACCCCGCGCAAATACAAAACAAACACAAAACGATAAATAAAAAAACTCAACTCACCACTCTCCCCCACAACCAAAATCGCAAATTTATCAATCCCCGCCGCCTCTCCCCCCGGATTCTGCTCCGTCTTCGGTAAAATATATTTCAGAAACTCTAGCGCTTCTTCTTTTGTTTTCATGGGGGCTTGTTTTCTATTTTTTCCCGCGTGGTTAGAATCAGAATACTCATTCCCCCCTTTCCCCACCCTCATTCTCTTCATGCAAAACCACATGAAGAAACCCAAGAGAACAAAAAAAAAAAAAAACATACGACCAAACAACCCCCCTCTCCTCTCTCCAAATCTCCCAAAAATTATCCAAATGTTCGGTTGTAGTCAGGGGGACAAGTTTAAGATTTTGATGGTTTTTTAGAGGATGGGGTGGGGATTGAATTTGAGTAGTATTCGAATCCATGGTGTGTGTAGATTTACTCGAGATGAGAATGATTGGAGTGGTTAGCTATTGGATGGTGGATAATGGGTGGGATTGGCGAATGGGAGTTGAGAGTGGGGGTGGATGTAGATGAGGCGTGGTGGAATACAATGACTTGAATGGATTGAGATTCGGATCAAGAATTCTGAGGGTAGATGGAGTGGGAGACAAAGATGAGAAATGAGGTTGAAGAATTATTAGGATAGGAAGATGATTGACAAGTTCACAAATACACATAGTGAAGTTCTCTATATGGGATTCTATTGTGACACATACGGCGAGCACCGACGTCACCATGTAAAATTTTGGTGCCAAAAGTCAAAGAATGTAAAGAGAAGTGGAACTTGCATTGCACAACTAAAGGAAAGATGTTGGTTGGAAGTCTGTCATTTCTGACTTGTCTTCGAGATCGAAAAGTATTATACACATGTCCCGTATTCCATATCCTGATCGCTTGTTACATTTTCGTCACTGCCTCTACTCACAATTCCTCATTCATGTAAGGAATCAATCTCTCCATCAAATCCTCCACCTCCAGTTCCTCACCAGCCCACATCTCTCCGCCTGGAGTCTTGGGTGGAATTAAAACGGAGCTCAAAACATGAATAACACCATCCTTTGCAATACCATCTTGAACACTGACGCTGCTGAACCCATTGATTCTGATACTGATGAAACCGCCATATCTGCCAACATCAATACTTAGACTCTTATCTTTCAACAAGGTAGGTAGATCAACGTGGAAGTGTCCCTTGGGGATGTCCGCAGTATCGATTTCATCAATTCCATTGATGCTCTTATCATTGGACTTGGCTTTGTAGAAAGCATCAGAGTAGAGAGTTTGATTTGCAACAACGTGATATTTGAGAAGAGCTTCTAGGTATTTTTGACCATAATTGCTGAAGAGGAAAGCATTGATTCTAGGACCAAGCTTTTGGAATGCCCAGTTGCTGGGTGCGAACAATGTTCCTCCTGTATGATGAGATGCAGCAATGGTATCGAAGAGACCGGTTTTTTCGAGTCCAAGTTGGAGAGTTGAAAACTCGCCAGGAAGAAGCTCGATAATCTTAAGGGCCGGGGGAGGTGGTAGGAGAAGCGAATCGACGCCATGGATTACTCCGTTTGTACCGAACTATTGAAATTCAGGTTAGTATTATGTTGATATGGGAAGAGATGACGGAACATACAATATTGACAGCAATGACTCTGCTGTAGAAGTTGACGGCTAATCCCTTCAAACCCAAACCAACACGAAGACGTTGAGGTTCGTCACCGAGACGGCCTTCCTTTAATGCGGTCGGAATAGTATGCGAAACGAGGACACGACCAGCAGGGTAGAAATCCGGAGATACGTGATATTCAAGGACAGCCTTGATCAATTCCTTTGAAGGTTTCTTGTGATGCTCTGGAATCTTCTCAAAAGCTTTGTCAGTTGGTGCGAATACGGTGTAGTTTGCCGCTGTGCCGTTCAAAGCATCAACAAGATCTGGATATTCGTTGATAAGCTCAGCAAGTTTGGTGGTGTACTTGCTGCTAGCAATCAATTCATAGACAGTCTTGTTAGGCTTTCCATGACCGTGATGTGGGTTCTTTGGATGGTGAGGAGGTTTTCCATGGTGTGGAGGCTTCTCATGAGGGTGATCAAAAATATCGATATCCTCAACGGAGGAAATGGCAGAGTCTAACCAGCCGGATATATCAAATTTTGACATTGAGTGGTGGCATTCGATGACATTCTGGGCTTTTTGACCGGCCTCAGAAAGGGTATCGATAGCGTTGTCAAAGGCATTCTCGCTGAATGCAACTGCATCTTTCAAAGATTTTTCGGCATGAGAGATAAAGTTGTCCTTGATTTCTGGGATTCTATCAAGCCATGTCTTTGAGGACTTCTGAGATTCGACAATAATCTGGTTGGTTACACGTTCGTCAGGAATAACGAAGGCAGTAGAAACTACCGCAAAGGGCAAAAGAGTAGTTGAGAACCTCATATTGATATGATTGATGAATGTTAAAAAGAGAAATAAGGCGGGAATAAAGGAAGTAGATATATATATATATATAATGGAATGCTGTGATCAGGGCCAAGGTACTAGTGATTCAATGATGCCTTCTCACGCCGCGTAAATGATTTGAAACAGAGACAACTCGGCTCGGGTTCGATTCGTTTGCTGAGAAGATTGAGGTGAAGGCTAGCCAACCAGTCAATTTGGCAATGAAACTTTAATCAATATGATGTGGATATAACAAGAACACCGACAGAAGTCAAACATGAGAAACCGATAGATATTGCGAAGTCAATTGATATATACTCCTCTCAAAAGTCAAGCTTTTGGTTGTCAAGTATTGTGTTGGATCTATACGCGTATTCGTACCAAAGAAGGATTAGAAGGCAGTCAATGCTTGCGTGTTTCTTTGTAAGAAGACGAAATCCATAACATCATCGATCCGAAGAGAAGGAGGAGGCGTTATGATGCTCTGTTGCTTGATGCAGCTTACCAGCCAATCATTCTTGTTCATTTGACATTTACCCCTCGATCGGAGGTTGCAAGGACCGACGGACAAGGTGTGAAATGAAAGTCCGCTCAGTCCGATGAAGACATTGTGTGACGAATCATCGACGAGTATCTCGTCAATGAATAGGTAATTATAGGTGGCATTTTGTGTAAAGTGGTGGTGGTCTCTCGTACTTCGTAAATGTCTGGTGAGAAACAGGAGACATCGGACGGGAGGCACGGAAGCTACTCGCCCATTTAACAAGGGTTCTGGCTATCTACACCCATAGTCGTTCTTGCCATTATTGGTAAAAAGCCTGATAGAATCTGGCTCGAAGTTGGTTACCACCTCACGGACACTTGAACACTTACTCTCGTTACTTTACTTCACCACGCTCACCTACTCACCATCATCGAACGATAACAATAAGAGGATGCAGTTGTGGGGAACAGCATAGGAAAGCATAGGAAACACAAAATCCATCAATTCTTTCCTGGTCCTGGGCATCTAACGCATCTGAAACACCACACTTTCTACAATAGCTCCAATCATCTCATCATTTTTGGGAGCTTCGTGTGGCCCGGTCTAAGCACAATGATGGAAACCTCTTAATCAATACCACTTCTATCACTATTATTTCAAGCTTCAACACTCTTCGCACTCAGACTCAAGGAGTAGCTCCACAACTTGAGGCCTCGTAGGCTGTGGCAGGGTTACGAAACAAGCTTTTCCACCATATTTCCCGTGGAGCCACTATGACGCTTGGCGGAGCTTTTCGATCTCAAGCAGTCAAAGTTCAGCATGAATCAATCCATGCTTCTATGAATAGCATGTTTGGAAAGCCACTTCAATTGGATCAACAAGTATTCATCAGGTAAAAGAAACTTCTTTATGTGGTTTTTGGGTGCTTAGTGGCTGGTGCTTGGCTGTGCTTGCAAGTTACAATTGAGTCCAGTCCATCAGATGTCGTCATCTTCAGTAAGGTGCTTCTGGTAAGTGAGTGAATTTCGTCGATGCTTTTCAATAAAGCTGCTTTGTTACCAGCCAGGAAATTGACATCTCAAATCAATCTCTTCTTCCTTCTCAAACTTCTCAATACTATCAACGTACTATTTCCCCTATACATCTCTAGAAATTTAAAATACTATACCACCATTGTAACTTTCAATCTAACATAATCACCATGTCTCTCGCACGCCATGTAAGTTGGAATTCTCCCAGGCTTCCAATACTCAGCTTCTCATATTGACCGTTCCCTCAATTCAGGTCGACCCAGATCAGATTATTCAGAATTTACAGAATATGCATATGAAAGAAGCTGGCCAAAAGCATGTACACACCAAAGGAGGAACTTCCCATATTACCCCATACTCGACTCGATATGCTTCCAAACAAGAAATCTCCAAGTTCGAAATACCTCAAGATGGAGCACCAGCAGATGCTGTTCATCAAATGTTGAAAGATGAACTAGATCTTGATGGTAGACCTAATTTGAACCTCGCAAGGTATGTTGTTCAATTGCTCAGACCATTAGAGTAACGTGAAGCCGGTTGAACACTGCTAACGTCGCCATCAGTTTCGTGGGTACATACATGGAAACCCACGCTGAACAATTAATGTTCGAGAATATTTCAAAGAATATGTCCGATGCAGACGAATATCCAGCAATGATGCAAATGCACACTCGCTGTGTTTCCATTATCGCCAATCTTTGGGGAGCCCAAAAGGGAGAGAAAGCTATTGGATCTGCGACAACTGGTTCTTCAGAGGCTATCCATCTTGGTGGCTTGGCTATGAAGAGACGTTGGCAAGAAAAGCGTGAGGCTGAAGGAAAGGATAAATCCAAGCCAAATATCATCATGGGATCGAATGCTCAAGTAGCTCTTGAGAAATTCGCCAGATACTTTGAGGTTGAAGCTAGAATCCTTCCTGTTTCTGAAAAGTCAAACTTCAGACTTGATCCGGAATTGGTCAAAGGAAATATCGATGAGAATACTATTGGTATCTTTGTTATTTTAGGAAGCACATACACCGGTCATTATGAACCAGTTGAAGAAATCTCCAAGATTTTAGATGACTATGAAGCCAAGACTGGGGTTGATATCCCAATTCACGTTGATGCTGCGTCCGGAGGCTTTGTAGCTCCATTCACCCATGCTAAAGCTGGTGGTCCAAAGTGGAACTTCGAGCTCCCACGAGTAAAGTCCATCAACACATCCGGTCACAAATTCGGTCTTGTGTACGCTGGTGTAGGCTGGATCATCTGGCGCGATGAGTCTTACCTTCCCAAACATCTTGTCTTCGAACTCCATTATCTAGGTGGAACAGAAGAGTCTTACACTCTCAACTTTTCTCGACCAGGTGCTCAAGTCATCGCTCAATACTATAACCTCATCCATCTTGGTTTCAATGGCTACCGTCAAATCATGGAAAATTGCATGAGCAACGCCCGTCTCCTTTCCAAATCTCTCGAAGCCACTGGATGGTACACATGTGTCTCCGACATTCACCGCAAGAAAGGTGAACACACATTTCAAGGCCTAAGTGCCCCCGTCTTCAACAAAGAGGACGAAACCTCCGCTGATTACAACGCCGGTCTCCCCGTCGTTGCCTTCCGTTTCTCAGACGAGTTTAAGAAAGAATTTCCACACATCGAGCAAGAGACTATCTCCAATCTTCTTCGCGCTAAACAATATATTATTCCCAACTACCCACTTCCTCCTAACGAGGAAAAGACTGAGATTCTAAGAGTGGTAGTTAGAGAGAGTATGAGTTTTGATTTATTGGATCGATTGATCTCAGATATCTGTTCCACGACACAGAATTTGATCGATAATGATGAGCAGGATTTGAGCATTTTGAATAAACAATTGACCAAGGGACACGGAAGCGCGGAGAAGAATCATGGAAGTGTGGGACATAAGCATGGAAAGGGACAAGGAAAGGGTGGTAACAGACCAATGAGTAATGGAGTACATAGAGCGGTTTGCTAGATGATATGAGTTTATGATTTATGGGCTTAAAAACAATAATGGTATTATAAAAACAACGTGCATGGCATTGGTCCTGAGTGTGATCTATCTGAGTGAGAAATGGATCGTTGAGTTGTGAGGTCTTCTCTTTCCTTTCCTTTCGAATATTCAGGACTTCGATGGCAATTATATTTCTTGCTATCTCTTCATCTATCTACTGTCTAAATACGTACTTCCACCTACTTCCACATCTCAACTCATACTACCATCACTATAACCCAGAAAACTTCAACGAGACCATTCTCGTATGAGGTACCCACTACAGGAGTCTACTCGAGTACCTAATCGGTTACCTCTCGCTAACCCCCTTGAAAAAAGTTTCAAGCCTCCAGTCCAAAGTTCACCTTCGATACCAATTAGGTAGGGAGGTGTACTCAGTACACATATTTTCTTGCAGTACCTTTCCCCTTTCCCATAGACCCATTTATTAAAAATGTTATTGTCCAGATAGAGATGGATAGGTCCCTGAGTGATGTTCTAGATTTGTTTTTTGGGGGGGTTCTGTGTTTGGTGTTTTATTTACAGCCTTGGAACCGGCTGTTCGGAGATCGATGGATGACTTTAGCAGAAAAGAAAAGGAAGGAATAGAATGGGAGGAAGGAAGAGAAGACAAGAGATGGAGGTTAGATATAGGATCTTCTTATGTCTATTATCTAGTCTCAGATAATGATTTAATAAGAGCTGATACATCCGTACAATGTGGCTTCGAGAAGGATCAGATGAGAGGTTCATTGATTGAGCGTTCGCATTTTCAATCAAATTTGAGTTGGATATCTGATTTTCACGTGATAAGATGGGAATCTTTGATTTGTGTATTTGCACGAGCTGACGATGCTTAGGCATATGCAATATTAAAAGTACCAGAATGACGAGTTAAAGCAGGGGAGCACTTCATCCATTTAATTCCCGGCCATCAATTTTTCCACGGCCCATTTAACGCTCAAATTCCTCAAATCACTATAATGCTGACCGACGCCCACAAACAGCACCGGTACATTCGTAGCATGCACCATGCTAACCAGAGTACCCACCATATCCCCCACGGTATCACATTTGCTGATAATGAAACCATCTAGGGATCTGCCTTGGCCAAATGCTGCATTAAAGTTCCTTGCTTGTGCGACTGAATCTGTGCCAACGAGTGCTTCGCCTACCATTAGGATCTTATCCGGTTGAGCGAATTTAGCGAATTTTTCGAGCGAGGACATGAGTCGTTGATCGTTGTGACGTCGTCCGGCTGTGTCGATTAGAACTACATCATAGCCTTCTTGAGCAGCGAAGGAGACGGAGTCTTTGGCTACGTTTGCGGCGTCTTTTCCATAGCCCTTTTGATATAGTTCTACTTGGCCACCTTCTCTGGTGGTAAGTTCTTTCAAATTTCGTACGTGAACGGCTAATTGTTCGACGGCTCCGGATCTGAAGGTGTCGCAAGCTACAACGAGGACTTTGTACTTGTTTTGTAGAAGGAAATAACAGATCTTGGAAAGATTTGTGGATTTACCAACACCATTGACTCCGACAATGGACATGACATATGGCCTCTTTTTCTTCAATGACAAAGCTGGAGGCGAGACAATAGAATCGATTTCTCGAAGGAGATCAAGGGATGAGGTAGGAGTCAGAATTTTTCTTAGTGATGCTTCCATGGCTGTTGCTATTCTTGTTTGAACGCCTGCAAATGGTTAGTGGCGCTCTGGCGAAAATCATGTGTGCAATGCAATACATACTCTCGAAATTTCCAGTCTTCACTCCTATTAATTCCCGTTCTACACCCTCGCATAATCTCATCGCGGCTTCTCTTGCGACGTTCTTTCGTAATAAATGATCCTCCATTCCCTTCATGGCTTTATCCAAATCTTCCTTAGTCAGAGTCTTTCCTCCTACTACATTTCTGAATAATCCTCCAATAGCACTGAAACTGGATCCCACTAGGCCAGCTGCTGGGGCGCTAGACTCCGCCTTCTTCGCATTCGCGGAATCTAAAATCGAATGGACTTCGTCTTCAAGATCCTTCAATACGAACTGCCCCTTTCCAGTTTTTGAACCCCATGAGGTTTGTTCAACTCCCTCCACGGCGCCCGGACGACCTTCGTCCTCCCCAGAAGTCGCCCCGTTTGCGGGCGCAGAATAGTCGAGGGGGGTATCGCTATCCTCATCTGCCATTCCGTCTGCATCCCATTTTCTTCCCTTCTTTGGTCCGGTTTTTACACTTCTACTTTTTCTGTGAGATTCGTCGCCGGATGAAGCATACGTAGGGGTCTGGGCTGCCTTTCTAGCTCTTCGAGAAACCTTTCCACCCGGTCCTGCTTTTGCGCTCAATATGTGGCTCGCAGGTGTACTCGGTCGCGAACTAGGTGTTCCGAGGGGGGTCGAGTCGGGGGAAGGGATATCTTTGACATTATTCTTTGATTGTCCTATGGAGTATTAGTAAGTTTGCGCTTGAGAGAAACACTAGCGCATACCTCTCGAGGGTAGTCCAGGCATTGGCGGAGGCTCATTGTCTGAAGTCGTAGAAATCAAAGGAATCGACTCTTCGAACGCAGAAGCCTCTGCAACTCTAGCGTCCTGATTCAAAGCACTCTTCTCCAACTCCCGCACTTGTTGGTCAAAATATTCATCGAAAGCACATTCGACAACAGTTGTGTGTGGTTTTCTCAATTGATCACCATATAAGTCCACAAAAATCGTTTTGACATTATCCACCAATTTGTCAATCCATGACAAATGTAGCAATGACCTGTACACGACCTGCAAGTCAAGTTAGCACGAGATGACTCAAAAATTTCCTAGAATTAGTTGCGCCACAGGACTACTTTTGCATACCACAAATATTAAGCCTAATTCTTTGCACGTTGTCCATTTCAAAGTATGCTGATCATGTTTGAAAGGAGGATTACTCGCAGCAGAAATATCATCTGCAACTCCGGCACCGGGTAAGGTTCGTTCTTCAATGAAAACATTCGTGATAAGGCTGTTAATAACCGCAGGGCTGACGGGGGAAAATTGTTTCGACCATAGTACCACTCCAGAAGTAGTGAGGATCTCAAAAGCATCCAACATCTTGAGTATTAGAAATTCGTAGCAGTCGTGAGAGTCGTAACAATAGATTCGTAGAATGTAACACTGTGGCACTATTAGAAGGAGTCCATCAAAGAAGATTATGGATTCATATGGACACTTTCTTCTAAAAGCACGCAGAATGATTGTGCCAAGCATCACCGATAAGACGATAAACGTCGATTAATAAAGCAGCCGCCTTATATGCTTAACCGATATCCCTACATCTTGCACAACCCTGCATCTTGCACACTTTTATTTCTTTTGAAAATAATATTCTAAAAATGATATATAATCAACCAATCATTGGATTCTATTAAAAATAAAAATAAGAATATTATAGTATTATTTCTTTTATATAAAATAATAAAATCATAATTATAATTAATAATTAAATAGAAATCTCGATATCAAAACTATCAATATAAAATTATTATATATTAATTTATTTAATAATAGAAATAATAAAAGTTTGTTTTTAAAATATATTCTATAAATTTGAAGATCTTTTAATATATGGAATCAAAAAAAGCTAATTTTAATATCAAAAATTCGAAATTATATTAATATATAATAAGAGTTTTAATAAATAATTTGTTTTAAAACAAAAATCTTTTATAACTTAAGTATTAATTATATTCTGAATATAATTTAATTATATGATATATTATTTATATATTAATATTAATAATTAAATAATAAAATGCTATATTTTATTATATATTTATATATATAATTATTTATTTTAAAAAATATTAATATTTAAAAATTAAAATTATATAATCAATAATAAAGAATTTTTATTCAAATATTTTTTGAAAGAAAATCTTGATTTAAATTTAAATTTAAAACTAATAATTAGTATTAAATATTATAAAATGAATTTGAAATTGAATATAAACTATAAAACTCTTAGAAATATTATAAAATTTAAAGACTTTTTTTAGAAATAAAATTCTTTTAAAAAAGGAACTACAATATTTTTGATTGAAAAAAAATATATAATAAACTTTTCAATTGAAATGTAAAGGTCAATTATTTTAATTATTATTTTTATTTATTTATATTATTTTATAATATAATTAATTATAATTTCTAAATAATATATTATTTCAATATTATTTATTATTATTATATTATATATTTTCTAATATATAAAAATATAGTTTTATAAATTAAATTAAAATATCAATTTTATTTTTCTAAAATCTCGAAATAAATCTTTTATCATATTTTAAAAAGTATTTTTAAATTATTTTTCTTTTTTTTAAAACTATATAAAAATTTAAAACTTAATATAAAACTTGATTATTAATATTTTTCGAAATTTCAAACTTTTGATTAATAATAATAATAATAATAAATACAAAAAACTATTTTTCAATTATATACATTCACTCTAATATAGGTTTTTATTTTATTATTAATATTTTAAAATATTATTACTCAAAATCAATTAATATTCAATTGAATATTTCAAATCTTTCAAATTCCTGAAATTATCTTTTAATAAATATAAGATTCTATTATACAAATTTTAAAATCATTATAATGATACTTGAATTTAATATCGATTTTTAGTTTAATAAATCAAATTGTGCAAGATACAGGGTTGTGCAAGATACAGGGATATCGGTTATAGCAGCCACCCAAAGCTCAATGCTTTATGGAAATGTGTTCGACCTAGGCGCGATTCTTACGTGTTGTATGATAGTTATACCACTTTCCACCCCCTTATTATTCCACTCCTCATACCATTAATCGCAGCAGACGCTATTCGTCTACTTCTGTCAGACCTTCAATATGCAAAGATCAAATTATGGGAACTTCCCTCCAGCTAACTCTCCCCCTCTTCATCACCCAGTACCTCAACATGTCTCTACAGTCCCTCAGCTACGATCACCTCCTCCCCCAATGCCACAACAACAGCATCAATCAGGCTATGGAAACCCCTACCAACCACAAGCTTCAGGGAATGCTGCCGCATTCGGCGCATATGGAGGCTTCATAAATGATCCTACGGCGCAAATGGGATTCCAAGTTGGACAAACAGCTTTAAAACATGGAACAGAATATGTGGAACAGAATGTCAGTATATGACGATACATATTGGAGACGACGTTCTGACAACTGGATAGTTCAATCGATATGTCAATGTTTCGGCGCTGAAACATTACTTCAATGTCTCGAATGGATATGTGGTCAACAAGCTATTTTTGGTCCTATTCCCATGGAGACACAAGCCTTGGTCAAGGAAACAATCGATTGGTCCCAGTGGTCAAGAGGGGTGGTTTTTACCTCCTAGAGATGATCTCAATAGTCCAGATATGTATATTCCAGGTATGATTAATTGCCCGCGAGCAAACTTCATAAATTGACCTCTTCCCAGTAATGGCACTTGTGACTTATATCCTCCTTTCCACACTTTTAGCCGGCCTCAGAGGAGCTTTTCAACCAGAACTCCTTGGGTCCACGGCAGGATGGGCATTTTTTATTGTGTTTATTGAAATTCTGGGATTGAAGCTTGGATGCTATCTCCTTTCAATTTCCAACGAGTCCCAGCTACTCGATTTGGTCGCCTACTCTGGATATAAGTTCGTTGGAGTTATTGCCACTTTAGTCGTCAGTGAGATCATCAACGGCGGAAAAGGAACTGGCGGTTGGATTGGGTGGACTGTTTTCGGTTACACTTTCCTCGCCAATGCTTTGTTTCTGGTATGTTTCCCCCCTTAAATGTTATTTTTTTCCGTGCCTCTGATAGAAGTACCAGCTGCGATCCTTAAAATACGTTTTACTTCCTGAAAATACAACTGATGAGCGAGGAACTATGCAAACAGTTGCACGATCGCAGAAGAGCCGAAGGACACAATTTCTCTTTATCTACTCATACCCTGTACAATTGATCTTCATGTGGGGACTTACACGAGCCTGAGTTAGTGGCTCGGATATGGAATCAGTACTGCATTGGCATATAGAATGACACTAGCGAGATCAAGGATATTGGATCGCTACTGGATGGTACAATTGGGTTTCTGGTGAAAAGGCTAGGCTGGCACGACGAGGCAAATGTGTAAGAATACAAGTTTCAAAATACCCAATACAAGTTGTTATATTACTGTTCACTAGCATCGATACCAATCAGCAATGGTTGTTATTGATCTAATTTGATTGTTTATGCGGTAAACTTTTGTGCTTTCAGTAAACTGTTGAGTGATAACTCACATTGTTAGCCTATATCAGAGACTCAAGTGATGCTGTCGTCTTGATTGTCTTGTAGATGCTCAAATCGAATAGAGATCTTGAGACGTGTTTCCCTCCGAATTTGACGTGAATTGTCAGATAGATGAGCATATTGGAGTAGCGAGCTCGTCGACATTGAGACCCCGGCCGACACGCACTAATCACAATGACGTGTAGAGGACTTTTTTGGTATTTTCTACATTGCAAAGGCATTAAAACTAAATAAAAAAATGTTATTGAGATAGAAGTGTTTTCAATTCTTCATTGTGCCTCTCCTTTTCGTCTAGGGTATGCTCCAACAATGAAGCAACTCAGTACTAGTGTAACTATCAGAAACGCTGAATATTTAGCCACCAGCTATCAAGTGACTAACTACCATCGACATATGACACATGTGGCGAGGAGAATGTATGCTATCTGTGAAACAAAGGAACGAAACGCTTTTTGAGGGCAGATTGTCTGATTGATTCGCAGTTTACCTATCTAGAATAGACGTGAAATGGAGGGGGCATGGAATAATAAATCTGCCTACCTGGTTTGTCTCGCCCAGTATCGGCTCGAGTTTCACTCACTCGTTATGGATCTCACCACTTGAAAGTTCTTACATAATTCTTGGTAACATATTCTTGGAACATCTCCATGCCTCCTGCATACATCTGTAGTCATTGCTAATACTGCCGCAATAATGACATACCTCATGGAAAATAGACGGTGAAATCGCAGGACAGCGGCTACCTAAGAAGCTCAAAGATTTAGTGATATCGCTATAGCGATGGTTGTGCCATTCGCGGCTACTGGGTAAGACATACAGTGGATGACTGTAGAATACTTTGCTGAAACAACCTTTACAAGTGACGTCTGCAGTCATGAGTAACTTTTGAAGCAATTATTTCAAAGATGACTTCTAATTTATCAGGGCTTTGCTAGAGGCTCCTCATTGCTTGATCTACCTAGGTAGACATTGCAATATCTTGACTAGTCAGATTTTCAACTTGTAAAGCATGACCAGATGGTACGTGGCAAATAATACTAATCTATGTGCGAAAACACCTTCCCACGTCTTGTGTTCTCATCTCAAGTTGAGATACTCTACTAACTAGGTACCTAATCAATAACAATATGCTTTCCCACTTCTGCGAACCCGACAATTTCAATCTCGTCATCACTTTTTTCGTTCAAAAAACTCCCAGCTTTTGTCCCCAAATCCGTATCGTCCGCTTCGTCAATAAGATCCACGACCTCTACTTGATGATTACTATCCTCGATGTGCACCCTGTCCATGTCGATGTCTTCGCAAATATCCATCTTATCGTCCACCTCCCCATCCAAATCCCGGTTCTCATCTTCATCTCCATCTTTCTCATTCCTCACAGCTCCATCTATCCCCTCCATAAACTTTCTGATTCCCTCAAATAACACCCTCGCCACAACTGGCGGCACCGCATTCCCAATTTGTCTTTTAATCCCATTCTGTCCAAACTGATGCTCTAACGGAAACCCCTGCAAACAAGCGAATTCTCGATCAGTAAATCCTCTTTTTCCACTCGGATGCCAATTATCACCACCGCTGGTGGTCATTGTGCGTGGAAGAATCCCGTGGGGATTATATGGTCTGAGATCTTTTTCTGGAAGAAGGTGAGGTGAGTGATTTGCTGCAGATTTGGGGATTTCACGGAGAGTCTGGGCGACGGTTTTAAAGGATTTGGTATTGTTCAGACAGGGAGACGAGGAGTGTGTTGGTGGTGGTATGGGAGGAAGGGGCTCGCCTGGGCTAAGAGGCTGTTAATCAAACTGTAAAAATGGAATACTTCCTAAGGAAACTCACCATGATGCGATAATAATCAAACGGAATCGTCTTTGCGGAAGCCCCTAAGCAATTAGTCAACAAATTGAGCTCACAGAGCGTAGAGAACAACAGGAACTTACCCATTGAGCCAAAGGCACGATGGCCCACCTCAAGGAAAACCCACAACTGGTAAACATACAAATCAAACTCGAAAAATATCCTCTAAACCTCGGATATAAAATCCCAAACGTCTGTTCCAACGTTACAACCCTGGGTTTCGCAACCTTGATTACCGCAGCTACAGCAAACAAACTCGCAGTATTCATCTCATCATTCTTACCCTCAACAGTATGCGCGGGTGAAAAATATTGACACGGAGGTGAAAGATGAAGAATATCAACTTTGACATCATTAGAGATGTCTGAAGAACACGGGGTAGAAGTAGCTAGAGAAACAAAGCGTTCTGAGGACATCTCGTAGCAAGTCGCTCCGGGAAAATTGAGGCGCCAGGTAGTGCAGGCGTGCTGGTCGAAGTCAAATCCCCATTTTACGCGAAGACCTGCCATGACGGCACCACGCGTGGTACCACCTGCTCCACAGAATGCATCGCCGTAAGTAAAGGTTTGTCCAGAAGCCAGAACGAGTGGTTCTTTCAGTGAGGGCGGTCTTGGGCTGTGCACCCGAACTAATGAGGAAGATCGGGGATGGTGAGACGATAGGTCAACAATTCCGCTAGGTGGCGGAGAGGCTAACTCGGATGAAGATATATCGATTTGAGGAGAAATTCTTGAAGATGGAGTTGGGGAGGAAGCCAGTGGAATACTAGCCTCAGGACAGGGACCTCGAGTGTCAAGAGCACTTCTTCTCGGTAAATTCAAGGGAACCCTCAATCTTGGTCGAATATCTCTGGTGGATTGAGAGCTCCTAGCTGGTCTTCCCGTATCACGAAATTGTTGTGTATAAGCCAGCTTACTTTCATGTTCACTCTTTGGAACCGTCTCTGATAATGTCCCGATGTTGTAAGAGTGCTTGATGTATTCTTTCCCGTTGAATGCGAGCTTAACCCGACTTAGACGCTGCCTAATCTGTTCGATATCGTCCTCGGGCACTTGGCGGGCTCTTTTTGCTGGGTTGTTGTCTTCTTGATTGTTATTTCGCTCTGAAGAGGACGAGAAATCTGACTTGCGTTTGGTTTGAATTCCGCCTGCCTCATGGTCTTGGAATCTAGCATGCGAAAAAGCGCGATCATCATCATCGTCGTCATCCTCGTCGACGATTATGAGAGTTTTGGGACGACTTTCGGTATCCTCGACAACGGCAAGATTCGGAGGTTGTTGGACTTCGGCCGCCGTTTCTTCTCCATCAATATCGTAGCATTCTGGTATGTAAGTACCACCAGGGACCGCCTCTCCACGCCATTCGGTTCGAAGTTGGGTGCTTGAGGCCAGATATGATTGCGGGCTTTGATGTAATGATGGCAACCACTCCTCCGTGATCCGTTCTAAAGTTCTCTCTGCGTATATGTTCTTTTCTCTAGCTGAAGCTGATGCATACTTACAAGTATATTTCCAGCGCACAGTGAGCCCCCCTTTGTTGTAAGTGTCTCCATCGGTCCAGGTAGTATCACGATTCAGGTTGCGATACTTTGGATAACTATGATTTGTCCAACGAAGATTGCGTAGAGCTTTCACGGAGCTCAAAGGTACTTCGACAAGACTCTGCTCTTCTGGTGCCCGTAGGTCATCTAAGTCAATTTCGTAACATAGACAGACTTCATTCATCTTCTTTTCCAGCATGCCGTTGAGATACTTGCATCTTTGTAATCGGAATCCCCGAATAGTGATGGAAGCATTTTGGGTGTTGTCAAGACTAAGGTCACGAATTTCTTCAGATTTGACGTACTTCACAATGTGCTTAATGCAAATAAAATCGCCATCCTCCAGCTCTACGGTTTTCGCTGGTCTTAATATGAGCTTTCCGTGCGAATACGTTTCGCATTCGAAATAAGGGCTGATAATTGGAGGATTTCGTAATGGAGCGACTTTGAGTTTCGGCTGAGGTTTCGACTTTTCACTTACACTAATAGAGCGCAAGAACTCGAACTCGGGTTTCTCTAGGAGTTGGGATTCGAGCTTGAATTCGAAGTCGTCACCGTCTTCGATTACAACGGCGTTATCACCTGTGTGCGAGGTCATATCTTGGGTAGTAGACGTTTTCTCTTCGTCCCCGTCTCCATCATCTGGAATCGAGATCAAACCTGCATTGGAAGACCGACTCTCAGGCATAGAATGTATATGAGACGTGTTTCGGGAATTGGCAACCATTTCGCTGCGAGAGCTGAAAGAGCTTTCTTTAGTACCCAGACGTCTTGAGAGACGAATGCGATCTTGTGATGTCTCCTGATCGGTAGCTCCTTCAGCAGCGATATTCCAGGGCCTTGACGATTCGTACCCCTCCTCTTGGAGTATGAACCTTGGAAGGCTAGTTGAGAGACTGCAAACTTTATCTACAGGGTTATTGCTCTCTTCGGATTCCGTGGTACTGAAGACCACAGGAGTCGTCAAGTCAATGAAAGGAAAATTGGCTGAATGGTCAGGTGCAGGAGTATTGTCGAATTGATATCTAAGGGTTGGTCCTGTGAGATGTTCTCTGGTATTTGGAGGTGAAGTTCGATTTATGATGTCGGCGTTCAAAAATTGTGTTGGGGATATACCGGGAGCTTTTGCGAGGTATCAGCATAGATATATCTGTGAGACAAGAGGACGAGAGCAAGCAAAACTATGCCGGGCTGACCTACCTCGTTCTAGAATCACCACCTCATCTCTGTCGTCATCTTCAATTATGACAACAGCAACATCATCGTCGATGACTGTTGCCTGATCCATTGCCACTTTCAAAGCCCACAGAGATGGTATTGAATGAAGTTGAATTCTGCCAGTTGGTAGCAGGTCAAACAAACTTGCCGTGCAGGCTTCTTCTGGATGATACCGCCTTCTTAACTTTGAGCGATCGATTTTAATATCCAAGTCCAGTTGCTTCTATTCGATCAATGCGGCAAATTGAACATCCTTGAATCATAGATTTGATGGAAGGGCAGCTTTCAATATATGTTTGAGCTGCTTTGTTATGAACTATTCCCGCGAATTGCTCATACTTAGACCACATCATCCTGAAAGCAGGAGATCTGAATCATCTACATAAGGAGATTATATTGCAATGACAAAAGCAGGAAAAAGCAAAGTTATTGCTATTCAGATAAGGCAATAAACGTGAATATGTTGTCTGGTCATTGTGAAGTGAAACATGATGGTTGTTATAATTGATCGGGACAATTACACTATCTCATCTAACATTACTAGATGGCATTATCTTGTTGCTCATAGAGTGCTTATAGAGTGCTCGTAGATGAAAATTGTTATGATTCTAGGGATAGATGACAATGCCACCTGAACTCTTTAGTGTTGTTGTCTATGAATACCCATTTGAGTAAAAGAAGTTTTCCAAAAGATACATGATCTACCTTTGTATCACCAGATGATGATGGGCAACAAAAGCTTTCAAAGATGATGACAGCACTGTAGAACTTTCTTGGTCAGGGTGTATCCAAAGCAACAACCAAAATAAAGAGAATAATTTCTAGAAAACAAGATGAATTATCCAGCATGGTTGATGATAGTAGAAGAAGAAAATGAGGCTAAAATCAATATCAGCCTAATTGGAGCGACTTGCATTCAGGCCCCATTGTTCACACGATGAGGGAGTGGAAGAATGAACCCCCACTGCCCTCAATGTAACTGTACACTGATATTTGAATTCGAAGACGATACGAGGTCTAAATATATGAAATAGACGCGAGAATCGAAGCTGCTCTCTCATCATTTATGTGGAATCAATGCTTGAACACATTTCCCACAGTGACATTCGCATTTTGCCTTCTACTCCTCCAGCTGAAAGCCTCATAAGTCAACTTTGGGGATATGAACGGTCTCCCAGTCAATTGAAGTCGTACTCTTATGGCAATAGACCTTGTTACACGAAGGCCATGTCTTCCCGTTCAATTGCACTCCATTGGATCTCCGCAATATAAATTCCAAGTCCTTTTCGCATTTCAGTCTTTATCAATTACCGTAGAAACATCATGATTGAAATCCCAATCACACATATGATATGAATCTCTAAACAAGAAGCAGAAAACAAGCAATACAAACAAAAGAACGAATTGGCAGCCTTGAAAACCAGATTCACGGCGCTCATGCATACCTGGATTAAACAATCCCGGACGACTTTCATTTCCCAATTAATTTGTTGCACATCTCAACTTTGAAGCCCCGAAAGTCCAGGCAACACGGGGGACGGAATTGGTGCGCCGGATTGTTGATATTTAAGGCTTTCAGAATGTGACAATCCCAAGCTTTCGAGGTCTAGAACGTGATCCCTGATGTTTAAGGCTGAAAATTTATGAGAGCTTGACAGCGTATCGAGGTAAGACATATGTAGCAGACAGAGCTACCGAGACTTCCACAAAAATAATCCCTGCAGCTCAACTTCATCCAACTTTCTTTCCATTTGGGAATTTGCAGCTGTCCCTCTATTCAGTACACAGCTTTCCGATCGGAAAGTTTCCAGAACAATCATGGCAGATATGCGTGCACCACCCACTCCCACGGCCATGCTAATCGGCACCGCCATCATAGCCGGTCTCAGTGGATACATGATTGGAATTGCGTCCAGTCTTGGATTCTTCCCAATTCCTTTTATGTCACGGGCACCCAAGGAACGAGGAATCGCGAATTACGACGATGAGGAAGAAAGCGAGGAAGAAGATATCGATGCATCTATATTAGACCATGCGCCCAACTGGTCCAATGGATTCGAAGCTGATAGACGAGATGGATTACGTGTAACACAAAACGATACTACGAAAAAGAGTGAAAAGAAGAAGGAGAAGAAAGAGAAGAGTGACGGCGGAATTGTGGACACCGGAGAAGAATGTAAATTGGTCTTGGTTGTGAGAACAGATTTGGGCATGACAAAAGGTGTGTTATTGATTCCGTTCCAGCTACCTACAATATTGAGATACATTACAATCTAACAATCCACTCTCTAGGAAAAATCGCTGCACAATGTTCCCACGCCACGCTCGCCTGCTACAAAACTATCTCGCGCCAACCCGCCAATGCATTGATTTTACGCCGCTGGGAACGGGAAGGTCAGGCAAAGGTCGCGCTGCAAGTAAAATCTGAAGATGAATTACAAATCTTACAGGCGCAAGCTATGAGTCTAGGGGTTGTGGCTGAGCAGATTGCGGATGCGGGTAGAACGCAAATTGCGAGTGGGAGCCATACTGTTTTGGGAATTGGTCCTGCGCCAAAGAGTGTTATTGATCAGATCACTGGGAAATTGAAGTTGTTGTAGATGAGGATGATACTGGCAGATTCAAGGAGGTCTGTGATTGAGGCTCTGGGAAGAGCGAAGACGGGGCACTATAGCCCCAAAATGAATATCATGAATACATTGGAATTCGGATGCTACCGAACACAGGATTGGGGGCAAGAAAAGATGATCTGAAGGAATGTTGATTGATTCAAGACTTATGGGGATGAAGATGTGAAAGACATCGAAATTATGAAACGAAGCATAGAAACTCAAAAGCATAGCATTGCTGGCGTTTTGGATGATCGAGGATATATTTGTAGACACGAATAGGCTTTGGGATCAATTCATACTGAAGCCTCGACCGGAGGGGTTCTGGTCGTTATACAAACTTTCTTTGTACAATTCATATATATTCTCACCCCAATAATGTGACTTTATCGAGATGTGAGTCACTTAGTTCTTTACTTTCCAGTGTTGCATTTGAGAATATGATCTTGCATTGTTTTCGTGCAGCACAATATCATGATCTGTCTAGCCAGCAAGTGAAATCAGATTTTATATAGCCAGCCTACTACGCACCATAATCCGAAATCACGTCCCAAAGATGATCAATGTGCAATTGATATTATCATTAAAGCTTAAACGCTGGTTGGGTATATCATACACAATATTCTTTCTTCTACAAAGCTCCACCAAAATATTCGCCGTAAACAGTACATCTTCTGTTGCTTCAAGATACTTTGACTAACATTTTCTGGCGCAGGTCGTCATTTACCTATAATTCATATCAGTTAAATGGGTCTTGAAAGGCCTGGTTAGAGTGGTCAATTGGGATTGGTGTGGCGTTGAGGTTGTAAACTGGGATTGAAACACCTGCAACTGTGCTTGTTGAGAGATACACATAAACTTACATTCTTGATTCCTCAACTACTTCAAATCATCATCACTGCTCTTAATCAACTGATGGTTGCTTGTGACCAAGGGCTTCTCAAACTTGTACTAGGAGAGAAAGTCAGTGCTCGCTTCAGTGCATTGGATCGAGCACTTCATTTTACCTGAAATCTTCTCAAAAGCAAGCCTATCTTCTTCCTCAAGGGAGTCTTTCTCGACGGCTTATACTTTGTTTGGGGAAGTTCATCAACAGGGCATGCTAATGCAGCTCTTAACTTATCAGCATGTGTTCGAATACCGTATTGAGATGTTTTCAGGCTGCCTTGTTGGCCGATGTGTGTTCCCGCTGGTGAAATTTGTATTAGCGAATCTTGACTGCCAGTCAAAGACAGACTCTTGCTGTTGCGAGAAGGCTGATGATTTGGCATGACGCGTGGGGAAACATATGGACTGCGTTGTTGTTGCCTGATGGGCGAGTGGAATTCACTATGATAGCCATGCAAAGCTGGGCTGTTGTTTTTAGAAACGTATTGGGATCGAATAGGAGTCGTAGGGGTGTATGTTTGATTCCCATTATCTGAAGGGATCCCGCTTTCACAGATATCAGATGGCGAAATTGATGATTTAGTTGCATCTCTGGTGCCAATAGATTGACTACTAGCTTTAGTAGTCAGACTTTCACCGATAGATGGGATCTGCAGTAGCAAATTTGTTGTTGATTCGGACTTGGTAAGATGCAGAACAGCATCTTCAGTTAATGCGCCCTGTTCTTGTTTCAAAGATTCACTGAGTAGGGTGCCGCAGTTTGGACATCCTTTACAGCATGCAGTGCAAGGTCCTAGAGTTGTACTGTCTTTGAAACAGAGGGAACAGAGAAAATCGCCAGTACAGTATTCCGGTTTAGTGGCGTCATGATCCTCGTACACCTGGAAAGGCTTTTTGTGCTTTTTGTTTGGCATGATGGCGATGGCAGATGGGGAATGTGAAGGAGGTGTTTTCTTAATTGACCATCTAACTAGATCGATGAGCATCAAATAGTTGTTGGGCCGAATCGCACTGGCCGTAGACTCGTCAGAGGTTGTAAGAGTGGCTAAGACTTAAAACCCAGGTGCATGATGTAAAGAACACCATTTTCGAGAATCGGAACACAAGTGAGATGAGCTATAGGCAATTGAAGAAGTTTCCTCAAGTATCAAAAATGGCAGGTGCAAGACATGGATCGGTCCTGATGCTGAAGTAGCATATGAAGGCATGTACAAACGTCGTAGGTAGACACATAACTGATGTATACAATTTGTTCCCAGGTTGTTCCTTCATTGGCCGTAAACGGGGATCTACAATATTAGGAAAGTGTGGTTCAACTTGGACGATTAAACATCATGCTTTGCACTTTCCTAGAACTGAATTTTGCCAACCTAACCTGACTTTTACTACAGACCTTTTCTTTTTGAGGCATTCATATTCCATACTGAGCAGACGAGTCCCATGTGATACTGTGAAACCCCTGCCCAGACTTGGAACTTAGTCTTGAATCACAACACAATGTTATCGCATGCAATTTTTCTACATGAGGAGAAAATGTCATGATAACTGACAAACGCTTCGCTCTCAAGAGTTTCCAAACAAGGTGCAATTGGATTAAAATTTTCACGCCTGGTGAACGATATTGAGTCTGGATGAATCGTATTCTCCTGATGCTACAATTCAATAACTATACTGAAAATGGCAATATACCCAAATCTTCTAGTGTTCTTTACCAGCAACGCATCGATTCTATCCGAATCCATAATGTTACGATGTTACCACGCAGGACTCCAAGTCGGTTGTTGAGGTTCCTACAATATCTTCTTCACTTACGTGAAGTAGCAAACGCGTGTTTGACGATGGAGAAATCAAATGCTATCCATATAACATATTCTCATCTTATAGCATCGAAGGCGCTTTGTGGCTGTGTAATAAATGCGTACGTCAAGCGGTTTCTCAATGACAGAATTTTCGGTACCGGGCCTTATAGCGCAATATTCACCACCAACCAATCAAACCTTGAAATAAATCATTACGGATATCTCGATCCGGGAACATTGCGGAACATTTTATTAAAGGACCCTTGGTCGCGACTATACTGGCGGTCAGCCCTCTTTTTGTTAAATAAGACTTTTTTCTGTTGGAGTTGGGCCTGTTGCAGGTCTTGACCTTCTTTACAAAATTTGGAGTTTTTTTTTATAAGGCCTGGGGATCCCCTAAGTTATACTATACCACCTTGAAAATCCTTGTTGCTTTTGTATGCACCGCTCACCTGATCCTCCCGAACTCAATTGCAAAAAATGTCTAGCAATAATTCTAAAAATTCAAATAATTCGGATGATCCGAAAGATCAATCACGGAACAGAAGAAGACATGCAGTAGGAAAAGAAGCCAATGAGGAGACATCTATAAACGCTAGTAACGATGGTGGGATTTCTTATGGTACTGTATCGGGAACCAACGCATACGCACCAATCAAAACTGGAGAGCAAGTACACGGAAAACATCCTTTACAACGACGAGAATCTGTCATAGAAGAAGAGAACAATGAAGATCTACAAATCGAAGTCCCAGCTACAGAGCCGGAAAAGGAGGGACCTGTAGCTTGGAGTACTTTGCCGCATAAGAGACAATTAGCCATTCTGACCTGCGCAAGGTTATCCGAGCCCCTCGTACAGACAAGTTTGAGAGTAAGTTCTAAATTCAACCCTGAGAGCACTGAAATATGATTCATTTTTTCCAATTATAAATTCCTAAAATATTACAAGACACTAATATATACAAAAGAGCTATCTATTCTACCAATTAAAATCTTTTGATCCCTCACTACCAGATTCAACTATTGCATCACAGGCAGGTATTATGGCTGGCTCTTTTGCCTTGGCTCAACTAACTACTGCTATGTTATGGGGACGATTTTCAGATCGGTCGGGTAGAAAGAGAGTTCTATTGATAGGCCTGAGTGGTACTGCAATTTCTTGTTTGGGTTTTGGATTTGCACGAAACTTTTGGCAAGCATTGATATTCAGAATGATCGGTGGTGCACTCAATGGAAATGTAGGTGTGATGAGAACCATGATTAGCGAGATTGTCAAGGAAAAGAAGTAAGAGTTTTGCATCTTCCGTCACCGAATATCCAGACAACTAACAGCGTCTAGATATCAGAGTCGTGCTTTCTTGATATTGCCCATGTGTGGTAATATTGGAACCATCATTGGGCCAATCTTGGGTGGTATCTTGGCCGACCCAGCAGGAAGTTACCCAAGTGTGTTCGGAGGTATCAAATGGTTGGAAAAGTATCCGTATGCACCTCCGAACTTGCTTAGTGCCTTGTTTCTTGCCTCCGCCTGTCTTGCGGTCATATTTGCTTTAGAAGAAGTAAGAGATCTCGTTGTCTCTGCATGAAGTAAAGCTTTGCTAACTAATATAGACACATGAAATGTATGCCCACAAAGAGGATTGGGGCATCAATGCTGGCCGAGCTGTCAAGCATTTCTTCCGTCGTCTTCGAAGAGGAAACTCTAGTAATGGTGAGTATACTGTTATTTCAAGCGGTGCTTCTTCGCCAACTATCGGACCTACGCCAATTACTCCTAAATCTCCGAAGCGAGTTGCTCCTCGGTATACGAATCGACTACCATTCCGTCAAATTTTCACATATAATGTGGTGTATACTTTAGTCTCCCATGCCCTACTAGCATTTTCGATGGGAACTTTTCAGAGTATCTGGTACTCATTCCTCAGCACCTCCGTGTACAATCTTTCGCAACCGTCCAAGTCTCTCCCTGCAGACTACACCCCACATCCACCTTTCAAATTCACCGGCGGCATTGGTCTTCCACCCCGCGACGTTGGTCTTGCCATGTCTATTCTAGGCATGATTGGTATCACCATGCAGTTATTCTTATACCCTATCGTAAACACTCGTCTGGGCACCGTCCGCAGCTGGCGCATTTTCCTCTACGGTTTCCCAATCGCCTATACTCTCGCCCCCTTCCTTTCTCTAATCCCATCCTCTTCTCCGCCCCCATCTCAAAAGACCGGTCCCATAATCTGGATCTCCCTAACCTTCGTCCTCCTCATCCAAACCATCTCTCGCACTTTCGCCGGCCCAGCAACTACAATTCTCATAAACAATTGTTCGCCGCATCCCTCTGTTCTCGGTACTATTCACGGAATAGGACAAACCGCTAGTAGCGCGGCAAGAACCATAGGACCTGCTCTAGGCGGTTATCTCTATGGAGTAGGATTGAGTCATGGATATGTAGGACTTGTGTTTTGGGTTTTGGCGGGAATGGCAGGAGTGACTTGTTTGGCGAGTACGTTTGTGAGAGAGGGGGACGGACATGAGATCATTTTGGAGGGAGATAGAGAGGCTGAGGAGGAGGCGAGGATTAGGAATAGGGACTTAGGATTTAATGTTTAATTTTTGATGTGCGTGAAAGGATTACAGGGAAGGTATCATATGATATGATGATATGAAAAATGCATATAGAAAGTGGAATGAATCTACTACGATTGTGAAGATACATCGTCAAAATAAAACACGACAAATGCCAATTGCCTTCTTGTGTGTTCAAGATGAACTTTGCCTAGAATGAGGTTTGTAGTGTATCATCTTGATACTCGAAATGCTCTGATGGTCCGGAAATGTGAGATTTCGAATAAACACTGTTCCAATGCATTCATAAAAGAAATATGACCAAAAACCCCAAAGTGCCACCTATTTTATGTTGGCAACCAGGCCTTATATAATTCCTTGATGCGTAACCCTTTTCCTCCGCGGCTCATGACCCAACCAAACCCCGTCACTATGCTTCATTATCTTTCATTAGTGTCCCGAAATATTTACCCTGTTTGAAAATGACTACCATTCCCCAGACCCTTAAGCACGCCATGTGTCTTATTTACCATATTCAATATTCCCTATATCACCCTAATTGATCTTCACCCTTTCCAACAAAATCCAACGCCATTTGTCGATTCTCAAATCAATTTGAATCCTCAAACAAATTGCGTCCCCTGCTGCACCGGCAAATTATGCGACGACTGGCCCGGGATCCTTTGCTGAGAGATCTGCTGCTGGTGTTCTCCCGCATGATAAGGTGGAGGCACCCCAAGATTGGAGTTCATATTCATATTCATATGGTTAAGACCAATATCATACTGTGCCTGTGGGTTTCTCCACGGCTCTGCTTCGTAGCCTTCTACTTCCCCTGTGATCTCTTTGATTTTCTTTGCTTGGCGACGTTTGTAGCCCCAGAAGAGAACGGGGGCGCAGATGATGACCATGAGGAGTGTACAGACTAGAAGTGCCCAATCGAATTTGGGGTTGAGGGCGAGGGGGAACCCGCTGGGTTTGTGTTAGATTTGATCTATGGATGGATGGGAGGGGACTCACATGAAAGCGTTTATGATTCCCGCGGGGATAATAACGCGACCTAGCCAAACATGTATAGGGGCAAATTTGGTGGTGGCTGAGGTTTTCTTGTACATTCGATGGTGAAGAAAGCCAAGAATCCATTGTCCGATCATGGCTATGATGATGATAAGACCAAAGATTTGATGCCCAGATTTGAAACCTTTCGTCTGTAAGGATGTTAGAGAATGATTGTTAGGGACTGAGACGATCGATCATACCCGATTATAAAGTGTACCCAACTTCGCGCCTAATCCGACCCCTATAAGTGCAATTGCAAGAGATATGGTTTGGTTGAGAGCATGCCACCTGGGGCTATTCAGAAATCGCAAAATGACTATACCTAATGGTAAAAGTCCAACAAATACTAGAACCATCAAAACAGCATGAGCAGCGGATGAGATGTTGCTGTCCCCTTTCTCAGAAATTTCAATAGTGCCTTTGGAATTTGCAGTTGGAATGGCAGGGACACCTGATGTACCCACCGCTTTCGATAAATCCATGGAAAAAACTCCATAAGAATCATGTCTCTTGACATCAGCGTGCAACGAGTTTGATTTCAGGGTTCCGGGCGGTCCATTCGCCCATATGAAAGTTGCGTTTTGATTTGTTGTCGGACCTAAGGATCCTCCTTTCCACGAGGTGCAGTTTAGACATCTCCCATTCCACGTGAAAGTGTTGTTGGAAATTCCCGTGCCAGCAAGAGATTCTACCACGATATCTGTGGTATGCGATGGCTCATTCTCCCCGGAAGCTATCCGAGGACTGAGAGTTACATTCTTTCCGGTGGAATCGGCATACATCATAAACATAAGGGAATCTTTCATCTTGTTTGATCCCATGCCAACAGCCTTTTTCTTGCGATTAGATGGAACAATTTGCACGTTTGAATCTTTGAACTTACTATCCAGGAGCAGCTGCTCGGACCTGATATGCTGAAATACAGATCATTGTTTGTATTCTTCTCCGGTATGTTGAGAGCAAATGTGACGCTCGTATCATCTGCAACAAATCCTGCTGCAGTTATTGATATGGCATTGACTATCGAGAGAACTAGCGATACTTTTCGAAGCTGTCAGCGTTATTCCGTCTCATGATGCCCCTCGTTGGTGAGGCGCTCGGGCCTAACAACCCCGAAGCGAAGCCCCAGCATTTCTTTGGTACATACCCGCTGTCGTTCCTAAAATCATTCGAACCATAACTTATTTATTTACCCAAATATTATTTCGTATGTTTGATTTCTCAAAAAGAGATGAAGCTACAATAACCATGAAGAGACGAAGGATCAAGTTAACCTTTTCTATCTCTTCCACACCCTCTCAATGTTACTTCAATATATGGGACATTGGAACATGTCTATGGCCAACACCTTTTTTTGCCGCTGAAGAGTCAAATTTGTCTTCTAGCCGCCGTGATCATTGACCTATAAGATCGCGCATCAGCCTACCATCTCAGAGACAGGAAACACTGCGACTATTTTACCATCTTGGCAGATTGGAATGAACGAGTGTGTGATTGGGTGGACACCTTTTCCGGGGATGCCATTGAATCTCATTGCATATCGAATGCCGACATCCGCGTGCAAATATAGCATTGACTTAATGCAATGCGACGACGATATTTCTATCGGATTATTAATAGATTTATTTGGGTTGCATGGAAGTATGTGATAATCGAATCACAGGTAAATCCGAGCCATTTCTGGATTTTCCAACGTTCAACTTCCTGTCGTTGGTCCAGTAGTCAAATTGCTCGTTTCCTTTTGTATCCCGTTTCAATTTCTCAACCTATTGAGAAAATCCACCATCTCGTGCGACTTTGCTATCTTTGGTTATATCTCCAATGCTTTGTTCTAGGATGCTTCCAGAATTTTCACGTTTCTTGCGTCGAGTATTACAGCCAGTGCTAAAAGGCTTTCAACGAAAGTCAACCAACAAGAATGCTTACCAAATGAGTTACCTTTTCGTCACTAAGAATGGAAAATCAGAAGCCTTTTTGTTCAATCTGCGAAAGTATACCCGGCATGTTGTACTGGCAAAGTTTGAAGATTATCAGATAGAATGTTCTGAAGTCCACAGCGACCACCAAAACTTCCAGATCAACTCACATTGTGAAGCTCGAATAGTTCTATTTATAACTTAGTAAGGAAAACTTCTCAATCTCACTGGGTACCAGTGTTGCAAACTCGAGGGACAATACGGTCTGTCATCTTTACAGTGGCCTGAGGAAAGCGGTGCTAGACTGCGTTGTAAGCTGGTCTTCTTTTCTAGTCTCTCATGTCCTGCGAGTATCTTTTTGCTCAAGTTTTTTCAGGTTCAATTTTGCTGGTATCTGAAGCTATATGGGCATTTCGAGATCATGTGGATATTGAATGTCTAAAGAATGGATGGTGTCAGATGAACATTCAAGGTTGTAGAGGCTGGGGAGATCTTGGATCATATCGAATTCTTGATGGGAATGGTAACTTCGACAGTCATGTTAAGCTCATTTTCAATGACTGCAGTTTCACTGTCATCGGTATGGATCTGGTCCTTACCATACGTCACTTTACTAAAGTACTGTCTATGGGTATATGACAACGGCGCGATATAATCATCAACGCAAGAGAAAGCTCTCATCTATCAACAGTCAGGAATATTCGTGTTCGAGACTATACAAACCATTTCGCATCCGATGATTAATACGGCCGCTATTTTTACTGCTGAGAATGAGAACAATCACCGAGGGAAAGAAGAAAGAGGCTATATCACTGGCGAGTGGGTATTCAGTTGTTACTCTTTGTACTAATTATACCAGGGCTTGGTTGGTTGATGCAATTCCATATTCGGTAGTATATGGGGTCAGGGGGTTTATGTAAAATGCTCATAGATTGTGGAGAGGATAGATGAGATTGAGGGGTTGATTGATCTGGAAGGGTTGAAATTTCTCTGTTTGGCTTGGGATACGATTGCGAAGGTGCTTTAGATTTAGTAGGACGGTACCGTTGGTTAAAGTTTTGATTTTTATTATTATTACCATGTTCGAGGAGTGTTGTGGCAGACATTAGAATAGGTACAGAGTACCAGAATTTTCAATAGAACTTATGAATGCTTATGAAGAGACTCACGCTGAGAAGCTTGAATAATGTAAATTAGCAGCATACTGACTACTACTGTGCCCATGTCGATCAAATGTAACTATATGGATGCGTTCACCGTAGAGGCTGCCATTTGAAGCTATTCCCGAGATCTAAAATAGAACCTCAACCAATCACCTGCTTGAAGTTTTTCTACAGTTCTAAGCGGCGACGAGGCAAGCAAGCTAAACATACCTCATACCTACCTACATTGAATAATCCCTCCCTTGCTTATGAACTGCATGCAATGCCACCAATAAGATGATCCGGGGAATGCGCCCCGAGCCTTCGTTGAAAAGTAAGGCGTGCAAGCGTTTATCAAAACTTTGCATTGTGTTAACAATTGCTGAAAGTAGCTATCTTGGGCTTGGATATTAATTGAATTTATGGTACATCAAGACGCCATCTATGCAGAGGACTGCAAGCTCTAAGGATCTGATATGACTCTACAGGAAACGGAATTGGTTGACGAACTTTTAGGTCTTCTAATTCATCAATTTACTTCCTCGTGCGTTCCTGTTTTTTTCTCTCTTTACCCCACACCCACACCACACACCGATTGCTATTGATTTCTACGAGTAGTGTTATGTGTAGAACCAAACTTCTTAACTTCTTAACTTCCTACCTACCTACCTACCTACTTATCCTCACCAACCTAGTAATAAACTTGCGTACCATCTTCCAAATTTCCTGTTGCTTTTCCTTCTTCCCTCTCTTACTTCAATCAACGAGTTTCCTAGTTATTTCCAATTTTCTTCTCTGTTATGTTTGCTGGCTTTTCGGATCGATCCATCTACAGCTGCAGTCGGTACCTTACTACATGCGACGAACCATCAAGTCAGTTGTCAATCTTATCTCTCTGATTGCTAAGGTGATACAAAATATTAATTGATGGGGCACAGATGATAACCCTTGACATGCACTGAAATTTATTGATTGCGACGCGTCGACAGCCTTACCTTTTACTTCAGCGCGCCTTGATTTTCTTGGATGCTTTGTTTAAACCTCGAGTCCCATCTCTGCTGTGCTCTGCTCTGCTCAAATATTGAACTTTTCGAATCTATCGCATTTATTGCCAATTGCAATTTGCAATTCAATAAGGCTGGCACTTCGTAAAGTATTTCTTATCGCGATTCTGGACTTACGAACCCCCGCCCTCTAATTTCTTCGATGCGACATTTCCTACTTCTTCCTTTTTGGCACCTATCTTCCTATGGCTGCCTCTCATACCGCGACCGTTCCGGATACGCCAGACCAATATAGAAGCAACAGTATTAACAATACAATTGGGAGAACACAATTGGGTGGAGCCTGTAATTATACGGACCTAAATTTCGGAACAAAATGTGGATGTTATGAATTCTGGGCTCAACCTCAGAATTCGACGGCCAGCGCAATATTAGAGAATGGAGGGTTGCCAAGAGCGGAAGTCTGCGCATGCGGACATCATCTTTGTTTTCATGGTCGAAAATCTTCACAGCCAACAGAGGACCAGCGATCACGAGCTTTAAGTAATGTCTCGGGACTCAATTTGGAGTCTATCACTCCTATGGCTCAAGTGAACCGTCAGCCATCTACTCCCAAGAATCTCAACGGACCCGAAAATGACAACGTGGACCCCGCTCGCCGAAGTATCCAGGAAACCCTCGAATGGAGCCGGCTTGTACAATCTGAAACCGGACCAGAGGAACTCCCGCCAATTCCATCGCAGTGCTTCTTGCCTTCAGAGACTGCTTCAATGAGCTCGAGCCAGGCTAGGCGTCCTTTCTTTGGCTTGGGGCTCAATACCTTGAGTCATATTCCTCGACTCAACACGCAATTGCAAGCTGTACAAACAGGTAAGGGACGACCTATACAGGCTTATAAAACCTCTGATGGTCGAACATTTCTTGAAAGTCCTACTGAGGTATTGACAACGACACCAAGTTTGCAAGCAACCAAGAACTTCGCATTTCAAGGTGTCCCAGATGAGCAAGCTATGGATCAAACGCTGGCAAATATTAACATCAACCCTCAAGCTGCTACTTTACCTCTACGCTCCAATAGATCGCCCTCTATCCAGGCTTCTCAGACTAGACCTGGACCCAGTGATCAAGAGGATATTCTTATGGATCTCATAGCTACTTTCGATGAGCCCGATAAGCACCTTGTCCCCAGACTTCGTGATATCATAACAGATTTTCCAAATACCAAGCGCAACCATGAGGATAGAATCGATGCTCTTGAGAATACATCATTCTCGAACACTGGGTTTGAGGAGCTCCAAGGAGAAATTGATGATCATGGTGAACGTATCAATGAGCTTGAGAATAGAGTAGAAGAGCTCGAAAAGATTAATGCTGCAGCTGACGAGAGCAGTATAGGTACCAATAAAAACCTGAATGAGTCATTCGATTCTCAGGCAACCAAGACATCCTCTGCTCTCTCAGCGAATGCTAGGGGCCGCTCTGGTCTTACCTCTCGTGTGGAAAAGCTTGAAGATAGACTCACTCAGATAGAAGCTACTCTTCCACCATCATGGGATCGACCATGGGAGATTGAAGTCGTATTCTTACCATATGGACCCCAGATGATGGGAATTTGGTCTACAAATCACGCAGTATCTAAACGCTCAAGGGCTAATAGTTGCGCATCTGAAGATTGGACTCAGACTCAACAGAACGTCTTGGCTGCTGCGCAAGCCTCTCTTTGCGATCAAGGTTATTCAATGTCCTGGGAGAAGATGATGTTGAAGAAAGGAAATGCAGACGGTGATCTCTTGATGCCGAGAGCGTGTGGTGCTACCACCACAATCAATGAACGCTTAAAAAGTAGAGGTTTGGTGAAGGTGGTGCAAATCAAAGGCCCCGATGCTCGAGATGTACAAGTAGCCCTGATGTCAGCCTTCGGAGATCTTCCCAAAAAGTTATCCGAAGATATTTTCTCATCGTCCAAACATACTCCACCCCGGATTCCCAAATCCTTGGACAGCTATCTTGGACTACGCGCTGCTTGGATACCACTGAGGAAGTTACATAAAACGTCGGTTCTACGATTTCTAGATCCTTCAGAGATGGTCACTCCTGCATTGTGGACCGTGCCATTTCTTTCTTCAAGTGTGGCAATGCGCACAAAAAATATGCGGAGGCTCTATATCACACAAGCGGAAAGCTATCTTCAACATCATGTCAATCGCTCGGCAAGATGGACTTGGCAAAAGTTACGTCTGCTACCTCGAGTTCACGATGAAGATGTGGTGGAAAGCCATACACCAGAGGCTGATGCTGCTGAGACATGCTGGGCGTGGGATGAGCGCCTCGATCCGGCTGATAATGCATCATTCACTACATCTTTGAGTATCCGATTATCCCAGGAGGCAGAGGATGCTGAAATCGAGCCCAGCTCTCCATCAGACGCATATTCTGCTGTTGACACACCTATGGAGTCTTCAACTCCATCTTCGGTTGCACATTCCAGAGTACCAGGATCGTCTCCTGTCAAACAAGATCGTTATCCATATAAACCCCTTCGTACGGCTTCCATGTCCGCACTTGCCCCACTTATCACAGCTCAAATGGGAAAACGCCGAATTGGCTCCTTTGATCGTGAACCACAATCGTCTCCCCTTCAAAAGACTTCTAGCCTAAAGCGTCGCCGTACATCAAAATCACCAATTCGGCCGCGTGATGCATGGAGCATTGGCCCCTCAAGTCCGGGGATTTCTACATCGCAAGAGGTTGTAGACGGTAAGAGAGGTGTCACTCCATCCGCGTACGCTACGCCTTATAGCAATGCACCTTATGTTGATACAAATTCCCGTACAAGGAGTTTTCAAACGCAGGAAGATGCATTTGGTAACGCAACTTATAATGATATCAATATGGATGAAGGCTATGGTGATAACGTATTGAGCGATTTCGAACCATTCGCCGATGATGCATCTGATGAGGAACAGCAACTTTACGATGTTTGGGGAGGCATGGTTGATGATATTCCCAAAAAGGATTCACAATCAACAATCAAATTGCCAACAACTGATCTTGTTCCACGAGAGCCAGAGGCCATTGAAGGAGAGGATAGTGATGATAGCGATACTCCATCTGAATATCCTAGCACACAACCTGTTGGAAGATATATTAAAGGTGCCGTTTTTCAAATTCATGTTGATGAGGATTTCGAGGATGAACTTGGTTAGAATATGAAATATATTCGATAAGTATGATCCGACGATATAGTAGAGACGAGATGAGGAGTGGATATATGTTGATTTGTTATTTGACACACAGAATATGGATTTTTTTCATTACTGTTTTTGAGCCTTGGAGCGTAGCGTGGAGTAGGGGGTTGGTGCATTGGTGTTTGTTTGGATTTGTGTGTAATCTTTTACTTTTCTTTTACTTTCTGGTTCTTGAGGATTTTGGGGGGCTGGTGGTCTTTTCTTTGGATGGATATGGGATGGATGGATGGAAAAAGTATATATGAGAAGGATAGTTGTGAAGGCAGATGGAAGGGAAGGTATTTTGAAAGAAATAAGGAGAGTTGCTAAAAGAGAATCGCTTAAGAACAGCAAATGAAGAAGAGCCAATAAAGAAGACGGACAAGAGAATAAATCTGAATACAAAGAGAAGCAAATTCAAAAATGGAAGACTCAAATTGGACAGAATATTAAAGAATCGAGAACAGATTGTATACGCAGGCATGGCATGGTTTGCTATTTTACATATAGATCGAAACACGAAATGGGATACGGAATTTTACACTCATTCTTTTTTGGGGGGAGGGGGTGAGGGATTGAATGGACTATCTATGCATAAGCATTTTGACGTTGAGTGTTTGGATCTGATCTTATGGTTTCCCTTGGTTGTATATAAATGCTCCAAGTCACGATAACCGGTATATTTCCTAGATTTCAGTTCTGGGATTCTAGATTTCAGATATGAGATTTGATCCAAGGGTGTAGTATAGCATTTTGGATTTTCCCATATCCTCTTTCCTTGTCCTATCTATGCGGAAACGTACCTGTACGTCTCTTTCCCCCTTCATCTCTCTCCCCCGCCCTCATCGTGTGATTTTCCTCACGAAAAGACAGCCCGTCGATCCGTCACGCATCAACTATCCCAAAATGTGTTCCCAGCCACAAGTCCAATCTCCTATCCTATCGATTGCGCACCTACACATACAGAACCCCACACCTCCTCTACTGATCTTTTCATCTAATCATCTACTCATCTACTCACTCTTATTCCTATCATGCGCATGTATCTTCCCATTCGCATACAAATGTCCATTTCCGAATCCATTCGAGAACACATCCCCATTCCTTCCTTTCTCCTCCTCGCCTCTTCCATTTCCCATGTCCCAATTTTTTGCTACCTTTCTTCGGCCAGCCAAAATTAAACCCACAGGCCACGCGAAGCTTTTGCCTAGTTTTTGGCCTGCTTCTTCGGAGGTGAGGTATTCGACTAGTGCTATAACTATTTTTTCTGTTGTTAGAATTGTGTGTTGTATAATTTATTTTGTTGTTTACATGCTCGGTAGACTTGCTAGCTTGGAAGACTTAAAGAATGAGAATCGAAGGAAAAAGGACATACAGATATAGGCACCGATTCCTGTCAAAATATGCCACCAGCCATGCAATTCCAATACAAAGGACCAAGGCATTCCCAACGAATGCTTGGTATCGGTGAGAGATTCACAAAACTTATTATCTATATTCCAGAGAATGAAACCGGATACGAAGATTACTGAATGTGTTAGTTAGGATTATGAGAAAAGATCATGTGATGTGAGAAGAGAGTATGATGAGACACTACATACCGCCTCCATATGTAACGAGTTTCTTCACCTGTTTCTGGACCTCTACATCTGCCACGCGGAGATTGATGATACTACGTGTCTTGATGCCTACAAATGCGATTTCAATACCTATTTATGATGTGTCAGCTGCTTGTTGCCCAATTTTCTGGTTGTCCATTACACGGGAGAAGGGGACGGAGATCGAGAGAAATCTTACCGAAAAGAACGGGATGCATTAGAGTTTCGTCAGTAATACAGTGCCAGGCTACGAATGTAACCATGAAGACAAATAGAGATACTCCGGTTACAACTGTATATCTGAGTGATTTGTCATATGTGAAAACTCGATGAACGACAGTAGATGTAGCGATTAACATGGAGGTGTCGTCGACTAAGATTTATTAGTATGAATATCCATACGAGAAAGTATCAGATTAAGAGTAGATGGGATTGAGTCTCCTTGACAAGGGAAAAGAGAGAGAGATTACACATACACCATTGTGTCCAGTCTTTATTAGTTGCATGAAACAGAGCACTGAGAATACCTACTGCTGCGAGCCCGAGATAGGGTAGATTCCGCAGGATGGCATCTTGACGGTTGGAATTCGCGCGGATACCTTTGTAGGCGTAGTAAACTATAAATTGTTGGATATTAGCACTTCATCGGCTGTTGAAGTATAAAGGGACCTCGTGATTAAACACGTGAGAAGATATGATGGCGGGATACGAGAAACGGGACGAGAAGAGGGAAGAATATACGGTATGTGATATTTGTGAGCGTATTGATAAACTCGGCGATATATGTAGTTATGATATGATCCTGATCTCCATCAGTTGACTGGTACAGAATTTATTGCATCATAAATAGAGAATCTCTGTACCTCTTCGCAGAAACTATTCGAAATTAGTATGGTGAATAAGAGTAGATGGAAGTAGGAAGATATACTTACTTGGTTTGCGAGTTGATTGTGCCCCAATATGGAGGATGAGGTTCCTTTCTGTATGGTATTGACGGTATAGAAAACATTTTGTACCGGATGATCGTCGTTGATCAGAAGAAATGTATGTGTCGAATGCAAGTTGTAGTCCAACAAAAATCGCAATCCTTTTGAAATCCAAGAGAACCGTAACTCGTGGATGAAGTTAAGAATACAAACGTAAGATTGATTACCTTGTAATAAGTGAATAGATGAATCTTCTTCCACAAACTTCGAAAGATATTCCAGAGAAATCAAATCAATATATGCTCAAACTCCAAACCAACAAAACTGTTTTCTATACTGTAGTAAGTGTATGTATGTAATGTATACCTGATCTATACGAGATATCTCATCATCCTTATGCTCACATCCACATTTCAAAATCTGGTTTCGGGTAAGTTGGCTGTATATATGTAGCCTTTTGAGAAAAAGAAAATCGCACGGGAACCGGTGGAGTAACTTGAGCGTCATTTTCAATGTGCACCAAAGGATATTGCCTGAATGCGAGACACTATTGATTGATTGGTACGTATATATTGTCATGTTTTTATAGCAGGGGTTTGGATGATATTGCTATATGCATTTGCATTTATAGATCATGACAATGTTATTCATGCATACACGTGGTGTGTGGACTGGATTACATTATGATATTTATATTTGATATGTTGTGTGTGAAAATGATGCTGTAAAATAGAAAGTTATTACATGATGGATATATTTTTATAAAGAATGAAGATATACTTCACATTGCCGTCTCGAACAAAACCACAGTAGACCGACTCATCAACCCGTCCATCACTCCAAAGGACGGGAAATACCGAAGAAGACTCCCAAACTTTATTATTAGAATACATCTACGAGTACGGTCTACGTACTCCGAAGATTCGTAGACATCGGCCAATCCATCTCCAAATGTTCCGACCACCAAACTCACCCAATCACGGCACACTCCATCTCGCTGACCCCATATCTTATCCTCTAACCTCGGTTCAATTCCTCCCAAAGCCATCGAACCAATACTAAAATCACGACCTCCCCAAAATCCGGGGAAATGCCCTCCTCTTATTTCTCCCTCCCCAACATCGGAACTGCCAATCTCACTGCTATCATCGCCACATCTTCCCTCTACGTCTACTTAATCGCATTACATCAACACCAGCAAAAACAATTACTAGCAGACCAGGAACGCGAACAAGAACGCGCACGATTATCTCAATTACAAGCACAATCTCAGAAACAGAAACAGAAAATCCAGACACAGCCTCCGAATTCACGAGGAGGATATACCGATTCACAAAGTTCGAGTGGAAGTAGACCAAGAAGATATTCTGAAAACCAATCGCAAATCGGAAATCAAGACCGGAGACAATATTCCGGTTCCAATTCCCAACCCAATTCAAATACATACACAAATACATATCGTCCTCCCCCATTCGGCAAAATGTCCAAAACCTTTTCTCCCTCGGAAGTCGCCGCTCATAAAGATGCCGAAAATGGCATGTACTTGATTATCGATGAGAATGTATATGATGTTACCAGTATGTTCAATTTCTCCTTTTATTCCAATTATCCGAAATCCCCCTTTTCCCTACACCCATAACTACCTTCCCCCTTCAACCTGCGGTCAAACTAACTCTTCCACCAGATTTCCTCGAAGAACATCCCGGCGGTGCGAAGATCCTTAAACGTGTTGCAGGTAAAGATGCTTCGAAACAGTTTTGGAAATATCATAATGAGAGTGTGTTGAAGAAGTATGGGGAGAAATTGAAGATTGGAGCGGTGGGAGAGAAGGCTAAGTTATAGATGGATTTTGAGAGGATGACTGGATTGGAGTTTGGGTGTTGGGTAAGGGGGGGAAGATGGGGAATGCAAGCGGACTTGTGTGGAGTTAGATGATAGGGAGTAGATATCGGATAATTATATACATACCCATGAGATGCGATGAGATGAGATGAATTGGGGATAATAGAAGATAATATAAGAAGAGAAGAGAAGACATATGCATATACATCAGATGAGTATTATTAAAAAGATTGAGTTTAATAGACAAGTTTAGTTCATTGACCATGTTACTATCTCTTCCGCTGGATCATGAAATCTACAGGTAGCAAAGCAAGAACATCAAAAACGCCCACGTCAAGTGATGAAAGCGAGTTCAGTTTTTTAAATTTCGTCGCATTTGGTTGGTATTCTATCACTACCCGACCTAGGTATTGCTGACTTTCCAGCATGAGAAGAAAAGTTCTGCAATTATTCATGTTTCCCTTCCCTTTCTCACCATCTCATTTCCGTGGTGAACCAGGAATTCCATTCAAAAGCATCGTAATCTCATAATTCGTTCGCGCTAGAGTGGTCGCATTTCTGTAATCATAATTCATCCCCGTCACAATACCACCTAACACATCAATCCTCCCAACATCAAACCCCCACCCAATCCCATCGCCAATGGCAATCCTGCTCCCCCTCCATACCCTCTCGCGTAGCTCCTATTATACGGCATCCCCGGTCTTCCATACGTACCCATTCCCATCGCATACGGACTCGGTCCAAACGCACCACCACCAGGCATAAATGGGTTATACCCATATCCTCCCGCAGGATACATACCCAATCTCGTGGTTCCCGCACCGGCCATTCCCGAAGACGGATAATACCCTGCAGTATTTCTCGGAGGTTCAATATACACATCCTTCCCCTGGCGATCTTTACCCAGAAGTTGTGGTTCGCCTGTCTGAATCGCTTTGCGCATGGCATCTCGAATAGCTTGATGACGTCGATACATCGCAGCTTCTTCTTCTTCTCTCTTTCTACGACGGGCTTCTCGCTCAGGATGCGTGGAATTGGTTAATTTATCTTTCATTTTCCGACCTAGTTTGTGGATGCCAGTGGGATTTTGCTCATTGGGACGAGCGTTCTGAGAACGTGCAGGAAGAGCAGAGTCGTCGTCTGTGCTTTCAGCTTCGAGGTCAGCGTCGCTGGGAACCCGGTGTAGACCTTCGATTCGTTGGCGTTCATTGGGTGAGAGAGAAGAGAGATACTCGTCGTCGTCGTAGGGATGTCGCCAGATGGAGCGGGGAGGGTTTTGTCGCGTGTCGACGAAGAATTGATGATTGCTTTCTGTGTCGTATTGACGAATCCAGCCGGGAGGAAGAGAGCGTGCTTCGTCTTCCATGGAACGACGACTTTGAGGAGGAATACCACTTCGGGTTTTGTGGGGGTGGTTGGAAGTGGCACTCTCCGTGTAGGGTGGTGGTGGTTCGGTGGGATTAGACATTGTGATGTGATGTGATATGATGATTGTGTTCTTCAGAGGTAGATATTTCGAGCACTCTTAATGCTCGTATGTGAAAGTTAACGTAGGTATCGTAGAACTTTTAATCTGAAAGATTTCAATATTGTAAAACCTGTATCAAGTTTCCAAAGATATATGTAGCAGTAGTTTCTCGATTTTGACCTTACCCCAAGCTTTGTCTGGGGCAAATGCTCCGAAATGACGTCATTAACAGCTACTCCTCCTGTGGCTATTCATTATACACCTATCAAATTTCTTTATCAATCGCACTTGCCACAGGCACAGCCATCAGCGGCGGTTACTAATCAATTCGAATGGAAGGTTTCATTGGAACTCTGTGGATATTGTTGTGGCGGTGCAACATAGCCAGAAACGACGAGACGGGCGTGGAGAATCGTGATGATGGTTGTGGGCATTTTGTACCACAATATTATGCAACTCGAACCACGATTTCCAGAACAGTATTCCTCACTCAATCTTCTAGATGCCCTTATGCCTAAGAACAGATAATTCATCTCAATCAAAGTTCTTCTCAAAGGCACGCTAAAGACAATCAGTCGGCGTTATCAGCTCAAGGCAAGAGAGATTGAGCAGAAAGTTGTACTAACTAATTTGGACATCAAGGTGTTTGATTCCCTGTGTACAATGTGATTTATTGAGACGAACTTTATCCTATCACTTCCTGGTTTGATGAGGAAGAATTCTTGTTTGTATACACTGCAACGAATGGGAAGCATCTGCAGCTAATCTTTCCAAAGAGTATCGAAGAGGGTCTAACATTAGGAAAGTTTGCTCTTATGATAGGCATTCTCCGTAGAAGATAGATCTGACGATGTATTATTTCCGAAATACTGATCATTTTGTTTGGCAAGAAAATGGCAACCGATGAAGAGGAGATAATTCTGACGCCAATCATAACGGCAGGCAAGGTGGGACGAATTGACCCGCCTTGTGGATGGAAAATTAGGTACTCAATCTTGTGTTACGCTTTACTCGAGACAGATACGCTGCCTCGTACATTTTTGACCAAAAAAAAGTTTATCTTTGATGTTGAAAGGCAATATTTCCTCATCAATTGTGGCACCCTTGATGTTGACGAACCTGCGCTTCCAGACGTCTGCGACCGTTATGCAACCTATTCCTGTGAAGCTTTGATCACCTTTTCGGAGAACTATGATGCTGCGAATATAGAAAGACTCTTGAGCTTCAACGGTAACAAAAAGACCAAATGTTTGATCTTCAGCCTTAGGCTCAATATCCAACTTTGAGCGAATTACAGTAAAGATCTCTGGGGAAACCTCAAACACGCAATGGTGGTGTGATGTCCTGATATCCAGGTTGGGAAGCTCACCAGTACTCTGTAGTTGCTGTGTCCCGTCGATAATACTTCGTGCTTGCTTCTGAGTGGCGAACTTGAGTTCAAACACCGCGCCCGTCACATGCAAACGCTTTGTTTCCTGGTCGCAGTAATCAGTCAACTTGTCTAGAAACGCAACAGAAATTGGTGCATATTCTGATTCGGTAGTACAGTAACCATAGTCAACAACAAAGGGTTTATCTCCAAGCTCGATACCTCCCTCCCATCCAGACCATGACCAGGTAGGAAAGTCCGGTCTTTGTTGTTTGGGTGGTTCTATATGATACCAATCTAGAATTGGAACGCCTTCTCGGAGAGGCAACCCCCAGATGTGACTCGGCAGCGAAATACTTCGCGAAACCGATCTTAGCTTTGACGGCACTTGAGAGACCAAGGCTGCATTCTGTCGTTCATACTCCGCAAGAACACCAAGGAAGGCATTGAGGGAGTCTCGGGGGTAAGATAAGTCTCGCCGAGTGTATTCGGCAACTAGGACTCGGAGCCCAAAATAATTTGTATCCGTTATAAAATATCTCGGAAGAAACCTCCAGTTGTTCATGGAAGCTGCTGTGTTCGGGGAAACTAGCTGCTGTACAGATTCTTCTGTATATCTCTCTCTACAGTGATACGACACTCCTCTGTCAGTGAAAACAAGACACCGTGTTTATAGTAGACCCTCTTGATACGTCCAGCCTCTCTGTACCCAGGTAGACGTCCGAATAGAGTCAATAATCGATGTTAGCTCTAGAAAGATGCATTCACCAATTTCAGTCTCCATTTGGGCTACACGAGAAATAGTACTTATTCCAGGTAGCCCATCAGCAGCCGTGTTTCCAGCGGCTGCAATGATGGTTACATAGGCCTGAGAATAAATTTTATCCATGGAATGGATCAGTCGGTGTTTCTCTGAGTCATCCTGTGGAATACACTATATTGGTAGTTTAGCGGTTCCCGGACCACAATGGCTTAGTCGGTAACTCACGTATTTGTCAACCCAGAGAAATCTCAGGCCTAACTTCACGGTAACCTTAATAGCGTCCTTGATCACAGGTGCAACTTCGGTGCCAGTGTCTTGTGCACTTCCCCAAACGTAAGACAAGGCAATATACTGACATGGTTTGGGCGCAGAAACGATCGAAAGAGTCGACGAGCCGGCCAGACAATCAATGACGAGAAGCCCAGGCACAAGTAGCGAGTGTATACTGAGACAGCTCGCATGCCGTTTGCAACATTCCGGGATGGCATTTTGCATCCAACCAAAATCCTCGACGAAACATGGTATCTTAAAGGGTGCAGGGTCTTCTCCGGAACCGAACAACGCAATATACCGCTTACCCTGCTCATAACTCCGATCCCGACCAGTTTTGTTGTCGAATGTATGCCAACTACCGATTTTCAAAAGTGAAAGACTGCCTTGGCATGTCGGGGGGTAAAGTAGCACTTGGTTTTCAAGTGTCGTGACTTCAAGGTGGTGGACGTTGGAATTTCTCCTTTCCCATTCTTCGCTGTCATCGTTCTTGATGATGGAAAGAATTCGACAACATCTACATTTTGAATATTTCAACTGTTCGTGACTCTTTTCCATAGTCCGAACGAGACGCCCTAAAGGACCACTGACAGTTTCGTAATAAACTCGTTTACGGTTAAATTCTGGGTCCAGGGGCCGCTCAACGAGATCTTTCCAATCCACCTGTTGACAATCCGAACATAGCGATTCATCTTTGAAAGACATCCTTCTGATTCTGACAGCCGTTTAATGTTTCTTATATTGTTCTTTTCTGGTGATCAGGTCGAGAGGTGTATCAAGATATACCTAGCTTAATACATACACAAGAGAGGAAGACACACATAACAAGAAATACACAGAATAAGATAGAGTGTTTTAACAATCACGAAGAATCTCGATCGCTTGAAGGTGGGTTTTTGATATTGAAAGAATGCGGTAAATCTTTGTAGCCTCTGGAATCTCTGTTAAAATAATACTTTCAACTCGTGGTGTGCTTATGTGGTATTAGCCGGTTGAAGGTTGGTATTGGACCGCATGCATGTGTATATGTTGGCAATGGCGTTCCGCTGATTGCTGTTTCATCGCTTTTACAGTCATCGACCACTCATACTTGACGGACCCCACTTTTACACTAAAACACACCTATTTGAATAATTAATAATTGATTCAAATAATAATAAAATAGTCTATAAACTTTATTGAATTTTTATTTAGAATTTAAAGAATAAACTAAAATTTAGAATTTATTTTTATCAATTTTTTGTTTTGAAATGTAAAGCTTGAAAATTAGTCAATTGTATTTTAGATCTATTTTACTAGTAAAATCCCAAAAAAATCTATACATTTTCTTCAATTCTATATTATTCAATCAAAAAATTCTTTTGAAATATAAAAGTTTTATTTATACATTCTAATAATAAAAATCTTTTATGTTTCAAAAAGAATTTATAATAAATCCTATATTTTCTATTAATGTATTGAAGTAAAATATATGTGTTTTAGTGTAAAAGTGGGGTCTGTCAAGTATGAGTGGCCTAGTACTGTATCTGGGCTTTGAGTTCGCAGCTTTATTGTGTGAACAAGGGTATTCACTTCAAAGGAATGACTTCAATACAATGGCTACTGTATCAAAGGGATTAAGCGAATGCGAAAGAGACTAGCTCTTTCAGTAGTGCCTATATAAGGCCTACTACTTTCCCACTTAGCTAGCTCTTTAGATAGAATACAATTAGACATACAGGACCTACAATACGTGGGTGCTACGTCTTCCGTATCCTTCTCGAACCAACATTTATTGAGCCTGAAATGGATCTCTTTCGCTAGGGATGTGGAAGCATGGGGCTGTGGTTTGATACTTTGTGAATTCTTCATTGTTTTTGAGTTGATTTAGTTCTGTGCTATCTCTTTGTAGGTATGTATAGGCGACATTTGTATCAATATACATGATTACATCGACTCTATCAGATGAAATGTGAGGCGGGACTAGGACTAGGACTAGGACTAGGATACATGTTGTCGTTTGTCATATTGGCGGCGAATACTCAATACGAGGTTGGGAGATCGCGCCGGATACTGTGATTATTGAATTGGTATATCAGTTATGTGTGACGATCTATGTAGGAAGGCTTGATAGATAGATGGTACAATAATACAATACGTATGTTTTAAACTTTGAATGTGAACCGTAGAACATCTCTCCACTATGCTATGCTATGCAATGCAGACAGAGTGACATACTCCATACACGCACCACGAAACCAGTTCCAAAAAATCAATATTCGATACCATACCATACCATACAATCTCCAAAATTCAAAATTCAAACACTAAACCACCCCCCTTTCCCAAGCTTGAAACTCAGAATTCGTTAAATAAAATTTTAGAAAACAAAATAAGAGAAAATAAGAAAAAACAAGAAAAAAAAAAAAACACATACCTCCTATCTCACTATAAAAAATAGAAGAATAATATTCTGATAGTAGAACAAAAATAAGATCTATGAGCAGAACTCTACTCGAGTATAGAAAACTTGTTTTATATGTCTAGGTAGGTAGTTATTGATTTTGATTTTGATTACTCACGCGTATCTATCTGTGTGGAATATTGAGATGGGTATATCATCGTATAATCTAGGTAGGTATTGAAGTATTCTGTGTATAGAGAAGAGGGAAGGTAACAGGTGCGTAATGTTGTTGAGTTGAGTGGTTGTGGAGTTTAATGAATTGTGTGGTGGGATGGGTTGATGTTGAAGTTGAAGTTGGACTGAAACTGGAAGTTCGTCTTGGGGGATGCTTTGATTTGGGGGGGAGGGTGGAATAGTATATTAGTAGTATATATATGTGTGTATCTGTAGATGAGAGTAGATGAGAGTAGATGAGAATAGATGAGAATAGATAAGAATAGACAGAAACAGATAAATAAATAATATATCAAGTAATTAAATCAAGGAATAATCAAACCAAGAATTATCAATCAATCAATCACTCAATCAAGAAAGAGACAACAGAAACTTAAATACTTCAGAGAGGTGATAGGTATAACATTGTCCGCTGTAGTAAGATAGATAGATAGGTAGGTAGGTAACTATCCAATTACCGTCCTTCCTTCCCTCCCTCCCATTCCACACAAAGATAAGTGAGTGATTTGGAATCCCCAGACCCATTTATACAACAATTCCTTCTATCTTTCTTCCTTCCATCCTTCCTTTCTTGCTACCTAGCATCCTATTCATAATTCGTGCATGCCTCCATCACTCCATCCATTGCTAATCCGTAAACACGTGAAACCCGCCAATCAATCAATCAATCAATCAATCAAGCCACCCACTCCTCATCCTCATCACTATCGCGATGAGAATTGAAAACCCAAAGAAAGGGGGAGAAAAAAATCTATAGTAACTCCAAGCAAACAAACAAATAAACCACTTGAGAAGCGCTATACAAATTTGGATAGGATGTGTTATCGCTAGTCCAAAAAAGCATGTATGGGATTTCTTCGCTCTCCAAAAACCCCTTCCAAAAAAAAAAGAAAATCGGTAGAACCTCCATCCATGCCTCCACCCATCCTTATGAAAACGCCAGAATTGGATTGTAAAACGATAAACCAATTTATGCCAGGTCTCCGATTTGCAAAACTCCTATAAGTTCGAGATCGTCCATGACCGCCAGGATAGTATTCTCAGAGTTTGTGCTGCTCTTTTCCGAGCCAGACTTTACGTACATCTCCTTCGCAGCAGCGACTTCCGTTTCAGCTGAAATGGTAATCCATCTAGTACTTGGGATCATCAAGCCCTTGATGGAAGAAGCTTGTGAATCCATATCGGCTTTTCCAAGCTGTTTGATGGAGCGAGGTGGAACGACGATATCGGTGCCACATCTCGCCCATCCGGATTCGGAGCCATACGCTTTGATGAGAAGATCTGCTCCGGTGTTTGGTCCACTGCCCAGATCGGGCATGTCGGCGAGACAGATGGCGATATCGGATACTTTTTGGGGTGGTTTGAAGGCCGCGCCAATGGCACCACCAGGATGGTATTTAGAAAAGACGGTGGAGATGTTTCCGTGGATTTCTCGGGCAATGACTAGAGCGAGAGCATCGCCTACGGCAATTGCCATCGTGGTAGATGTGGTTGGGGCTGCACAGCCAAATGATACTGTTTCTGGTTCAAAAGTGGGTGCGGGCAGTAAGATAGTTTTTGGTCGACGTCTGATGATTTCGCAATTGGATCGATGGGTGTGACCGGTCAGGATGATCATGGGAAGAGATGAATCGAGATGAGGAAGTAACTCGAGTAATTCGGGGGTTTTGCCCGAGAAAGACACGAGGAGAATAGTATCATATTTGGTGATGGCTCCAAGATCTCCGTGTACCGCTTCGGTGGCGTGGATAAAAACGGCTTGGATAGCGACACTACGCATTGTCGCGACGAGTTTCTGAGCAATGTAGCCACTCTTTCCTACACCGCAGATGACGAGCTTTCCTCTCTCGCCAATGGATCTTTTGATCGCATCCACAGCATGATTGAATCCATCTCTTGCAACTGGATCGGTGTCATACAGCATAGTTAATGATGATAGTGATGTTGCTTCTGTACTAAGAACATGCACTGCTCCTGATAAGCGTTGACTAAAGGGTGGACATCCCTCTTCTATTTCTAGGGGGGTCAATGACATCAGGTCGTCCAGTGGAGGAGGAAGTTCGTCGCATGGTGTACTTGGGGTTGGTGGCGACGGTGGAGCGGAAGCCGGAAGGCAAGTGTGAGGTGCAGAATTGAGAAGGTACACTTCGCTATTTTGAACGGGATGATCGTAAGCCATTGTTGGTATGTGGTAGCAAAAAGTGTAAATTTAAATAAATGGTGCGTGATGATATGATACGGTATTAAGCTTCCAGAGCCGATTGATGGTATATAGACGATGGACAGGTCCGCTGCTTTGAATAAAGGTTATATGGCTTTGAAAAAACAATTAAAGCTATTATCCGATATGAGATGTCTTAATTAAAAATGTTAGCCAGAACAAGTAAGGATAGAGACTTCAATAACTTTTTTTTTACCTTTCTAAATTCGTCGGATGGCCTTGGTTATGTTCTAAGATGATATCGTGGACGTGAAAGAGTCTAACGGGCTACAGCGTGGGTAAGAGTTATGACTAGGATATCTCAGACGATAGCTCCACGTAATGGGAAGTTTCGGTGCTTCAAATAGAACGGAAAGTGAATCGACGTTTACGGATCATTCTGAAAGTATTGTAGAAGGGTGCCATGGGGGGGATTTGAATATAATAAGAGACGAATAAGGTTTGTGGAACAGATGTTGTGGATAGAACCGATTGGTGGGACGACCGTGAAGGGGAGAAGAGGGGAGGGGGGTGGAATACCTTTATTGATAAACAAATTGCAAGGGGGGACCGCTTAGGTGAGGATATGAGAGAGAGCACTGAAGACTGGACACTGAGCAGTGGTGCACTTTAGAGGTGGGCCGTGGCTTAAAATTGTCTGGTCTTGATATCGGTATGCTAGGTACTAGGTAGGCTAGTTGGTACCGTATATAGTCTGTCTGTCTGTATTTGATAAAGTCGATGGATAAGAATACGATTTCTTCGATCTCAGTCGATGATCGAGGGGCTTGAGATTAGTTTTTAAATATGAGAAGGATCTTGCCGTTCCTGTCTAGACGAGCTCTAGCTAGGTATGGAAGCTAGAGAAGAAGAACAGAAGATGAATGGACTACGGATGGCAGGGAAGTGAGGGAGCTAAAAGAAAAGCCGACAATTAGACTTTCTAAAGTAGGTACTGCGTACATCATACATGGTAGTAGTAGGTCGTAGTAGTGAGTAGTAGTTGGTTAGTAGTACCTATGTGAGTAATAGTTGGATGGCATGTATACGACCAAGTAGTTCATCTAGGTGTTGTCGGCATTGTTGTTCTGAGGGTAGATCCAAGTCCCAAGTTATTTGTATTGATCTCATTAGTATCATCGATTACCGGTAAATGGTAATGTCTAATAGTATATCGTATAGTTAGCTTTCACGATAAAGGATTTCGTCCGATTTGAGCCGATTGATTAGTTTCCTTATTTATCGAGAGTATAATCGGATACCGGTAGTCGATGGCTAGATAGCCAGGTACCTAATCTCCTGGGTAGTATAGATCACTTTACGATAGAGACCTTTGATATCGTCGAGAGACTTTACCTGGGTCGATACAGTATGGAAAAGACTACCTACCTCCCTCACTATTCCCTCCCTAGCTAACGCAATTTCTCTTCTACGTCGTCCCAGCACGCAATTCTGACCCTGGTAAGATGTCACTGCATTCGGACCCTCGAAATTCCGTGATATACCCAGTCTGAGCCAGTCCTAAGGATTTCTTTGGTCTCTAGTCTCTCGTTTGAAAATTCCTTTGTCCACTATTTCTATTGTGCCGATGCTCAGGATTCTCCAGTAATTTAAACATGACACCGATGTCTGCATTGTGATTTGTTAAAATCGACTCACGTACAGTCACACTATACTCGATGCGATTTCTTATAAAGTCATAGCCTCATAGAGTCCATGATGATTGATTACAAAGGAGAAAAAAGTGGTGATGTTAGCATCCCTAGTAATTCCGATAGTAGGATAAAATGTTGTGCTTTCGTAGTCCGGGGTTTGTAGCATTTCCGAGGTATGATTGTATGATTATGATTATGATTGATCATTGATGATAGAGCGAAAGTCTACATGCAGATGTAGAATGGGGTTACTGTGCTGGTATCAAATCATGTCCAAGTGAGATTGTGATGGAGATTGATGGAGATTAGATCGATCTTTTTACCTACATACCTACCTACTTGGTATCTATCTTGAATCTTGATAGATAACTGTATTCATCCAAATTCCGAATCGCTTTCAAATACAAGGAAAATAGTTCATAAATTTTGTATACGGGCTATTTACCTAGTAATAATTTCTTGGCCATACGATATTTCGGACTCTTGAGTTTGAGATCCATCATCCTTGAGACATACGCGACGTCCCTTTCCCGCCTCTTGGATTTGTTGATGCTTTTTCTTTCCTTCAGACGACAAGAATCTATGTGCTTTGACACGTGCCGATGGTATAAAACCTTCTGGTAATACAATGTGGATAAATGTTTCCGAATTCTGATAACGATGTACACACAGAGTAGAGTCATGGCACTTGTGTGGCAGGTACTAGGACCTCGAGATAGGTATTATCGAGGCACCTTACCGTTTGGGAATCACATATTGCTGTCACTGCCTGTCAGCTCAAGGTTGAGGGAGGTGGATGTCGGTTAACGCGTGAATTTGGACTTTGCCGTTGGCGTGAGACTGGAGTCGATATAAATATAGAAACTTTAACCACGATTATGATTATGAATTTTTGAATCATCGTGAAATTTCATACAGTACAGCATTAGCATTAGCATTAGCATTAGCATGAACATTGGCATTGGCATTGGCATTGGCATTGGCATCAACATCAACATTGTGCTTAAACTTGCCTCGAAAAGATTTCGTGAATCCACTTTTGCATCTTCTTTTCTCTCTTCAAAAAGTCAAAGGTGTCGCAACAAGAAATAAATCCCTTATCTTCTCGTAATCACCAAACCATCATCCCCATAATTCCGAAGCAGAGTTCCTCTCTTCTCTCACAGCTTCACAAGCCAAATGTTTGAGCATCTCGTCGTTCAGACTTCATTCGATATGTTGGAACACGATTTATGGAGTCGAGAAGTTTCGAAATCGCCAAGAGAATAGGTAGTAGGTATGTAGATGAAAATGCATTCATTCATTTCATTCCACCACTCCACCACTCCACCACACCATTGCTACATTTTGATTGAATTTGCAAAGATACTAAAAGAACCAGATCAGGGGAGAATGAAATTCTCCATCGATTGGAAGAAGGGTGGGTTTGATGATAAGATCGAGATTGATGACAAGGCAAGATAACAGATCCAAAAATATCCCGTGTGGTGTGTGATGATCACAAGGAATATGAACCCTAGGGACTCAAGTGCCGAGGGAATGTGATATCACATGATTGTAACATCACATGACTTATATCTCGTGATTTGTATAACGTGATCTTTGGTATCTACCAGATATCTTTTGATGGCGAATCGACATGTTTGAAAGTTCGAGGAGTTGCATAGAAAGTTAGAGCTGGTAGTTCATACAGTAGACGCATGATATGAAGATCTAAGATACCTATACACAAAAAGCGATGCCTACTACTAGGTGGGTATATACAAAGCTTCCTACAGATGATGATGATGGTGTCCATGGTATACATCAAAGTTGAGTATCAGTTGAGTCTTTGGAAGTTACAACGTAACATGTATATCAATTATAATCTATAGTATCATTCAATCTTTGAAATTTTGGTGTTCCTGGTGTTCCTGGTGTTTCTGCGCTGAAAGCAGCGACTTGGGTGACTGCAGAAGGAGAATTGAAGTCGTTTGCAACTTCCTCATCTATCCGGTCCAATTCAATTCATTATTCTTCCGATAATTACACAAACCACGAAAAGTCCTTCCTGATCTCAGTCCTCTCTTGTCTTCAAGAAAAGACATCCCGTCAATCTTCATCGTTCAACAGATTAATATTACGTATACTCCAGGGCTTTCTAATATCTGTCAGGTATGTCTTATATTCTTGTCCAGATACCTCGATTTCCACATTCCTCCCCCCACCTTTTCCCCGTGTGAGAGATAGATCCGTCAACTATGTTTTCGCGAATCATCTAGATATTCAATGTGAAGTTCCACAATGGAGCTGCCATAATCTCTGCATTTTCACCATGCATTTGTCTATCTGCATACACAAAACACTGGTCTCGGGAGAATCTCTCTCTGGGAACTATTTACCTTCACAGATATACCATGAATTGACCACTTAAAACAGATCAATTGACCAAACAACCACTCTTTACTTTCGAAAATTGATCATCATAATATCTACGGGACCATTCTTCAACGTGAGTGAGTGGTACTCTCGCAGGCATCCTTCAAGCTTGAATGACTCTACTGATCCTTATACAGTACTCCGCTCAGTTCAATTCCAAAGCATCGAGCTAGTGAGTAATACCTTTCTCCTTCCATCCCATGGGAGCACTTGCGGCAAGACGTTCACCGCATAAGGTCTACGTCGTTATATTCAATAAACCTGGATATTGAACGTTCATCTGAGTATCAAACTGGCAATGTTGATATCTCACTTGAAACATCTCTTCAAAGTGAGGATTTGAGTGGAACTTTCAATCATTGGATCCTGAGCTCTTGACTGATGTGTTCATTTACAGTAACCAATCAAAATGGCAACTATCCAGACCCGCGAAGCTACACAAAAATTTGTCAAGAGACAGAACTGGGCAGCTCGTGAGCCTGGTGTTATTGTTGTTTTCGCCATTGTCTTCATCGTAGCATCTGGACTTATCGGTCTCCAAATATCTCGATGGATCTCTCGCTATAAAGAAAAGCAAGCAACAAAGCGTTCCACTGTCTGATCAATGCATTCATGTCAATACGAAAGGAATCATAAAGCATGTGGATCTCGTCATCTCAGGGGGTGGGGTGTAGAAGGTTGATCACAAACTTCGTGGTGATGATACGTAGAATCTTGAGGGGACTTGGGGGTCAACGCTTAATTGGCAGGATCCCGTTGTGTTGCTTTGTTGCTACAGGTGCGGAGGATGAGCTCTTGATTTATCGATTCGGTTCGATGATTCCAGATATGAGGTCCAAATACTTGCTCTAATCAACGGACATCATGTAACATCACGTTTTCGCTAACTCTGATACGTTTCGATACGGAACTCGTGAATCTTTAAAGGGGACCTCTGTGTCGATAAAAATAAATTTTGTTTGCTTAGTTTTGAGAACATTCAATCTTACCAAATAGTTTACTTACGGGGAAGTCGAAAAAATCTTGTTTGTCGTTATGATAAAAGCCAAGAAATATGGGGCGAAGGTCCCTGCACAACATTTTATACTCTAATTGTTTTGATGGTGTCAACTACTGAAGATCAACACAAGAATAAGTGAGGAGAGGCATAAATATATCTAAACCCCTTTTTTCAGTGGGAGCAAAGGGAACTCTTTTGTAAAGTTATTGATCTTTTTTCGGAGCTGCAGATTATCATCTCGTGTGACATGCTATCTCAGCTAGGATTATACTATATTCCAAATCATTCATGACGATATTCCAATGATTTCCTAGCATCAAGGACACACCAACGCCCAACGGTCTCTCTAGTGAAGGCAGTTAGCTGTAAAAGTCTGGTGATCATTTGCCTGCAAACTGGTTAGTCGTACCGAGTGGTGAACATCATAGTGGTACTACTTGTATTCAATTTCTCGGCCCGCAGATCGCAATTAGTACAACACATTTGATGTGCGGTGCCTATATTACTACCGACGGCCTCTAACGGTTTTCGACTTCTTCTTCTTTTCCCTTAATCACCATTTATTCACTGTGTTAATTTTTAATTATAATCATGCTTAAAGTCTCTGTTGCTGTCGTCGCAGCCAGCTTGGGCTTCATTGAAGCTAAGTCTTGCACTGATATCTCTATTCCAATTTCTATCAATGCTCGAAATGGCAATTTCAACATTCCACCTCTTTCTGATTCTATTGCCGTAACAAAATTCGCACAAGATTTCCTAAGAGCTGGGCAGAATTACAGTGCATCTACGTTATCAGGATTCACTACTGTAACTGGCCAATACAATATTGCTGCGACTGTTTGTGTACCAAGCGAGTCGAGCAGTAACTCTGATTCGTGGCAATTCCTTACTCATGGAATTGGGTTCGATAGATCGTGAGTACAATGCTACACTTTTAGATATAGCTACTGATCACGGATATAGGTACTGGGATTTGCCATTCAACAACTACAACTACTCATACGTGGATGTTGCTGTTGACCAATATGGCTATAGCACTTTAGCTATCGATCGCCTTGGAATAGGTGAATCCTCAAAAGCTGACCCAACATCAGTCATACAAGCTCCTGCCGAGCTTTCGGCAATTGTAGAAGTGACAAAATTACTACGTGCAGGCAACTTGCCAGACGTCGAGATCTCAGAGCCAAATAAGATCGTCCATGTCGGTCATTCTTTTGGTTCCATCTTATCTTATGAACTCGTTTCAGCATACCCAAATATCACAGATGGACTCATTCTTCAAGGATTCTCCTTTGACGGTTCTGCCCTACCCCAGACAGTTGCAGGATTCAATATCCAATCCGCATCCGTGAACCAACCTTATAAATTTGGCGCTCCTTCCATCGTCTCTCTCTTCGGCTCCGCAATCTCTCAACTGGGAAGCACGTTTAGCAAAATAGGATGTTTCTACATCGCCGGCTCAAACAAAGATACAGGAAACATCTACGCCCAGAATCTCGCCGACGGCTACCTCACCTGGGCCAATCTCGGCGCGAACCAATTCAATTTCCTCACCCCTCCCTTCTACGATCCGGAAATCGCAGAATACACCGAAAAACACAAGGAGCCCTTTACGACGGGAGAACTCCTCACGTTGGCGGCGCAACCGGCTTCCGCGCCGGAGTTTGAGGGCCCGGTGCTGGTGCTGACGGGAAATGAAGATGCGATTTTCTGTGGCGGGGATTGTATGGCGGGGGGTGGAAATAAGCTGGAGATGGTGGGAGGAGCGTTTCCCAGGAGTAGCAAGTTTAGGGCTCGTGTGTTGAGCGGCTGTGGACATGCGGTTAATGTGCATTTTGTGGCCGGGGAGGCGTATAGGGTTATGAATGAGTTTTTGGGGGAGGAGGGGTTTTAGGATGGGGTGAGGACTATTTATTTGTTTATTTAGTTATTTATTGTCTTGAAGTGAGAGAATTTGTAATTTGTAATGAATTGTGAGATGGGTTGGATAGATGATAGATGATAGATGGTAAATAGATAGATTGGTGATGAGGATGCGAAAGAAGATGAAGATGAGAACAAGAATGAATATTATTTGATACTTGAAGAGAAAGAGAAAGAGAAGACGAGATGAGGTGAGATGAGGTGAGGTGAGGTGAGGTGAAGTAAGGTGAATCAAGCAAGAGAGAGTTTTAATTTTGATTATAGTAGGTAGTTGAGGATTAGCACCGAGATGAGAGATATACTTGTTTCTAAGAGAAGGAAGGAAAGAAGGAAGGGAAGAGAACGAGTTTTGGTTGGAGAATTGATGTCTATTTGTCTATCCCATCTATTTGAATGCATTAAGATATATCTATCTGTCTAGATACGTGATCGCAGTCTCTAATTCCTTCCTCGGTGTTCGAGTTTGAAGGTTGATGTTGAGGTTGCCTTTCGCCGGATCCTATTCTATAAATTCATTTCTATCCTGGAATCTCATTCCTCATACCTTATATCTGAAGCCCCTCTGGCCCGCCTCCACGGTACCCTCATTCACGGCTCCATCGACCACCTCTCCCCTATCCAGTTTCTTATTCAAGCGGACCAGCATCGTGCGTAACACCAACGCGGCACACATGGCCATGAAAATCATTCCGCAATTCACACTCATCGCGACGACGTAGCGGGGGCCCGCACTACTGGGATACATGTAGCTTGAATAGATACTACTCGCATTACTCACCGCATTGATGAAGGCTAAGGCCACTGCTCTCTTAGCCGGGGGACGCGGTAGCGTGTTGGAGATCCACGCGAGGGCGACGACGAAACCGGTGTAGCAGCCGGGAACCATCATCATCATGGCGAGGTAGCGAGACGCGATACTGGTGGTTGCGGCGGCGAGGATGAAGGCGATGAATGCGAAACAGAGCGGGATGACCACGTGGAGGAAGCGCTCGCCGGTTTTATCGGCGTGCCACGCGTTGAACATGGAGGTGAAGAGGGCGAGAACGTAAGGGGGAGCGGTGAGGAGGAGAGATTGAATGCGGCCATATTTTAAGGTTGCGACAACGGTTCTGTGGTGTGTTAGACTCTTATTTTCTCGGTTGATGTTGGACGGGGGAAATCTTACGGGAAGAAATTGGTAACGGATGCAGCGGAAACAATACCAAACAAGATGATCACCAGAATATAAGTTTTGATATCTGTAAATGCGAGTTTCAAGCCGTGCCTGAAAGTTTGCTGATGGCTGTCCACCCAATCGTCCATGCCGACATCCTCTTCCAAACGCCAAGCAGCCAACTCTCGTTCCCGGTCTGTCAACCAAGCTGTGGTGCGAGGAAAATTGGGTAGGATGAAATAGGCCGTAGCGGCAATGACAACAGTGATTGCACCTTCGATAATGAAAAGCCATCTCCAGGCTAGGAGACCATGGACTCCATCCATCCCACCCGTGATACCTGCAGCGATGAGACCCGAGAAGGCGCCGCTAATAAGTGATCCGGAATAGAGGAGTGCAGTGCGCAAACCTAATTCCTTGCGGGTATACCAACATGAGAGGTAGTAGAGACAGCCGGGCTATGTAGTGTTAGGACTTGTAATATATCGAATCGCCACACGCGGTAGGACTTACAAAATAAGCAGCCTCTATGAAACCGAGGAAGAATCTACACACAAGAAGACCCGCGAAATTTTGGGTACCAGCGGTTGCACCTGATATCACACCCCAGATCATCATTGCTCCGGGAAGATATAATGCTGGTTTACCTATCTTGTTCAAGAATAGATTGGAGGGAATTTGCATGAGGAGGTATCCTACGAATAGGATACTGACACAAGTCTATGGATATTAGCTTTTAGCACCCATGAATACATTACTGCATACCTGATATTGATCTCCCACTAAATTCAAATCTTCCTCCATTCCTGCTAATCGTGCTGCTGCAATATTGTTCTACCATGATTTAGTAAGCATCTAACATATGTGATTATTAGAGTAGTTAACGCACCCTATCCAGATAATTCATGATATACATCAGAATGACCATAGGTAACAATCTCAGATCGATTTTCCTTTTGAGTTTGGCTTCAATACTGAGGCGTTCTTCAGGAGACAAGGCTGCGATCCATTCTGGCGGTTCGAGAACTCGAAGACCGGGATCGATTACCGCAGCTGATGTTGTCGAATCATCCTTATCGACATCTTCTACATAATCCGACTGTGCCTTGACAGTTGGCGCCATACTCTCGTTACTTAAGTCGCTTTATTGCTGTATTTCTGATGTAGCTAGCTCGAAAACTTTTTCAGATATCCGGTCTGTGGTTATGTTACTTACACTAATGCTGGTGTGAGGTATTAATTGTACCACAGAGTCGATATCTCGTGGTGAACGTCCAAAAGAAGGGAAGCCAAGTTAAAGTTTGATATCACAGACAAAAACATCCAGAATTGAGAAAAGCTTGATGAAATGCCATCTAGATAGAGAGAACGCCTTTTAATCATTAGCATATTTTCATTGGGCAAAGAAGTGAATTATGCATGACAGGTCAGAAGGTATCATGATCATCAACATCTAAAATCTGCAACTCCAGTCATTATGCCTGCTTTGGTAGTATCGCTTGCTTATCAGTGCCTGTCATATTAGGTACCTCACATGCTATTTGACGGGCGAACTCTGCGGGAGAGGAAGGGCAAAGGAGCGATCAGTAACAGGGGATAGCAGTGCCGACGAGAATGCGGGGGTTGTTGATCTTACTGGGGAAGTTAGCCGAGAACTCCGCAATTTAACCGGATTCTCTATGACCGACTTGAACTCTCTTTTCCATGATTCTTGATCTTTGATCTTCTCTTGAATAACTCCCCCTCATTGCCAAGAGTGGAAAAGTGGGAAGTGCGGTGAGTGAGTCCACCGTTATGTCCCGCTCCAAGAAACTCTCAATAATTTTGATAAATTGAGATATGTCAGCCTCTCGGCCAACATATCATGATGATAAATTGAACTAGTAACGCGTGTATCTATCCCGAGACAATACGGACTAGTATATGCATATGTATATTATAATACATGCGAGGTTTCCCCGAACTGATGATGCTAACCTTGGAACCGAAAACTTCTACATTCATTGGTTCGGAGTTTATGCAAATAGCGAAATTTCCGTCTTAGTATTCCCAATACATCGGGACACTTAGCATTGGCGACGGGAGTGTAGTGAATAGCTAGTAGTGAAATGCTTCTTTTCTTGTATCGAGAATTCTGCGTTGTGATCTGTAGAACGGTTTATCTTGGCACATCTTGGTAGCCTGGCCTACGAGGTTGATTGGATGCGTGGGTTGACGTAAGATCAGAGCATTTGTTGGGATTATTAAAGTTTTGCTTGTGGTTGGAGGATCTTCCTGAGTCCTTGTTTGATTGTGTCGTTCATACCTCGCGTTGCTGGTCGGCCAGTCTCTCTATCAACAAACACGTGAATAATTTCTCCCACTGACTTGACTTCTTCAACTCCCCTCTCGAATAACCCAATTTCGTAGGTAACACTGCTATTCCCAAGCTTGTTGACACGTAAAGCTAGATCAGCGACAGCTGGAAATGCGATTGAGCCAAAGAAATCACCATGGGAGTGCACAACCAGGCCGTACTGAGATGAGGTGGGTGGATGCAGACCACAATGTTCGATAAGATATGAGTTTACGATTGAATCGTACCTTTCTCTAGTCTTAGCCATAGAGTCTACCCAATGTTCTCGATGGGACTTACAGAAAGTTATAAATGCTATTATTCATATGGTCATACATATCATTATCAGACCTCCAGCTATTGTGTTAGCTCATTGCGATCTGTGTTGAGACGCGAAGACGTGAAGAAACTATACCAGCGTGTTCTATATTCCAGAGCGTAGCCATAATCCTCTCGCCTTCTCCTCTTAAGCTCTCTGTGTGACATATTTAATAGTACTTAGTTCTTATTTTCTCAAGATACAAGATATTAAAGAGAACATATAAAAGGTGAGAGATTTGGAATGGACGACGTTTGAAAAGGAGAACGCGTTTAAGAGGGTTGTTTTCAGCCGAGGTATGTCTGAATGCTCCAGTCCACGGGTAACCTAGACGACTCCAAGACAAACAAAACTATGATGTTATTGGGAATAATGGGCATTAAATAGCAAAGGATTTCTCAATGAAAGTTCATATCATGCGCCGGAATGGATGTTCTCAACTTTGATTTGAAAGTTTCAAGTCCCGGGGCACTATGTATGTCAACAGGAACAGGAGGTCTTGAGGAAGTACTAGGTACGTATACCTACCTACCCAGGCGAGCCAGGTACCGCAATCATTAGATTGATGATCAACGCTACACACCGCCTTGGGCAGAACATAATTTTCTAAATTGATCTGGACTTGCACATCATAATTTCGACAAATCGTTACCAGTTATTTGCATTATCTCTCACATTAATTTGAATCCGATCAAGTGGCTCCTTCACCTCGAATCATTGCGCTTTTGGCCCGTAGGGCTGGAAGAATGAATCCTACCCTGGCACTCGTCGAAACCTCAGTTGGATATCCTCCTGTGGAAGAGAAGAAACCATTTGTAGAACCCCCCGCAGTTGTGATTACACCTTCCGATCCATGGCCGCGACCATATTATTTAGATAATGGGTTACGCAGAGTCGCGCCGTACCATTTCACCTACAATACATACTGCAAACAAAGATGGAGAGGAAGAGAAATATTGGATATATTTTCAAGTGAATTTCGAGACAGGCCATTAGAATACTACGTACGTTAGGCATGATTCAGAATAATAAGAAGTCTTACTGACAGGCGTAGAAAGATGCTATGGAGCGCGGAGCCATCGCTGTGAATGGAAAACCCGTCGAGTCAACTTCACAAATCATCAAGAATGGAGACGTTATATCACATACCTTACATCGACATGAACCTCCTGTTACTGCTCTGCCAATATCGGTCGTACATGAAGATGAAGATATCATTGTTATCAACAAACCTTCCGGCGTCCCCGTTCACCCAGCTGGTCGATATAATTACAATTCCGTAGTTGAGATTATGAGGGCTGAGCGTGGCCATGGCTGGAACCCACTACCGTGTAACAGATTGGATAGGCTAACCAGTGGTATCATGTTCATTGGAAAACATGCCAAGGCCGCAGAAGCATTAAGTTTACAAATATCAGGACGCACTGTCAGGAAAGAATATATAGCACGAGTGAAAGGAAAGTTTCCAGACGGAGAGGTAGTGTGTGATATGCCAATTCTGCAGATATCACCAAAACTGGGGTTGAATCGTGTGAGGGCAAATGGTAAAGCTGCCCGCACGGTTTTCAAGCGCCTGGCATATTATCCTCCAGAACAAACTGAAGACAACTCCGAACAGACAGAACTAAATCAGTCGAGACCATCAATAACAAAGGAAGGCTACTCGATCGTTAGATGCCTTCCAGTCACTGGTCGTACGCATCAGCTTAGGGTTCATCTACAGTTTCTAGGTCATCCTATTGGCAACGATCCTATATATTGCAATCAACGTGTATGGGGAACAAGGCTTGGAGCAAATGACTCGGACGCAACTCAGGATACAGATGAAGACATTATTACTCGTCTTTCGAGGATGGGCAAGTCAGAAGTTGCTGATGCTGTAGCCTACCATGATGAAATGGTAGACGAATACAATAAGAAGAAAGCCGAGAAGATGTCCGGAGAGCTATGTGAGGTATGCCAGACTCCATTATATACCGACCCTGGTGAACAGGAGTTATCTCTATGGCTTCACAGTCTTCGTTATGAAGATGCTGGAGGCTCTTGGAGTTACGTGAGTCCTCTCCCAGCCTGGGCTTTACCTCCTGATGGTATGGATGGTCCAACCGAAGTTGGAGGTATGGAAGAATTAGTCGAGGCAGTGAAGGAAGAGAATCCTGAAATTGCATGAGCCACCACACCTTGAATGTCATGCCTATTATTGACCTTATTTCGATGTGTCCTTTTGGATTTACTTAGCTAGGTACCAAGAGAATCTATTCAGATCCATGTCACAAACACCATAGGGACTAACGATATCCATGATCTAACTCTTTTTGACTCTTTACACTGCATATCACGGAAGACGGGTTGTTTTTATGTGGGTATAGGAATTATATTTATCTAGAAGAGGTAGTACGAGGGAAGATCTCATGCTCCACTTAAGTAGCTAATCTCACGCAAAGACTTCCTCCTCAATTCACGTCTTCCTTCTATCACTTTGATTGTAGGTTTTAGTGAGGGCGATAAGATGTTGCTATCAATTTTCCGGGAGTATCCCAGTAACGCCGCGGAAGATCGAATTGGCCCCAACGCCCACGTGTGATAATGCACGGATTCGGGAATGCCGATCTTTGATTTCAGTTAATAAATTTTGATCCATTTGTGAAATTCGTTGAATTTGAAGGACTTTTGAAATCTGGATCCTCAGAGAGTGCTCAGAAAGCCTCAAGAGTTGGCTGTTGTAGTTGCCATGACTGCGGCTCATCAGCACTTGGATATTAGCATCGTTACCATCTATCTGCTGACTACAGGAACGGATACTCGAGTACAGCTTATAATACATGTGAGCGGAGATACTGAATACTACCTAGGTATAAGATCGATATCTAGTTCACGAGACTACTAGGTATTGAAATCTATGTATTTGTAAATTCTTCAACAATTTGATTTAACTACACTGTCATAGTCACCGCTAGAAAATTTACTGGTTTATTCCAACACACTAGGGGACCTCGGGACTACTGCATTATTAGCATTGGAATATCTAATCCAATTTGAGGGCTTGAGTCCCGTTAAAGTTATAAGCCGATGTGATTTATGTATGGAATGTCGAGCTAATCAATTAAGGAGAATATATACGGATGAAGTACATAGTGCGTGTGTACATACAATGCACAGAAGGAACGGCATGAACCCTCTAAACTACGAATTATTAGTTCTAAAAATCTATAATCGAACCTTTTTTTCCCATACATCCAAGTCAAGTTCGATTGAGTTCATTAACCTCGCTCATACGAGATGTTATTCTCGGAGTTTCATTGGTAAAACTCTACCACCGTACATACCACCTTCCACCCACCATTCAAACCTACCTTCGTCGTCCAGCTAGATTCCGAGGAGGAATCTACAAATGGAAATACTCTAATGCAGATAGCCTCGCTTTCGGGCTCTGAATGATATGCTAGGTATCTAGTACCTTCTTCCAAGGCTGAGTTAATTATACTTTAATTTTCGAATTCGATCTCGTTCGAATTTCTTCAAAACCCCTCAAGCTTCCTCACAAGCTCACAATCCGTCTGCGCCACGCCATAAGTACTTGCACTACTGGTCAAAGTAGTTTGGAGCCAAAATTCGTGCGTCTTGGCACTAGCTCACTACTTGGGTACTTACAGTAGAGCAACGACGGACCGCCCCAACTTTCTTTAATCTTCTATCTCGCAATTCATCCTTATATGCATCATTTCATATACTGATTCATCTTGTTTGGAATCGATGCAACTTCCGTATCTCGCAGCCTGCCCCCTCAAGTCTTATTATCTTCTGCTGTGCCGAAAAGTTTAAAGTAACTTCACAAGCAAGCTCGAACGACGTTTCCAAGTAGGTGATTTTCAGATCTCCAAACTACTGCAAGCCAAATATACAACCATCTATATTCCGCGAAAGTTGAGCTTCTTGGGAATTTTTTCTATCTCGTTTTTTACCATTCCAATCGAAATCTCACACGTGGAAAAATACATCTGCAGCCAGCTTTCACGTTGCCAGAATTTGATTCTAAAGCAACGCACGTACCCCAAACGATACGATCCATGGGTCACGAGAAAATCCAGGGGAACATCTGATTTGTGTTATAATACACTCTTGCAACCATTTACAAAGTCTCCAATCATGTCCCAACCAATCCATGGCTCCAACGAACCATTAGGGTCCGATGTAGATGGAATGAACCATTCAGATTCGATGAATGCAACCGGCAAGAAAGCCGGTGAAAAGAAACGAGGTACGAACGAGTCAGGCAGATTTATAAGAACCGATGTCTTAGCCATCCGTTCAATTCAAGATTCCATCTAACTTTCATAGTATCCCGTGCTGGAACTCGCAGTGTATCGACTTTAAGCCCTGCCCAGTACGTACAGAATTTCATGATACTTTCTTGATGTGATGCTTCCGAGCAGGATCCAGCATACTATCTTTATTCTTTCATTGAATTTTGTTAATTAATTTGTATCAGGCTAGCAAGGAAGAGGGCCAATGATCGTGAAGCGCAGCGGAACATTAGATTGAGAACCAAGGTGCGGCAAACTACTTCATGGTCCATTTCAACCTCAGGTCGAGATACTTGACCAAGTCTCACATCCAAAATTCATTGAATTGGTTTGTTGACAAGAAATGTAGGAGCATATTGAGAGATTGGAGGCCCGTATTGAAGAGCTTACCTGCGGTCGTGAATCTGGTGGAGAGCTCGAAGAGGTGCGGAAGCGCAATGAGGAATTAGAGCGAGAAGTAAGACAATTGACTGAAAGTCTGGCACAGTTGAGGGACGATGATAGTTCGAGTACGTATGCACATGATATTTTCTCAGATTTGCAGTCGAATTTTGAAATTGAGCGTCTACGCGTATTCATGAAATTCTGGGAGGGAAGGGCCAAGGTGTCTGTAAATTCCTCGGATGTCAAAGTTGGCGCCATCAAGCAATTCCAGACACTGAAGCATATGTCAAGGACATTGAGAGATAGTTGTTTGTTCAAATATCGCCTGAATGTATGTGATTTTGACATGCTTTAAACTTCTCAACTTCTTCAATGAGCCATTATTTCCTAAGGCTAACCAAAAGCCAAATAAGGTCCGGATCGATCTTCTATGTTGAATCTTGGACAAACTGCAATTATGCCTGGCTCGTCAGCACGAGATGTCCGTCCAGCAATGGCCTCAACTAGGTCTATTAGCTCCGGAGCAGGGTGGTACCAACCACTACCTCTGAGAAACCCATCTGGTACTAACAGGCACTCATTCAGCATGTCATTCGGGCCTATGGATATGGCAGCACCAATATCCGGGCCAGCTTCCACCAGTGCTTTGGATGAGACTAATCGATTTTCATATTTTGATCCAATTTCTGCTGTAAATTTCAATGATGGTACCGCAGTCCAGTTTCTTTGATAAAAGCTCAGTCTCTTTTGAATGTTTAAAATAATGACAGTTTATAGTAGGCAACTGGGCTCCGAGATCTATTCCATCAGATATCATTCAAGATTCTCGCCTAGCTACCCCGCAGCCGCGGTCTCTGGTACCACAAAGTCTTACATCTCCAGTCAGACAAACAATACCGCCCTCCTTGCCGCCATTTCAGTCACTTCAGCCTTGGGCTCTACCCATACTCAACACATCGACCCCGACGTGTGGAGTTGACACATATTTAATGAATATCATAAATGGACAAAAAGAACTCGCGAGACAGGGAGCACCCGAAGCTCAAATTATTGGACCTTCTCAACCTAGTATGAAGGCGCTTATCTACCCTGATGACCCAAATCAGACCCACGTGGTCTCTACAGTCATTTCGAATCTTCTTACAAACCTTGCCGTCAAAGGTCTCGCCGAACGTGCAGGCTGCCTCTATCTAATGTATCACATTTGCCAATGGCAAATCTATCCCTCATCGTCGACGTATGGAAATTTGACCGATTGGACTTCACCTCGAACATCCCAGCTCATCACAGCTCATCCTTTGTGGGCAGATTCCATATTCTGGGGCAAACTGAAAGATAGGGTAATTGAAAAGCAAGATATTTATGCCAACGAAGATTTTCAGAATGCATATATACTTTGCATCAATGCGAATTGGCCACGTCCGGATCTGGAAGCATTTAGGTTCGAAGGTGACGATATATTTATTACAGAAGAGTTTGAGAATCACATCAAAACTCTGTCAAACTGGAGCTTGGACGAAAGATTTGCTGCTAGATATCCCGAACTAGCACCTTTGGTGAAAATATCTGGACTGGGGGAAATAGGATTGCAAGGACCCTACGTATTTTAATGAGAATAGTTTACGGCGCATCGGCGTTATTAGACCACAAACGGGTCCATGAAGGCATGAAAATACTAAGGAAATTTGTGGTGGGAAATATGGACATAGTGGAGATTGAAACTGGTTCCGATACAAATGAAGAAACGAAATCATGACTTGAAACGTTCTTCATTCGACTGTAACTAAGAGCCTGTGGATCAAAGTGGCCAAATGAAACGTCAGCCACGACTTCGAGTATAATAAACTTTATCATATGAATTGGATCGAGATTGTGGTGAACTCTAAAACCACCATGTAGTGATTTCAAAGAAAGCATACAGGAAGAGGTACATATAAAGACGGAGATATAATGATGAGTACCTATATTTACGAGACCACTAATCTTCGTAATTGGCCGGCCATACAGATCTTATTCCGGCTCACCCTAACAAACTCTATTGTGCTGCCCGTTATGCTATTTGAGTTGGCAAAAACAGTCGGAGATCTATACAACGAGCTAAGTTGATGCAATATGCAGAAACGTTTGTGAGTTGTATTTACGTGTGTGTGGTTGATAAGCTTCGGTTGAAAGGAAGAATTGAGACATCAAATTACTTGAGATAAATTATACATTAAAAATGCCTAGGCATGTACCGATATTTCAATACTTGATTTGATGATAAATCGTGTTCTATCCAATTGGAGATAATATATGAAATGTAACAAATTATATACTTTTTTTATCGATATATATATCCATCATTCAATCGATAGTAATGATTATCTGATTTGAAATTGCAAATTGAGAAGAAGTTTGTCTCCGGTGGAGATAACTTCGGGTATTGGATGTGGTAGATCTTGTATGAGGGGTCATACGAGAAAAATCTTGTTTTGATGGCAAAGCTATATGTGAGGATCATATACCGAGGCACTTAGTAGATCTGAAGACTTACGCTTGTCACTTGGATTAAAGTTTGAGACTGTTTGGAGGGGATACCGATGCAGCGTTGTAGGGCTGGGGCGATACAAGACCATGAACGAAAGCAAGATATCAGATGCTCTGATCACGTGCTGACGCGACAGGAAACCCCCACAGTTTGGTAGATCGAGGATGGTACGCTTTCTTATCTTGTTGTTTGATAGGAACTGATCAGAGCAGACAACGACATCATAAATTTAAGAGAACGAGAGTGAAAGACGAGCAATGGGGAGAGGGATAATGGTAACCGGTTCGATTTAGAAATGAAAGTTTCAATTGGATTGCAGTACCTATTCAACGATGCCTTAACTGCGACGAGAAACCGTATCGAAACTCGAAACACGTCAATATTTTTCTAATTCTCTTTCATGAGTGAATTGTTGATGGATTGACTTTCTTTCTTTGCATGCTCATTAGCAGCAATACTTACCTAATTATTTTCCCTGATTTCAACTCGAGATTCTCTTCCATAAACGATACATTTGTACCATTTTGGTACTGATAGCACCAACGAGATCCTAGATTGCATTTCAACAGAATCCCATCATGGCTCGCACTTCGCATAATGAGGGTGGAGTGAGCACAGAAGGTGAGGGCTTTGAGCGGAGACCCGATAAGATAAATGCACTACTTGCAGATGGTGGGTTGATCAGATGTGTTTCCAATACATGCACTAATTATTCTTCAGAGGTTCTTTCAATCTCCGACGACGAGGATGATAACGAATCCGAATCGGAACTCTCCAATGCTGACAAGAAAGGCAAACGTAAAGCTCTTGAGCAAGTGGAATGGTCAGACGATGATGAAGAGGAAAACCCTTACGAGAAATTCAAGAAGAGGAAGTCTGAAAAACGCAAGAAGCTGAATGCACAAAAGAAACGTATAAAGGAGCGAGCAAAAGATGCGAAGCAGGCGAAGGAGAAAGGAGGCTCGTCCAAAACAAACGAAAGAGTATGGGGCGACGATTCGGATTACGAAATGGACGATGAAATCCCCGAATATTTACAACTTAGACGGAAGGAATTCGATACGAATCTAGAAAAAATGAAGAGCGCCGGCCTTCAGCTCCCCCCTGACTATTCCGATATCTATTTCTCGGATGATGAGAGATTAGCAGAGCTTGAAGAACGACCAGACTTTCCTAGTACTGTGGAGCCATCAAGACCCTATGCAGATATTAACATGGAGTTATCCAACGGTGTCATACCAGCATCCATTGCACAATATCTTCGAGATTATCAGGTGGATGGAGTCAAATTTCTCCATGAAAAATTTGTCTACCAGAAAGGTGGTATCTTAGGGGACGACATGGGATTGGGAAAAACTGTACAAGTGGCTGCTTTTCTAACTGCTGCCTTTGGCAAGACAGGAGATGAGCGAGATGGAAATCGTATGCGAAAAGTGAAGAACGTCGACGAAAAACGATGGTATCCTCGAGTCCTTATTGTTTGCCCTGGCTCTTTGATTCAGAACTGGAAGAATGAGTTGATGAGATGGGGATGGTGGAATGTTGAAAAGTTTCATGGAGGTGTGAAGGAGAAAGAATTCGTACTTCGGAGTGCGCAATCTGGCCGGGTTGAAATTGTCATTACTACATATGCAACATACAAGAATCATAAGGATGCCCTGAACACCATTTCTTGGGATTGTGTTGTGGCTGATGAATGTCATCAACTCAAGGAACGGACATCCCTTACGACTCAGGCAATGAATGAAATTAATGCCCTGTGTCGCATTGGACTAACAGGAACGGCGATACAAAATAAGTACGAAGAACTTTGGACGCTGCTCAACTGGTGCTCGCCTGGCAAGGTTGGTCCGTTGGCTACTTGGGTTTCCACCATCTCAGAACCTCTACGAATCGGACAAAGTCATGATTCCACTAATCAACAGGTGAAACGGGCCAGAGAGACTGCAAAGAGGTTGGTTAATAACCTTATGCCTCATTTCTTTCTACGGAGGATGAAGACATTGATCGCCCATCAACTCCCGCGAAAGACGGATCGATTGTTACCATGTCCGCTTACTGATCTTCAACGAGAAGCGTATGAGAGGTTTCTTGAGAGTGATGTCGTACAATTCGTCAGAAACCACGGCGAGCCATGCGATTGTGGCAAAAAGTTAACGCGTGGCGGCTGTTGTCATTCTAAGATACCTGGTACCAACACGAAATGGCAGGCTATGGTATTTCCTATCATGGCAACACTTCAGAAGTTATCGAACCACTTGGCTCTTCTCCTGCCTAATGACGGGGATCCTAGGGAAAAGCAAGAACGAGATCTGGAATTCCTCCAATTGATGCTACCAGATAGATGGGAGGAACTATACAAAGCTCGAGATTCAATTGCGAATCTGTCAAACCCCGAGTTTTGTGGGAAGTGGAAAGTGTTGAGGAAGTTATTGAAACATTGGCACGAGGAAGGGGACAAGGTTTTGATCTTTTCTCATAGTGTCAAGCTATTGAGGATGCTTCAACATTTGTTCCAGAGTACTAGCTACAATGTTAGCTTCCTCAGCGGCGAAATGAAGTATGAGGATCGTCAGGATACGGTAGATGATTTCAATTCTGATCCCAATCAATTTATCTTTTTGATATCAACTAAGGCCGGAGGTACGTTTACTTTTTTTTAACTTCATGATATTCTACGTTGCATATCTTTTTAGACTTTTGATTCCCAAATTTGGTCCTTCGTAGTACTGACTATGTCTATCTAATAGGCGTTGGCTTGAATATCACCAGTGCTAATAAAGTAAGTCTCATCTATTAACACACATCCCAGCAATGACTAATCTTACAGGTTGTTATCTTTGATCCCAATTGGAACCCCAGTTATGATCTACAAGCCCAAGATCGAGCATACAGAATAGGTCAGCTCCGAGATGTTGATTCATTTCGACTTGTTTCCGCTGGAACTATTGAAGAAGTTGTTTATGCTCGTCAAATATACAAGCAACAGCAAGCTAACATCGGATACAATGCTTCAATGGAGCGTCGATATTTTAAGGGTGTACAAAATGCTGCTGGCCAAAAAGGAGAGATCTTCGGATTAGATAATTTATTATCTTTTCACGCGGATGAAATTCTACTTCGAGATATCGTCAATAAAACTAACGTCGCAGAGACGAGAGCAGGAGTCGCCATGGCTAGTTTTGATGTGCAAGCAGCACTTGACGATGACGACAACCCTCTTCGCGTAGACGATGATGATCCTAATGGTGCTATGAGTCAACTTGCCGCTCTGATAACTGAAAATGAAGAAGATATCAAACGCATGAAGAGACTCACTCCAAAATCTGATCCCATAGCCGCAATCCTAGCATCAGCTGGCGTGGAATACACGCACGAAAACTCGGAAGTAGTCGGCTCGTCAAAAGTAGAAGAAAGACTAAGTCGTCGTGCAGAAGAAACAGGTGGTGAAATTGGATATGGTGGAGAATTACTCTTTGGACCCATGTCGCGACAAGCGGAAAATGGAAATATACGTTATGAGTTCCACCCCCCAGAGGAGGTTATCAAGAGACAGTTCTGTACGATGGCAAAAATGTTTGGGTTTTCTAGCGCGACGGAATTTGCTTTTGTGGTGGAGGGATGGACGCAGAAACAGAGGACGGATTGTTTGGAGAGGTTCTATTTGAAGAGGAGAGAGAGGCTGGAGGAGTTGGATAGGGAGAAAGCGGAGAAGGAAAATGCTGAGAGAATGGAGAGGGAGAGAGAGCAGGCAGAGGCTAATCTGGAGGGAGAGACGGAAAGTGATAATGATGAATTGTGATGATACCCCTGTTTTTGGAGTTTGGTGTCAGGGAGAATGGGTGTTGAGTTTTCTAAGGTCTAAGTCTTGAGATTATGTACTTCTATTAATTAAAAGCGTGGGCTTTTAATCTTGAGTTTAGATTTGCATGTCCAATATGGTCTTATAGCAAGAATAATACACACTGCATATAACTTGCATTTGAATTTTGAAAGAAGAAAAAAAGCCGCTTGAATAATGAACAATCAATTTTAGCTAGTCACCTAGTAGTAGTCCACTTTACAAACCAGCGAGATAAGCGCCAAGTGCTTTTTTCGATCCAACAGTCTCTGCAACGTCCCGTGATAAGAGTCATTGTTCCACAAGGCGTTTCACAAGCGGAGAATATGAGTGAGAGACGGGTACACGCATATGTGTGGCGGGGTGTCAATTTTCGAGGAAATGGGATTGGTGAGATTGGTTGGGATATTTGGGGATAGATTTCGGTGATGACTGTAATTATCTAGAGGTCTTTCCCTGAGGTTTTTAAAGAGTTAGGGAGGTGGAAAGAAGGAAGGAGGGAAGGAGGGAAGGGGAGAAGTAGATTGGAATTTGTTCCAGGAAATGAGTGCTCGGATTAGGAATTCAGACTCAGTAGATGGAGACTTGAGGAATCGGATTGGAAAAAGAAAGGTAGAAAGGAGTAAAGAAAGAAGGACTTCGGGTAGCTGCAGGGACCAGCGGTAGGTATCGAAAGTAGGAGATTAGATTGAGCAATCAAGAAGAAACTTGGAAAGAAAGGATCCGCAGGGTGGTATTGAAGATGAAAAATCAGGCTGCAGCGGCTGGTTGGAATCTCCAATGAATTAGGGTAGGGGTCTTGGGATATTATTATTATTGTTAGATGAGAGTGGGGAATTATGATGCAGCGGATATGCGCAGGTACGAGGAATGATGGGATTCGAAGATTTGGTGGAGGATGCATGCTTCGATCATGACTCAAGAGAAATGCTTTTGTGGTTGGTGTGTTGTCAACATAGTTGCATTTTGGTTGAGTCATATGTGTGGATGGATGAGTACATGTCATGGATTTGGTGGTAGGTATTTCTGGGAATTGGGGGGGTTAAGGGAGGATGATATGTATAATGTATCGCACCTCTGAAGGGAAAGAAAAAGAAACTTGAGTGGAGTGGATTTGGTTCATGGTTGGACTATTGTTCGTGATTGGTTTGGTTGATAGGTAAGAGGGCAGTTTATCTTCAACGGAATATGGAGTTGAAGTATGGGTTATGGACAGATGCACTTTCTCTGGTTGTTGATTTGTAATGTATAGAATGAGATGTGTTATATCTTGTTCTTTTCTTTTTCTTCAACTGAAGGGAGATCTTTGGATTCTTTACTGACTCTCCATATGATGCGCATAGACGAGGCGAATGCGCTCGATGAATTGCGATCTGTTCACCAACGCGACGACTTAGATTTCCAATGAAAGTAGGATTCCGATTTCCAATAACCTGAACTGCAATCCGAAAATTAGAGGTTTTTAGATCCTGAATTCTTAGATGGTTCAAACAACATGAAATTCTGAATTTGTTTTAACTATTGTGCTGCTTTAGCCATTGAGAATTTGCGTTCAGTCTGCTCGTCGGGACGGACGCCGTAATACTACACGTTACGAGCTACACATAGCGTACACGGAAGACTTCTACCAGTTGCCATATTTCATATGCCGATTCATCACTTGATCTCTGGCCAGTTCAAGCCATGGCAGATGTACACTTTCGCTTCCATGATTTTGACAGGAGACATGAGCTCGAGGTTCGAGTTCAAGGGAATATAAATGCTGGGGCAACAAGAGCAGAGATTGCAGAATTGAGGGCGGAAGGTAGGAGGGTACAGGCTGAATTGCGACATCAAGAGGAGAGAAGTATAGGAATAGGGAATGAGATTGGAGGGATGAGAGGGGAAATTAGGGACGCGAGGGAAGAGCTGAGGATGACGGGGAGAGAGCTCTGGGGGACTAGGGTAGAATTATCGAGGTTAAGAAATGAAGGCACGCAAAATAGGGGAGACTTAAGAGGCTTAAGACAGGAGATTCTGGATTTGGAAGGAGAGATTGTGGGGTTTAGGGGTGAAATGAGGAATGAGATCAGAGTTATAAGGGAGATGAGGGAAGAGGTTTTAAATTTTATGGATGAAGTTGAGAGGGGACAAAGGGAAAGGTTGAGAGATGCTACCATGACTATTGAAAGATTGAGAAGAGAGGTTATGGAAGAACTGATTAGGAGGGATGCGAACAACGTTCAAATGGAGCTACGATTAATGGAGGGATTAGCGAGGCGGGATACCGAAAGCATTCAAATGGAAGTACGAATAATGGAAGGATTGGAGAGGAGAGATGAGTACAATATTAGGATGGAGCGGCGGCTGATGGGAGAAGTTCAAGATCTCAAAACTAGAAACGCAGAAAGATCAGAGAGGGAAGATGAGTTGATAAATGATGTGGATAATCTAAGGAGTAGGAATTTGGAGAATGAACGGGCGATGAGAGGCGAAGTTGAAAGTCTGGGCAATAGGATAGACGCTTTGGCGCTGGACAATGGGGGGTTAATGGAGAGAGTAACGTGGTTGGAGACCCCAGGACCTGAAATTGAGGAAGACATCGAGCCGCTAGATGATCAAGTAGTCAATGATATGGCCGCAGAACGGTACGATAAAGGAAGCCGAAAGAAACATGATCGGGCAAGATGTAAGTGGCCGAGATTCTGTACCGGAAGTAAGAAACATAGTATTGGGAAGGACCTAGCTTTAAGGATTTTGAAGTATACAGTTACATGAGCATGGATTTGAGCATGATATGTGTCCGAGTGAAATAGAAAAAATTTCACAAGAACCCCTTGGTGCTATCCAAGGGAAACACTCTTGCAGAATAATCGGCATTGAAGCCCGCTCTATGTCGTAGAGCTGACCATGAAAACATAGAAACTTTCAGTATTGCCACTGGATTGTCGAATGATCGGAATCACATTTCAGTAATGAGATAAATCTTGATCCTTACTTCTTTTTTTTTTTCTTTCCAGATATGCAAGGCCTTTCGAAATTTTCAGAGCTCTCGATTGATTAAAAGTCCTTGACTGTTCAAGAGTCTTCAGCCATTCCAAAATGTTCAGTTTCAATCACGTCAAACACGCTTACAAGACCATCTTTAAAAAAACAATCCCCAAAATTAAGTAGGAAGATAGTCAAACTAATTCACCAATATCTTCAGGTACACTCTCAGTAATCCCCTGGTGACTCTCCGCCGCTACCAGCCATCGCGGCGATGAAAACAAATTCTCATCATATCACTTCTTAGTATCTATATCCACTCGGATCTTTCATATTCAAGATTCTTTGCACTTTCCAGACCATTTCATACTCGGTCAAATATTCAAACAATGCTACCATGACAAAAACCTAATTTTACGAAAAATTATGGAGATGTCGATGTCCGAGTTTGGATTTTTCGCGAGACGACATGCATTTGTCTTTGAGGTACTGGTAGCAAGTTTCATTGGCTATAAATACGAAGGTTCGAAGCAACTCCTACTATGTAGCAATAAGAGAAGATATCTGGTCGGACCGACTATAATGCCGCAGTTTGGAGAGCGTGATATAGCAATTGCTTGCATCGCGGCTTTCCAACGAGCAGAAGAGGAAAAGGGGGACAGAATCAAAGCGAATCTGAATCTGAAGAGATGTCTATGAACCCAGAAATCGTCGAGTACAACAGCATGCTGTGGAAATATCATAAATGACCATTGCCATGCAATCGTTGGGTTCGCGCCACTGGAACAAAGCCAAGACAGACCAATTCAGGGTATCTTCTTGTATAGACTCCAAAAAACTTTACCTATGAGAATTGGCAGGACAGGAATGAGAAAAGGTCTTGCAGAGATCGTATTATCAATACGAAACGATTTTGTGTACCAGTATCGACGAAGACAATATCCTTGTGTGACCACAACACAACCTCCAAGTTAATGAAGTGAAGCAAGGAGACGAATAGCTATAACAATTTCGGACCGATGATATATGCGCCAAGTATGTCGAGTTTTGAAATGCATGAAAAATGCCCTTCTCGGCGTCAGCCATGTGCGGCGGGGGTATTCACACTCAGTACATAATCGTTGTGTGTATTGGATAGGTTTTGGCTAGGATTCCAAGGAAAAACTTGCCACCCGTTCTGAACACAGCATGCATGTGATATACGGAATGAAAGTACGACTGAAAGTTGATGTACCTTTTTCATTATTTCTGCACCATTTTCCAATTGAAGCATGTAAGTTATATCGTTGTCGCCTTCACAAATGAACATTGGCTACACGTGGTTGAATTTAGGTTATCTTAGCGCCGTTTGTGCCGAGGACAAGCTCTCCTCTTCTTAGAAAATCCTCCACATTCCTATAAAATTGGCCACGACACCTCGATTCACTTGAAATTCTTACAGCATCTCATACAATCATGTTCACCTGACGGACCGAATACTGACAGCTAAGAATGTCAATTACACTGTTCAATATGGCCCAGCAATTGTGATGAAGATGATCCAAGTTGTTGGGATGAGATCCATTCATCCCATTTGATATCCATTTGAAATATCATGAATTCCAAGAAACTATTCACCTAACGAAGTCACACGACAGAAAAAGCTCAACCGAAAAAGGTTTCTCGAGACTCGAGCTGCATGGGAAGGTTGGTACGATTCACTGTGATTGGACATTACATATTACCCCAGAAAGTAGTTGGATACTTTCCGATGAACAGCCTCCCTTCCCCGCAATTGGTTGTGAAGGGTGTCGATGCTTCCAAGGGCTTCAACTTTTATTTTATGGCTTCTCAATGGCCAAAGATTCCATTAGAGTTTGAGAGTCCTTGTAAGAAGTCTTCAATATGATAATCAAGACACTACACATACTGTCCTTTTTTGTCATATGTAACATTGCTATTCCGCACGTAATTTGGCCAAGACTCCAAATCACCCCAGATTTAATATCGAAGTTCGTTTATGGCCTCATTAGTTTTGGGATTCATTTTGTTCTGCTATTACTTACTCATTGTGTATTAATTTCCTTTCCACCACATGTACTGTACGTAGGTACCTAGGTACCTCCCGTATGCAAGCCTTGGAGCTTTTCTTCCATGCATCCAATCATCCATTTTACATACCGAACCAGTGAATCCCTTGCTCATCGTATGGTACTTTCCCCACGGAAATTATCCAATTAATCCCTTTTAGTTGCGAAACGTATCAAATAAACTCCATACATAGAATCGTACCTGCCTACCCCTCTACATAAACAAGACCTTCTTCCTTTCACTTCACAAATTCTAGATTCTCACACAACATTAATTTCATACCACTTTTCCTCTTAATTCAAATTCTCCTACAGAAATCTTTTTGGAATAAATTACACTATCTTCATTCTTTAATCCATCTTCGTTGCTTAATCTGTAATAAGAATATTAATCAACAAGATGGGCATCTCAATTGTCAAGCCCACGGGCGTTCCTGGTAGATCATGGCCAGCAGTAAGTGTCTATCTCCATGTCTTTCTTGAACAGAATTAACAGTTTGATTAGATCGTCATCGGTTGCTTCGTTGCATTTGGTGGTCTCCTTTTTGGTTATGATACAGGTACTATTGGTGGCATCCTGGCCATGGAGTAAGTTAATAACATTGACACTGCTGTGACTTCAATCTAAAGTATCACATTACTGAAACTTTGTTCTAGCTATTGGCGAAACGAATTCTCTACTGGTTACGTCAATCCGAATGATAAACGTCTCGATGTTTCCCCATCTCAATCTGCCGCCGTCGTCTCCATTCTATCCGCCGGCACTTTCTTCGGCGCACTCACTGCAGCCCCCCTTGCGGACTTCTTTGGTCGACGTCTTGCTCTGTTGATATCTGCTGGTATTGTCTTTAATTTCGGTGTTATTTTACAAACAGCTTCCACTGCGTTGCCAATGTTCATTGCTGGTCGTTTCTTTGCTGGTTTTGGAGTTGGTCTCATCTCTGCTTTGAGTAAGTATTTCCATGTCATCTTGTCACAATCTGATTCATTAGCATACATCCCTACTGCACATAAATTAAAACATCAAACTAATACTGTCTTTCCTAGTTCCACTTTATCAATCCGAGACAGCACCTAAATGGATTCGTGGTGTCATTGTTGGATGTTACCAATTAGCTATCACAATCGGTCTTCTTCTTGCAGCTGTTGTTGATAACGCGACACAACACCGAAGTGATACTGGATCATATAGAATTCCCATTGCCATTCAATTCCTTTGGGTACGTCACATCATTCCCAGTCTACAAGTACTTTACTAACATCCAACAAGGCTATCATTTTGGTCGTCGGATTATTGTTCTTGCCTGAAACGCCTCGCTACTTGATCAAGCGCGGCAATTATCAAAAAGCCGCTGAATCACTCGCTAAGCTCCGTCGCCTACCCCACGATGATCCATATATCCGTGAAGAACTAGCTGAGATTCAAGCAAATCATGAATATGAACTCAAACTTGGCAAAGCTTCTTATCTTGATTGTTTCAGAGGTGGCATGGCTAAGAGACTTGCAACTGGATGTCTTCTCCAAGCTTTGCAACAACTTACTGGTGTTAACTTTATCTTTTGTAAGTCTACTTCTCAAAATAAAATTATACATGGAACACTACTAATGATATTACATAGACTACGGTACTCAATACTTCAAGAACTCTGGAATCAGCAATGCCTTTGTCATTCAAATGATTACCAGTGCCGTCAACGTATCATCTACCCTTCCCGGCTTATACGGTATTGAGAAATTTGGTCGTCGTCCACTTCTCTTATGGGGAGCCGTGGGAATGTGTATCAGTCAACTTCTCGTCGCCGTCTTGGGTACCGTCACCACTGGACAAAATGCCGATGGATCCGTATTTGCTAAAAACCTTGCTGGACAAAAGGCTTCCATCGCATTCATCTGCATCTATATTTTCTTCTTTGCATCCACCTGGGGCCCTCTCGCATGGGTTGTCTGCGGCGAGATCTTCCCCCTCAAAGTCCGCGCCAAAGCTCTCTCCATGTCGGTCGCCACCAACTGGCTTCTCAACTGGGCTATTGCTTATTCCACACCCTATCTAGTCAACTACGGAGAAGGAAACGCCAATCTCCAATCCAAGATCTTCTTCATCTGGTTCGCCTGCTGCTTTGTATGTATCGCTTTTGTGTACTTCATGATTTATGAAACCAAGGGCTTATCATTGGAGCAAATCGATGAATTGTATGAGAGCAAGACTAGCGCTAAGAATTCCGTTCATTGGAAACCTAGCAAGCATTTCGTTGATTTGGTCGATGGCCATGAACGTAAACATGATATTGGTCATGAGAATGGAGGGGTTTTGGTGGATGAGAAGAAGGAGGCGCAGCATAGTACTCATGCTCCTGCTCATCATTCGGAATTGGGTCATGATAATGCGGTTGCGACGGGTCATGAGTAGATCTGAGTCCCTGAATGGGTTTCTATGATTGATTTTCTATCTGTGGTTGTGGTGGGTAGCGAGGGTTGTTACTTGTGGATTTGGAATCGTATGGTCTCGTGTCATATCATATCATCATGATACTTTCGCTTTCACCTTCATCTCCATCTCCATCTCCATCTCTATCTGTTTCAACCTTGCCGATACCTAATCATCTACCTACTTACCACGTCAGTTTATCAATCATGGATTATGGACTTTGAAGTATAGCTCATCGTGTATACAAATCCTCTGTCTCTTTCTCTCTTTCTTTCTCGACACGGGTTTTAATAGTTGTTGCTGTTACGGGGGAAGTGTCATTGAAATGGAATGGGCGGAGTTTGTATTCATGGGTTTGGTTGTCTCTGTCGGGACTGAATGAGCGAATAAATGAAATGAAATGCATAGCTTGCAATTGTTCTTAATACTACCTACCTACCTACTTACCTAGGATACCTAAATATCGCACACAACCTATTAATTGATTAGTTTATTTAATTTCATACGCATCGCGTTGTTTGGTTCGTTTTTGAATTTGTGTATGTGTACTTGTGAGCTTCTTCACTTGTCTCACCTCCCTACCTCCCTACCACAGCCAAATCCCCATCCCCGAATCCTCATCCCAACTCCCCATTTCCGTGCCCCTCTACAGCAGCCCCTCTCCCTCCCTCTTATATTCTTATTCTTATTCTTATTCTTATTCTTATTCTTATTCTTATTCTTATTCTTATTCTTATTCTTATTCTTATTCTTATTCTTATTCTTATTCTTATTCTTATTCTTATTCTTATTCTTATTCTTATTCTCAATTTATATTCAAGCTCATGTTTATACAAGCTCATAATCTCATAATCTCATACGATATTATACTACTCTCTCCCTCCCCCCCCCTCTCTCTCTCCTATTCACCTATTTAAAATCCTCATATCCACCAATCCACCTATTCACAATCCTCCTATCCACCATCCATCCAATAAATTGAACAAATCTCACATCACACAATATCACGCCACATCACACCACTACCCGTGGACATACCACACACCACACATCGCCTACTACCCCGAAACTCACCCCGAAATCCCCAGAAAATCCTTATATAATTCAAACCCTCAACATCACTCCACCCTTCATTGTCCACTTCACATACTCCACTTCAGATTATCAAACTACAAACAGAAAAAAACTTCATTAAAGAATTATCATTCATGAATCATAAACTCAACGCCTAGGTAATTTATCGTATGGTATCTTCATCTCCATTTTCATCCCGCATCTCTCATTTCATTACTCATCCTCGATTTCTTTCCAAACTCCCGCACACCATGTTTCTTTCCCTTTCCATGTATTATGGATAGATAGATACATGCAGACATTGCCTTTCTATCATGAAAATGATCGTAAAGTCATGTATGTATCCATGTATGTACCTTTCCACTCCCCAATCTGCACCAAACCCAAAACCAAACCAAACCAACGCATCTATTAAACAATTAAAGTAACCTCCCCTCTCCAAAAAGAAACCCCAATCCATCAAAACTACTCCCTACGCAATTCATACGCATTCCCACCTACCAGAAACTTTTCATACTCCATGTTCCCAAACCACCCGTCCCACATTCAATCTATTCAAGTACACAAACCATTGTATACCCAAACAAATCCTCCCAAATCCCCCTCCAAAATAAAAATCTAAGCACAAGGCACCATATAAAGACCAATAGCGCTCGGTGCACTATTCTCAAAATATTCCAATCCCAATCCTCCCACACTCTTCGCCTCATAACTGACCGTCTTGCCAGCCGGACACGCAAATGTCGAAACCGTATATCCCTTACCGGGAAGAACTTCAACCTTTCCAAAATCAGTTGCGACAGTTGGTTGAGTGTTGTAAGTTGTATTCGCATTAGCAATACCACTTAGAAGCGAGAAATCGATTCCACCACTTTCAGTGGTTTCCTCTTCGATGCCGGTGAAATTATATGTGCCAGCTTGAGTAGCGGATGAGACAGGGAAAAGGAAAAGTAAGGCGCAGTTACCGGTGTAGGGGGCTGTGGATGGAACGTCGAAATTGAATATTGTGCTATTTTGTGGCGTGATGTGCGCAGTGTATTGATTACCAAATGGGTGATTTGGAGATTCAGACGATACGGGAACAATCAGATGAGGATATTCGAAAGGTCCCGATGTGATATCCGTCGGGCAAGAAACTGCGGCTGTAAAAGTAGTTGATGCAGCTACAGCTACAGGTACAGATGTGGAAGTGGAAGTGGAAGTCGCAGCAGCGACTGAAGTAGTGGATGAGCTAGATGGTCTTCCCAATGCCGCGCAGCTGAAACCTCCCGTGACTATTTGAATAGTTTCGCATCCGGTCGTGTTGGCTTTTGCTTGGGTAAAGATGTTATAACTTCCATCTTCACCTGGTCCAGTTGCTGGACAGGCTACCCAATCTTCGGTTGAGTTGTTGTAGTTCAGATTTCCGTTATTTCCCAATGTGAAGAGAGTAACGGCAGAACCTTGAATACATTGAAATTGAGAAGTGGTGGGAGAGATACTGCAATTGTGACCTTCGGCATCGGTGAGCACTTTGGCATTAATGCTATAGACACCTTGAGGCCAGGATCCACCGATGCGATTTTCCCCAATAGTGGTTTCGACAATGGAACCGGTTGGATCACCAACGGCAGCCATGGAGAAGGTACATGGAACATTTTGTCTTCGGAGAACAGCAGCATTTGTAGAGGCTGCAAAAGCAAAGAGGGAAAATAAGTACTTCATGATGAAATCTTCAAGAGTTGTAGAGAATGTGTGTGTTTGGGTATTTAGGATTGGAGATTAGAGACTGAAGACTGAAGATTTAAAAATGAGTACGAGTAATAAGAGAGAGAGAGAGAGAGAGAGAGAGGATGAATTTGAGGAGATTGATATGAAGGAAGTGGAGGAGAGTTAAGTGTTTATATTTTGTATTTAAGTTGAGATGAGGAGAGGTGAAGAGGGGCTATGAGGGGCTATGAGGGGCTGTGGTACAAGAAGGTAGAAGGTGGTTCGATTCGATTGATTGAAGCTTTGACAGCTCTCAGCGTTATGCGTTGAATTTAATTAAGCAATGGCGGGTGGCTATTGCTGGTGGCTATTTTGTTGTTGTTGATCCTAATTCAAGTGAAGTAGGTAGGTAGGTAAGTAGGTAAGTAGGTACGAGTCAAGTAAGTAAGAAGGATGAAAAGATGAAAATAGAATTAGGAAAGGAAAGGAAAGGAAAGGAAGGAAGGAAGTATCTGGATACCTATATACTTGAATAATGTCAACTAATGAAAGCAGCATCACATCAATCTACCTATCCCTCCACCCTCTACTTAGCATACATTACACATTACACATTACATATTCTTGCATATCCTGTTGATCTTTACTTCTTTACTAGAACAAAAAGATTGAAGTCTCACCACTTTTCTCCAAACAAGCATTGATTTGTTTGTTTGTCCATCCACATTCACATCCACATCCATCGTCATTATCTACCAGGTATTCTTCTGTCAGTATAACACAATCGTATCGGACTCTGTATAACATACTGTGGGGAAAGATTAAACACCCTTATATGTTGTATTCCTTCGTATTCAAGCATCCAACCATCCAACCATCCAACCATCCAACCATTCAACCAAATCCTTCTTTTAGGAAATCTGATAACTTGGAGAGATATCTTGAATATGATTAGATGGATGATCTTTGACCAATTGTAGTATTTTGATGTACAGCCAATGTCATACATCAAAGTGCGATCCAAGAATAGAATGTCTATGTATTGGTGGCTATGATATCAAAGCTCATTCACTCACAGGAAATGTCCAAAATCTTCACAAGAATACCTACATCTACCTACTGGCTTCAAAGAAAATCCTCCCTTTCACCAACATAATATTATACCTACTTACTTAGCTACATTTACCAAATACTTCATTGCCAAGTCTTCACATATCAATATGAAACATCAATACACCCAATCTATACTTTATCTGGTATAAAAGTGGCTGGAAAATGGGGCTGATAAACGTTCTACCCTTCAATAAATCCCTGGATAAACGGGTATGTGCTGGTGATTTTTGAGGATCGACAGTGGAGTTACATCCTTACCCGTTCTTGTGCGGTAAAGTAAACGCTGGGAAGGTGTAGATAGTAGGGTGGTAGTAGGTAGTAAGTATTCCGTCATTAATGATGATCTTTGGTCTAAGTGACACTGATGAATTCTTTGGTGGTACTTGGTATTTGGGATGATGGTGATGATGATGATGATAGAATTGGAATGGAATGGATGGGAATGGAGATGGAGATCAAAATACACATGGAAATGTTAGACACGAGAGAAACTAGGTATTGATTCGTATTTGCTTTTGATATAGATACTGATAATGATATTGATAATGATAATGATATTGACAACGATAATGATATTGACAACGATCCTCACATTAACCATTGAAACAACATTACACAGCATTGAATACTGCATATACGTTATCTTACACTGATATCTGCATATATGTCAATCTCGTATTTTCTATTCAAGACATACAACCCACATAACAATTCTAGAATAACTACTGGTGTCTACAAAATATCAAGTGCATAAATGGTATTCAACAATCATTCCATCCATTCCATTCCATCATACTAATTCTATCTATCTATCCGATGCATCTATCACAATCTTCCATCCATTCCATTCCTCCTCAAACCCGATCACTCTAAAGATCTGCACAAACTTTCCCTAGTTTTCTATCCCTTCCTCTATCTATCTATTCATCCATCCATCCCGTTCCAGTCTCACATTAATATGATGAAGATATAATAAGTACGATAGATGAGTAAATAATTTCTTGCTGCCCACTGACGCTTTTAACTTCCTACAATACAGCACAGTAAATAGCTAAGTAATCTATCTTACCAGCAAACCCCCCCCCCCCCAATAGATCAAATAAGCTTAAACCGCATTCCCTCGCATATCCATATCCCATCAATCCGCCCGCTTACAGATAGATATCAGGATTCGTATTTCTATCCGCCTCCTTCTCTGTCTCCTATTCACACTATCTAGGTACACTACACACCACAATTCCTGACTTCCATCATATGAAACCAACAGGCAACCTCGATCCCCTATTGATTAACCTTCCCATACCATACCTTCTACCCCAGGATCAAAGCATAACAAACTTCCCCCCGTATATCCCATATTGTTATCTATCCTCTCTTCCTCATAATTCTTCAACCCTTTTCCCATAACCCACAATCCGTACCCCATACCCCCCATCACCAGCGCTTGCACAATCTTATTTCAACATCCATCCATCCATTCATATACGCGCCTATAAAGTTTCCCATATATTACACTGCGTAATCCATTTCACTTCTTCCCTGAAACAGACGATTCTATAATATCGTATGTCTAGGTTATAGGCTTCTTCCCTCCTCTATTAACAGAAAATCATAATTCTGCTACCTAGAAGAAGGAATTCGTCACTAATAGAAAAAGGGAGGATGGTGATGGTAATACTAATAATTCGAATGTGTACCATTGTTTCAAGGTTGTACAAGCTTATACAACGACATGGATATCAGTGATATTTACTCACTCATCTCATCTCACCTCCATTGTGACAAGAAATAGATAGGCATCCATCACGATTATATCCAGAACCCCTATCAAGAAATACCGAAACAGAGATTCAAATACAACTCACAAGGTTCTGGAAAGATGAGAATGAATCCTCTCTGCAATTTTCAGAAGAGATGTTGTAGTATTATACGAGTATAAGATTATATATTCTTTCTGAAAACAAAGTGGAAAAGTGTATTGGATGTTTTTACATAATGTGTGTTATTGTATTGATTGATATGTAGGTAGGTAGGTAGTCTTGTTTTCGATAAATACTCTGATATATGATTACCTACTGTGCTTTTGCAGTCCTGGACTATCATATCATATCATCTTCATTTAGCTCTGTTCTTGCTCCCAGACTATAATTTTACTTCCCATCATACATCCATCCAATTACTCACTCACACATACACAACCTTTCCAATCCCCACCACAACGAACCTCTTCCATCACCAACCCAACTTACACTTTAAAAGCTTCAAGGTATATAAGTTTTCTTTCCTTTCCTTTCCTTTCCTTTCCGCACCCCTTCCCTATAATATCCCATCAAGACAAATTGGCGAGACTCTCACATATACACATATCTAATATCACTTTGAAATGCCTCTTCATCCACCTTTCATTCATCCATTCACCCTCCCAATACAAACACTCCCCTTCCCTCTTCCTCCTCCTACTTCATCTCTTCACATCTACATCCTACCAAATCTCTCCAAATCACAAACTCGGTATTCTCTATAACCTCCCTTCAAAAAAGAGAAAGAAAAGAAGAAAAAAAAAACCCCCCCCAGAAACAGGAATACCTCTACAGCACATATATATGTAATGAAAAGAAAGGAAATACTCAAGTATACACATACATACATATACATATATAAAAACACATTTATATACACATTCTTTTACATTCATATACACCCACAACTCCCCTCTCCTCTCCTCCCCTTCCCCCCCAAAACCATACAAAAAAGCATAACAGCAATGCTCAACCGCACAACTTCTCAATCTGCATGTACATGTATATATATATAAGTATATGATTACAAAAAATCCCCCAAAAATCCATATAACATGCCTAGTATTTTCCACCAAAAAATGAACAAAGTTATGATATCAAAATCACATAATGAGGCGAAGCCTAAAAAATGAAATAAATTTATATACAATGGTCCAGTACCATACTCCAAACCCCCTTGAAGCCATCCCCTTTTCCCCTCAATCCCATCCCCCACCCCCTTAATCATTCTTCCTTCCTCCAATCCGAAAAGAATACAAAAGTACAAAAATACAGAAATACCAATATCCCAATATCCCAAAACACAAAACACAAAACACAACCACAAAACCCTCATCAAACCTCACCACCATACATAATCCAAGAAAAAATTTCATTCAAAATGCCTTAAACTTCTCTACGTCATTGTCATCAACCTCCCCCCATCAAGTCTGCTATACTCCACAAAACAAAAAAAAAAAGACAAAAAACAAAAGCATTCTACACAAATGACTAACAGATAGGTAAAATCCTTCCATCCAATAATCCTCACTTGGACAGGAAACCACTAGATATCGCCATGAACATCCACTTGCGAATTGAATATGTATACAATACACACAACTCATACATCATTTCTTTTGCTTATAAAAGAGACTGATGGAGGAGTAGAACCGACTCGGTAACAAAGACATAGTGCATAGCATATACGCGAAAGTGGAAGAGATCATCTACGCCCGAACACGCTACTATTCTTACATGTAAAGCTCAAGAAACCTACTAGCAAGAAGGATAATCTCCTGTTACCCACGTATCCAAAGCTCGGAGCTGCCTGGTAACGAACCAAGTTCAAAACTTCCAGATAGCTCCGCTTGGGAAGAATGCCTAGCCGGAGAGCTTTTTGCTAATGGTAAGTGAATTGATAATCCTCATATCAAAATCTGCATATGATATGTTACGATAGATTGAGTTGGTTTATGTCGAATGAGCATCATGCTATTGTAGGTCACCAAATCAATGAAAATGGCACACGGAAGTTTGATACAGCTTAATAACCACACTTGTTGAATTATGATCAAGTCACAGAAATACTCATATTAACAAATTCTGCATTGCCTGGAAAAACTATCATATAGGAACCAAATCCATAAAAGTCTTCAGTCACTAACCCTTAAGTTGATCGGATATTGTAATGTTTTCATCAATCAATTATCCACTAGGTGATTGTAATTGACAGCCTCAGTCTCTTCCCCAGCTGAAACCCAAAAGATGCAAAAACGCCATTTCATAAAGTCATTGTAATCATTATAATCATCACTTCAAATGTCAATTCAGCATAACAACACACACATTTAACCATCCATCCGCATAACTCGCTTCCCTCATTAAATCCTCCAATGGTGCCTTGAACGGAACTGTTGCCCCATGTAAGATGACATCCGCTAAAATCGCATCTCTCCTACTTGGAAATAAACTCGGAAGAATAGTGTTGAGAGCCCCTCCCAATGTTTGAGGTTCACGAGATGCAGTTTGTGGTTGTATGAGAGTTTGTATCGTTTTAAATGCGAAAAGTGGTGGAGGTGGAGAAGAAGTACCTGGAGCTTTTGATGAACTCGAGGAAGCTGGATGGGGAGTTGAAGCTGGAGATGAGGATGAAGGTAGGTATATACGTAATGGAATATGTTTAAGAGGAGTAGCGGGATTGAGGAGGATGGTGGAAATCTTGAGGTAGGTGTGAAGATCATCTGCCAATTTTGTAAGATTAGTTTAAGCTATGTCGATGTTGTGTATGAATGTAGGCCAAAAAGGGATCATACTATCTTGAACCGAGTTCCATAATTGTGTGGAATGTTCTTTTGACATGCTCATGATCCCCTTTGCATTTCCATTGCGTATGAAATCGGCCTGAATTTAGATTATTAGTAAACGAGGCTGAAAATGACTCGAGGGAGGGTAGATACTTCTTTGACGCTATTGATAAAGGTATCATGAATATCAAAAGATGGGCCATCTCCCAAATCTATCCTCCATGGCAATTCTGGCTGATATAGATCACATAATAGACCAACTGGTAAATTCCTTAATGGAATTCCTTCATAGGAGAAACTTGTAACATTTTCCCCAAAGAAAGATATTAATCGTGGGAAAAGGAGCGGCAGATAAGAGACTCGGGGTATATTGATCAAATAAGGTATTGTAGAAGAAGGATGTGTGATATACAATGGTATATTAGAGGCCCAAATGAGGGATTGCATAACGAGAGTTCTTTGGTCTTCAACATGTATGTTTCCAAGTGGTGTTCATGCCCACCTAGGTAGTAAGGCTGTGAGGTGAACCTTGGAAGGCTACGATATCTGTTGCAAGCGACTCAACACTCGTTAGGGTTTAGCTTGTGGTGACTAATCATGCAAGGCTGAGGCTGAGAATTTGCATCGATACCTAGGTATTGCTTGCTACGCGACGTTTCATACTTCGGATATTAGGTGATCAGACCTTGGACCTGCAAAATTCGAACGTTGGGCGTACTTTTGGATCTAATTCTAACGCTCAGAACTTCCTTTACAGTTGAACTGGTCGATGATGCAGTGGCGGTGAGAACCCTCATAGATTTTAGAATTACTAGCAACGAAATCATCGATAAGAAGAGTCCGAACGTAGCGGAGAATGTTTCTCCGCATTGGTAGCTCACCGGCCAGCTTAAGGTCCGGAAGGATCCTCATTATAGCAAAGTCTACTTTACATGCCAACCTTGTTCTTGTTTTAATATTGGTACCTGATGCTCATTTGAAGCCGATTTTAACACGGCTCAAGATCCCTGAAACATCGACACGCGTTTGAAAGAGAAGCTATAAGAACTAGAGAACTAAGTGTCCACTACAGGTAAGTTCCTAGAACCATCAGCTGGAAAGTGTAAACGAGAGATGTTATGTACAGAGTACATACTTGATCGTATAATTGAGCTTACTTAATAGGACCATGGTGGATATCTTTCCGCCCAAACAGGGTCGCTCCCAACTTGAGGAATTCCACTTCCTTCCCAAATCCGGCGTACGGCTCGCAAGAAATCATGCCATTCATTCCATCTATTCCAAAAGCTCTTCGTTTTAACTTTTATGAGTCTCCCATGCATTCTTCTAATCGCAATAGGGGCCAATTCCGAGCTGAACCATTTCGATACTTACTGAATCCTGAATCAATATATCGATCGTGTGGCCATCTAGATTCCATGGCCGAGGTATCCGGTATGCCGCGCGATTCGTCAAGGCAAGCAAATGATTGCAGAATTTCGTGGACTTTCACTTCGTCTTCTATCCTGATGACTTGTTCCAATTTCCGAGCTTTCGAAGAAGTATTCAAACTCCCATACATACAATTTCGACAGGATACTTTGCGCCTGTCTACTCTAGAGGGTATACCATGTCACGTTGTATTCCAAATTAGAGTATGGCCCTGGTGCTCCCGATATCAGAGCCAGCAAATGATCTTCCTTGATCTTGTCGCGTATCTTCTCCACAACGAAAATCCTTGGATAACCTTAGAGCTTGGACTGTAATGATAATCTGGACAAGATGTTGATTTGCCATTACAGACATTCTTCTGTGCTGTTATATTAACGTTCGCCTGAACATGACAAGCAACCGTCACAGGAGCCCCATTGAGTCAATTTAAGGGTATGGAGATGATGGGTGACAACATGTCACATTGCCACTGCAGTTCCCAAAGCTACTAAGTATAAACCATTAAAGTAGACATTATACAGCCTGCATAAGTAACAAGCATTAGCAAGAAAGGTTGTTCCCAATTGGTTACCCAAAACACTTTATGCATGGCTAATGGAGGAAGTATTAACGTCCCGGTATGTAATTCGTTGAAAATTCTACGCTTAATATAAATCCAACAATTCTATGATAAATAGGCACGGAACCACTTTCCTAAAATTTAAATGGCACGTAAGCTCTTTCTTGTTTTATCCATTCCTTCGGGTGCGAAGAAGTCTATCTGCCGTGGGAGAATATTGACATTGCAACCATTGAATCAATCAATACACACAGACCTATGTCCTACAATATCGTATTCATTACCGACATTAGCAAGGAACTTTCATAGAAGGTCAAATACTTCCTAGAAGTTTCTTCAAATTTGCGCACAGAATATTTGGTTACACTAATTACTAGGCAACGTGTCACCAAAGGAATCATCCGAGCAAGCGCCGTCTTTCAAAACCATATCAGACTTCAGAAGTTCAATGGGGGTCAGTTTACACGTTTTTTAAAAATACGCGAAATTTTAGTTAGTCTGTAGATCATCTAGATATGTCCTTCCGGAAAAGCTTGCGGCTGGCAGATTACTGTGTCTCGTCAGCTTATCTAGCCATTTTCTGTCTCCCCTGTCTCGATCCATCCCGCAATGTTTGTGTCATCCTTGTTTCTCACGTTTGCTAGAATGAACATGGAATATACACTCTCCCTAAGATGGTGAGATTCCCGGGTTCTGGGATAGGAGAAGTCTCTTATAACTGAATACATGTGAATAGTATTGGTCGAGAGGAGCTGGGATGTTCGATGCGGAAGAAAGGAAGGTATTGGGATACAGGTACGGATACCTTGTTCTTACAATAGATAGGGGACTCAGTGCAAGGAATAGACAGTTTTATCCATCCTTTGGCCTGATCTACAAATGTTACAAAACCTATATGCGGATCGATATGTAAGGTCCAGACTTTCCAGTAAAGCATATTTTTTTGTTCTTTTGGGCTTTTCATTTTTCTCACTCTTGCTCATGTTACTATCTGTTGTTCTGGCATCATTAGATCATTGCCTGAATACTTGATAGGCATGAATTTATCTCCATGCTGACTTAAATGCAAGTCCTACTATCACTACCCTTTTGAAAGTACTGAATGGGCACCGGGATTCCGCAAGAGGCCATAGGTGCTTCTGCTGCCGTCCTGACATACTCATCTATATGCCTCATTTTGGTCACCTTACTCATTTGTATGCTATGGACCTATGGTGAAAGATGGACCTGTAAGTCGCTCTATCAAAATCTATACCAATATATCTAACAAGATAGATGTGACATTCCTCGCAAAGTTCTCTGCTTTAAGCACACTCGGATCTATCGCACAGCAAATACATTATAATCTCTCTTGGCTCCTTGTTAAGCATGACGCTTATGCGACGGCTTTAAAAGCTGTAGAAACACCAGCTTTAGGGCTTTCAGGTGTGGGAAATAATGTGGATCTTGTACTATTTACAATTCGTAAGTTCTCATCCCGATTTTGCCTTTCTGAATGGTTGCTAACATCTTGACCCAGAATTCTATTGTTATAATGTTATGGCTTTAATGGTGTTATTTTGGTAAGTCGATTCAAAATCAGATGAGTTGAGTATTGAGATTTACCAGTAATCAGGGCTGTCAAACTTTTCTGTGGTTCCTGGGAAATACGTGCGAACTTCCTTGGTAGCTGGCTGCGAGAACATATATCTTTCATGTCCAAGATATTTGCAATTATTGTGCCCGGGATTTTGGTCGGCGTAGGTCATGCTCCGGCTGTGCTAAGGAGCCTGGCGGCGACTTTTATTCTAATGAACTTCACAAGTAAGTCATGCTAAGCCAGATCTTCTACCCTCAAAGCGTATATGCAGAACTTGGTCTGACTTGTGACAATAGTGCTCATAAGCTTGTCAACCGGCAGTATCCTCATGGTACTTATTCTTTATAAATATATCAAAACACGGCGACTTCTGTTTGCACACGAAAAGCGTAATGGGTGGTGGGCTTCAAGTGGTACAGCGACGGCGACTGACACGATGGGTACCGGCACTGGAACTGGAACTGGAACTGGAACTGGCCAATCTAATGCCAATAATCGCAAATTAGCTCGTCGCTCTGTATACGATCGCGCACTTATTACTCGGTTTACGATTGGATTTGTTATTATCCTGTGAGTCTCTTTGGTGTCCTGATAGCTAAACTGGGAGAAAGACAAGCTGACAATTTTGAAAAGGGCTTTCGAAGTTGTATTAATCATTTTTTCTCTATTCAACGAACAAAACTTTCAAAAACTTGCGAAATCGTCATCGCCCGACTTCTCGGTATCTAGCTGTATTACAGATATTATTCTCTTCATCCCCGGAGTCACAGCGTCACTCTTAGTATTTCTCGTTTTCGGAACCGCCAAATCTTTCACGCAATATAAAGATTTAGTCCTTAGTTGCTGTGGCCAGCGTACGAAATTTCCTAAAAGCAAAAGAAGAGGTGTTATGGGATCTGGAGATGAGGAACAGGGTACCGAATTTCAAAGATTACCTAGCATGGGAACAAAGATCGTCACGCCTGAAGAACGAGCTGTGTTGGAAGCAAAAATGCGAGGCATGTTACCTGACCAACGAATATCCACCGGGACACAATTTACAGAATATACGACACAAACGGGGCAAAAGGGATCAGGATCATCAGTATACACTCATACACGAACTTTAAGTCCAATAACAGCCAACTTCAATTTCAGTCTTCCAGCTTCAGCCAGGAACGCATCTCGACCCGCCATACACAAAGACGAACGTGATGCAGGAGAAGCGTGGGCTAGACAAAATGATTTGGAAGTTGGGCTGGCATTGGAGCAAGAGTGGAGTGATAACAGCTATGGAGGGGGACGAGATTCGACAGGAAACACAACTGTGGGAAATACGACAATTTTGGATGATGTCGACCCATTGTCTCATCGGGATTTTATTCTGGATGATAGTGATGAGCATGAGGGATGGACGAGATGAATAGGTTCATGGGAGGAGTTCTAATGATTTTACGATTGATACCTTCAGTACCGGATTGATTTTCTATCGGTAGTCTTTGTATAAAAAGGGGAAATATGGATATATATATATATATTATATGGGATATAGGATATAGGAAGAATAGATAGATGGATGGATGTAAAAAATGGTTGGGATTAGTGAGTTGGAATCTTCAAGGAAAAACCGCTAGTGTATGAATAGTATGAGAATTAGAAGAAGCAAAATACCCGTTCTTGATATCTATCACCTGTAGTATATATGACGTGCGGATGTGCTGACGTGATAATAGTAATACCGGTCTATCACATGTAGGACATCAATGCACCGAGCTGCATGTCGAGAAAAAGAAAATCTTTTGCTAGGGAGTCGACGATCTACACGCTTCGGAGATATAAGGTTATCATATCATATCTCATAATATGTATGAAGATTACTGGCGTGGCACTGATATCTGGAACCAGCCAGCTGGATACCGGTACCAGACAATACATGATAAATCCAGCCAAGACAGAAAAAGCATGGCAAATCCCACCTCCAATTCTCGGAACCCCCTAAAAATAGCCTCGGGGTCTTTGTACGATGAGATTTTTGAAAAAATTCAATCAAAACATTGGAAATTCGTCGGCCGTAGGTTCCTCCGTGCCTCGGTAGACCCATGCTTGTGTTGTGTTCAACGATTTATCGGTGTCTAGTAACATTATTAATTGAGAGTATTTGAACTTGAATCTTTTGATTTCTTCATTACTGCTATTTCTTTCCTTTCTTTGCTTGTTTCTCGTTGATTGCTTATACATAAATAAGTGTGCGGGTTCATTCTTTACCTGTGTATACAATTCCTGCTCAGATTACTGGCTTTCAAAAGTCGGAAACTCACCTCCTGAAAATGGCATCCGCAACTCGTCTCCCTCTCAAATCGATTGCGTTCACGACGGCAGTGGTCGCCGCAGCAGGTATTTCTCATGTGAATATACAAAAATTACTTTCCGATGTCTTTACTGGACCGGGTAGTTATTCGCGGATTGCAGCTACCGTTGTCATTCTAGCCAATCTGAAAAGTTTACCTGGAGTGTGGCATGTATGTTCTCCTTTTCTTTGCTCTCCGTCTCATTCATTTTACAAGAAAGAGAAGCAAAAATAACATCAACTAATATGCCCGCAGTTCCGCGTCTGGAATGCAATCCTCAAACATCTCCTCTTCACCATCCCCAATATCCCTTCGGATCTCGGCCCCGCATCTCTCTTCCTCCCCGTCATCACAACCTCCCATGCTCCCCTCTGGGAATGCGATTACAATTTGCATAAATCGAATAGTACCTATTTCTCCGATCTCGACGTCACGCGTTCGCATATCATTTGCTGTCTTCTAGAACCGGGCATTCATGCTCTGCAAGCGAATCCGAAAAATAAACTCGTGCTGGATAAAGAAGGGAAAGCGGTACGCGGAAGATGGGGAATCATGTTAGGAGGCGTGATGTGTAATTTCAAGAGGGAAATAGGCATTTATGAGAAATATGAGATGTGGAGTCGCATACTGTGTTGGGATCGCAAGTGGATTTATGTGGTGACGCATTTTGTGAAGAAGGGGACGGTGAGACCGAGGGGGTTTGTGTTGGGGGATGGAAGTTGGCTTGGGGGTGGGAATGCGAGGTTTGAGGAGAGGGAGGGACAGGGTGGGGATGCGGTGGAGGTGGATGAGAAAGCTATTTTCGCAAGTGCAGTTAGTAAGTATGTGATGAAATTGGGAAGGTTGACGGTTCATCCGGAGGTGGTGTTGAATGCTAGTGGGGTGTTGCCGGAGAGACCGGGTGGTTGGCATAGTATGGCTAATTCTGGGGTTTCGACGCCGGAAATGGATGAGTCGTTTGTGGAAGCGAAGGTTGAGGATGAGGAGGTTAAAGAGGGGGGAAATGGAAATCAATGGAATTGGGAGAGAGTTGAGAAGGAAAACAAACGAGGGTTGCAATTTGCAGAACATTTTGCTGCGATGGAGGGCTTGCATCAGGAGTTTACTGGAAGTCAGGGACCAGCTTTGGGTAAATATAGAGATTTGTTGTGAGAGTATAAGACTTTTTGCGGAGTCGAGACATTGTTTGATGTGCAAGTTCATATAGATTAGATTAGAATAGATTAGATCGGCTGGGATGGAGTATACAGGTTGTAAATGAACATATAAACTAATTTATAGAAGAAATATCAAGACGATTTTTGTAATCTGGGAAAAGTGCAAGGCATTCTCCGGAGCCATTTCATTTCTCAAGTGAGCTAGATTAACATAAAAATGATTGAGATCTTTCAATGTACCCATGGGAAGTGAATCCAGGACGTGGTAGTACCATATTCCATTCTTAACGTTACAGCGCAGGGCGTGATCGAGTATATAAGGGGTAGGGTTTACATCTCAAGAAAAACAACTGTCTTCGAGTGGTTACCGATGATCACAAGGTCGAGCGCTACAGCCTTTAAAAATAGCGAAAGGATCGATATATGTCTTTGAGATATACACCATATTTCATATGGGGAAAAGAGAAATCTTGGGAGGTGTTTTGCCCTTGTTTCATGGAGTCTTGTTTTGTCGAGTCTTGCTTTATTTTGGTGATGGCGATGGATATGAAATTAGGGTTGAAATAGGAGGGGAAATGATAATGAGAATTTTCTCGATGTGTGATTGACAACAAGAAGTCCCTCTCAATCTCTCTCGCGCTCTCGTCACGTGAAGTGGGAAGTGGGAAGTGAAGGAGTCTATGAGTATATGTCGGTTAGTATTGGGGCTGAGGGATTGGATATACTATGGTTATGTGAAGGAGATCTATGCGATTGGTAGCAGCCTCGATCTGTTGACAACTGCCTCTTCCTGGTGTTTGATCTTCTAGTTGCACTGCTCAAGAGGTGTTATTTATATGTTTGGGAGAAGTATAATAGGAGAAGGACAATGAGGGAAGGACAAGAGGGGAAAATGAAAAGAGGGTGGAGATTGTGAGTATAGAAGTGAATGATATACTGCATGCGCAGATCAGATCATAGACCAAAAAGATGCCCGACAGTATATATACATGTATACAGTTTCCGGGATGCATTCAGACAAGAAGTCCCTGATGAATTTCAGAAGCTTACAGGAGTGATGAATATAAATAACTCGAGATTCAAGTTTGAGGAATACAGTAAAATTAAAGAGAAAATACTCAGAAGCATAGTAAGGTGCATCTCGAAATGCGTGGGGTTTCAAACTACAGTTTTGAGTTGGGGTTTTGAGATTTTGTTTATCAAGGGATTGGAATTGGGGAATTTGAGGGAATGGCTGTTGCCTGTTGCTTGTTGTCTTGGTTTGATGTTATGGAGCGGAATGCTTAGATGGTGTTGAGTGACAGTGGTGTGTACACTCATATCTTGACAGCGGATGAGAAAAAAGTATGAATGACAAGAAAAGGATTTTTTATTGTATGTGTAATGATGAGTTGGAAGTTCATTGATATCAACTCAATTCAATGCGTCGATGTACCTATTAATCTCACGTAACGGGAAGTTGAGATTGACTTCAGCTGTTCGGACTTTTGGCTATTCGGATAATGGGATACTTGTTAAGCATTAACGAGGTAATTGTGAGGAAATTTGGAGCTTAAAAGTATCGTTTTTATATGCCTAACTTGAGAACTCTCTGACCAGCATAGAAAGAGAATTGAGAGGGACACATACATACACTGGAAATTGGAAGGGGAAAATGATGCATTTACATTCACATTTCTATTTACATCAACTCGCTTAGCAAATCCATAAAAACTTCCAAGCAGATCAACAAAATGAGCGTCAAGCCAAAAAGGAAACCAAGATTTATGCAAAGAACGGTGGTATTTAAAAATATCCTCGCATCTTTTCTGAAGACTTTCTTTATTTCATTTATGTTCTATCTAGACCAACTAACTTTGGGCAGTTTTTGAGGAGCAATAAACTGGTGAATCTTTTGGGGCTGGTATTGCTCTATATGTGTCTACCTCTCTCAAAAGGAGATATTAGAAGGTGGATAGTTGTGTGGGCTTGAATGGGGAAATGGTCGTGAAATAGATGGTTTATGGTGGTGTTGATTTAAGTGATAGTGAGAGATACTTGGAAAGATGAGAGTGGGGATTTTCTTGTTACTATGATGAATTCTACCTGTATGTCTAGTTCAATTATCTTTACGGGTTTGATGACAGAGATGGGTAAACTCAAGAGCGGCGTTGGCAGTGCACTCATAGGTTTGGGTGTACGGCATATAAACAAGATGGAGTTTGTTGGACTTCTCAGCTGGGAGTAACGGGGTCTTTTATACTAAGGGAAGAATATTTCAAGAAGAGGGAAGTAGGAGCACAATAGGGTTGAAGAGAAGGTGGATTACGATGCACTTACAATAACTGATTAACGAATCATTTTTTTCTCAGCGGGTAACCATAATCTGATTTGAAATTTTCAGAGGAAGCGAGAATTATAAAAGAGGTCAGTTGTTTGGGGAATGAGAGGACCAAGAATACTTGGGACAAAGCAAAACATACAATGAGGGATTGGGGCTGCGTGTGTGATGATAGATTATGGTCGAGTGTGCGGTATATTATATCTTTCAAATGGAGTTTTGGATAGAGGGAGTGATGATTTTTGATAGGGTTCCGTACAAATGCAACAGTTGTTGTATTTGTTATTGATCATAGGGCAGCAAAAGTTGAAGATCGAGCGGCAACAACGATAGTTCAATAGGATGAGGATATGGAATCTACATCATCATTATCATTCTCATTATCATTATCATTATATCTGAAATATGAATTCTCACAAATTCACAATGAAAAACGTTCCTTGAACCCGACAGGAAAGAGATACCGAAATCCTCCAAACATGGTGGTTACGTTGAACTTCCATCAAACCATTGACCGTCAGCTTAACAGCTGCTTGGAAACCCCAATCAAGCGGTACTGGCCCCTTTTAAGAAAAAGAAGAGGAGCATAATTTTTAGG